TTACACAAATACGTCATACAACATTGAGGTGCCACATTTATAAATAAAAAAAACTTGGCTTATAAATGCAGGCATGATATTTGGTTTCCCACCACTAAGTTGCTTTCTGGCTTCCTTTTGCCTTAGCCAGCTAGCAGAAAAAAAAACGAACAGCTTGTCATCAAATATCCACGAAAGAGTTGCAAAAATTTCAAGATACATCATCAGAAGGGGTTTCCTAGCCTTTAATCCAGAAAATCTCACTCTAGGGACTACCGTGGCAACTCTGGAAGGTTGGTAGCCATGTTTACGAGAGATGTGATGGTTTTTACTTTTGGCCGGAGTGTCCCTTCAGTAGTTTTTTCCTGTTCTTAAACCTTGCTAAACTCTCAAATCGAACTTAACACTGATTAAAAATGGTCAGAAGTGGCTACTACCTGTCAACAATCTAACACAAGTTGCATTAGACATAGTGCTTCATCTACAAGTTAATGATTTCCTACTAGGTGAGACTCATACTTCATCAGATTTTAACTTCATCGTTTGTTCACCGTGCCTTACACTGACATGAAAAGTTCCTTTATCATTAATAATGATACACTGATGAAAGCTACTTTTAAATGTATGTACCAGTCTTTTATTCTTTACATTACTTACTTAACTTTTAAATGCGTTTATAATTCTATTTAAACTGTACTTTACTTACTTAATGGAAGTCTTTACCAGTTGTACTAACATATGTAAGTAACTACATCATAACTAAAAATAAAAATAACTTCTAAGCAGAGTTTTTGAAATAGAATAGAACATCAATCATTTCGCTCCAAGCAGAACTAGTCTTTTAATGTTTCCCTTTTTGCATTCCAAAACCAACAAAAAACATTTTTGAACGTTGAGTAATGATGCAAGAACAGTTAAGTTCATTCAGTTTACATAGGCTGTATGTAGGCTTAATATGATTAAACACACAAAAGCTAGGGAATTTTAATTTTTGTGAATCAGTAAATTAAGCTGTAACATAGCACTTAGTAACTTACCAGAGGCTGCTATGAGTCATCAAAGTCCCTGCTTTAAAATGTATAGACATTCTAGCTGGCTAAATGGTTTCTTGCATCATGACGTGATATAAACAAAATGTTTTGAGAGTACATCGATTAGCCTACAGGACTGTTTACGGTGGGCCGAGAGCCAAAGTGCTAAAATACTAAATACTAAAATTCATACAAATAATAAAATAAAAAAATATACAAATTATTATTAAAAAATATTTATTATTATAAAATAATAAAATATATCATTCAAATGGAAATGGAAATTATGTTTTTATAAGTTAGATGTAGTGTAAAAATATTTTTGTTCCCTGATTGGGTGAGGGATGTGTGTTTAGGATAGCTTACGGACAAACCATATCATACATCCTCACGGGCCAGCTGTGGCCCACAGGCCACCCTTTAGGCCTTTCTTTAAGCACAGAAATACCATATGCATGCCATATAAATCTTCTTAAATGATGCATTCATATTATGCAGTGTTGTGATGTTGATCCAAAAATATTTGGGAGTTTGGAAACATAAATAAAGATATAAATAATAAGCTAGTGGGCTACATGCTTTGAAAAAATATATTTTTTTAAATTAGATTTTTAAATTAACTTTTTGGTTGTTCCTAGCAAGATATTGCTTTTTGCAGTTACTGTTTTTATTCCTCAAAACGGTTTAGAGGCTTGCCTCTTGCAACTAGTCTTTTTATACTCCAGTTAGCCAAAACAGCATGATCATCTGCCTGATATTCTGTTGCCCCCCCTTTTTTATAAGTCTTTTAAGTTATGAGGTGGAGCCTCTGCAGATTACACTTGTTGTTCCAGCACATCCCTCCACCAGTCTTCTTCTGATAGTGCCTCCTAGTGCCGTCACTTCCCCAGGTAAATGGCGCGCACATACGCGGCCATCCGTGTGAGGCAAAAGAAAATGAGACTCATCTAAACAGGCAACCTTCTTCCATTGCTCCACGGTCCAGTTCCGACACTTGCGTGTCCATTGTGTGTTGTGATACATTCTTCCTGTAACCATCAAGAAAAAAATTTCTGTGACTACTGTGCCACAGTAGCCCTGAGGGTCCAGACGGGATAGCCTTCATTGCCCTCATCCTCTGATGAGCCTTGGGTGCCCAACACCCTGTTGCCAGTTCATGATTTGTCCCTCCTCGGACCACTGTCAGTGGGTACTCATCGCTGCGGGCAGGGAGCAGCCCATAAACCTTGCCTTTTCAGACATGCTCAGACCTAGTAATCTGGTCTTAAAGATTTGGCTTTTGTCAGAGTCATTCAGGTCTTCATGCGTGCCCGCGTCTCCCACATCCAATTCATCAACTATGAGAACCAACTGCTTAGCGTCTGATTTATCCCAGACCATGTTATGCTCCATTGTTAAGTGAAAATCAGGGTTTGTTTTATGTATGTTAGGTCATAATCTTTTGGCTCATCAATGTATTTGTAATTTACTTCTGAATTCTAGTTTGTAAGCATATGTACCCCAAGTGCTTAGGTTTAAGGTGTGGGATTTATGGAATTAATCCATGAGGTCAGTGTTAATCAGTTGTAATCAAGCTGATTCTCTAATCGCTTAAAATCCACTCTCTCAAACATTTTTTTTATTTTAGTTGAGTAATTTAGGCACTCTAAACCCGACAAACTCTGTAACAACATATTTAGAGATTTTTTCTAAATTAGAAATCTGTTGAACACCTCATTGAACAGTTTCACATTAGCCCTTTGAGGTACATATGTTACGTTAAATGAAGCAATATAGTTTAAGGTTTACCCTGATCATATGTAAGCAAACATACTGTAAGTGGAATTTAACTTCCTCAGGTGTACAGAATGTGTGTGTTGTGTAACGTCGGACTTTACAACCTCGTGTTGCTTATGATCAAAGTTCAACTTCAGACAAGTTTCATAACACTCTACATGATACATTTACAACATTATAAACCACACATGTACCATCACAACTTAGTTCTGAGTATGGCATTTGACATGGAAGTATAATGCAAAGCATTTACTCATTCAATTGTATCGTTTTGCTGTAAAAGATATATTTGCAATATTGCTTCTCAGACAAATAAGCAAGCAAATCATTTGCATTATCCTTAATTTGACCCTTCATCAGAATCATGCCTGTTTTGTAAACATATTTATTTGCAAATTAGTGAAAGTGTGTCTTGATTTGTATGTTCGTATATGTTATATGGGTCCCACTTTATTTGGTTAGCCCCCAGTAGATTATCTACAGATGCTAAAATTATTAACAAACTGTCTGGTGAAACTTAGTAGATTCTCAACAGCATTGGGGTTAGGATTTGGACCAGATTTATGGTTAGGGATAAAATTAGATAGATTAGATTAGATAAAATTAAGGTCAAGGACCAGGTTTAGGCCTAGTGAAAGTTAAAGTGAATTTTATATATATTCAGTAGAACAAAAGTTAAATGCAAGGATAACATCCAGAGTGTGCTGTTCAAATAAAGTGTTTTCATGGTATGTTAATAAGGGCTGTCAAACAATTAAAATAAGTACGTGGGATTAATCACGTTATTTTGTGTAGTTAATTGCCGTTAATAACATTTGTCTTTTTTGCTCAAATGTTTTGCTCAAATTTGCCCTAAAGAAAGATTTTTAGCTTTTTTTAGCTATATGAGTGAACAGAATAAGCTTGAACATGAAAACAGAGTGATTGCAGGTTTCCAATTTTCATCACCAGCATCTAGTGCCAGCTGCATGTTCCAGCTTCACAATTATAGCTTCTTGCTCTCATACTGCTGTGTTACATCTTGTTTTGAGGGGAACTGGAGCTTTCCATATTGCTGTTGCTGCTTTTATTAGTTTGCTGCTCATTGATTTGTCTACACTAATACTATGAGCACTGTCTAGAATAGTCTCCCAGAAGCACCATCTGGTGCTGTTGTTCCTAATACTCCTGATATTGCCAACTTTAGCTGTGTTTTGCTTATTTAAGGCTCAACTTTTAAATAAATCTTTGAATAAATAACTTTTTTTTTAATCTTTGGATGATGAACAAATTCACAGCATGGCAGTAGCTGGAAAAAAACTTGGGTTTTATCAAGAGAGCCATCTCATCAGAATCATAGTAACAGCACGTAAGCAGCTGGGCTTCATCCGGGAGCAATGTAAATAAGCGTAATTAAAATTATTGTGAATAAATAATGTTAATAAATTCATGCATTAACACCACTTATGTTTATATACAATGCAAACATTTAGATGCGCCGGTCAAATGACCGTGCTTTGTAGATTATGTAAGTAAATAAGTTAACGCATCCTCTGCAATGAACACACTCTTGCACTGTTAATGCAAAATTGCTTTGTTTATTTTTTTTAAAAAATATAAAATGTGGCTTGTGCAAAGTGTTACGGCACATTTTATTATTTGTTTTATTTTTGTCAATATGTAAAGCAAATAAATAGAAATTGTGCCCTGAAATTTGCAGAAAGATGTCATATTTATGTGTGTTATCTGTAGAGGATGTGTTTTTAGTTAGAAAATCTACAAAACATGTAGGTTGACTGAGAGTGTTCAAACAATTGCATATAACTTTAGACATTTTTAGAAATACAGCCGTTTTTATGACATCTTTCTCAGTTTGTTTCTTCATTTCAGGTCAATTTGAAATCACCTTGACCTTTTTAACCTTAGTTTGTGTCCACAGTCAGCACAATCCATCATACCATACTATTTATTTATTTATTTATTTTTATTTTATTTCTGTAATCATATTATCGTTTTATTTAATTATTTGGCCTGCCTCTAAAGCATCTTCTTTTGATTACATCACTGTGCACCAGCAGGCAGGTAAAATGTAATCGTTTCACTGCCCCTTCTTCAACCTCCACCTGTTATCGAGAGAAAACGTTGAGGTAACTCAGAGAAACTGCATCACAGTTTTAAATGCAGTGTGATTTTTAATGTTGACTTTAAAATACGTTTTCTGCATTTTTGTTGCAGGTTCTCTCTTGGCTCCGATTTGCATGGCCATGCCCTGGTGGCCGTGATTGGTGGAGAGGAGGAGCACTTTGAAGACTTCGGGGAGAGTGACTCCACCTCTGACCTGCTGCTGGCCAATCAGGAGGAGGGGAGGGCAGCCCCTGAGGGTGAAGGAGACCCAGAGCCACACCCACACCCGGGGAGCCCAATGCATCGCCCACCGATGCTGCTGTCGCCCAGGTATAAATATATCTGTATACACACAAAAATAGACACAGTAAACATACAAACTATGAACACAAGGCTCATAGCCACACTCATATATCACACAGTGTGTTACAATAGAGTCTGACATGTAAAAATACGCTGCTCTAATGTACAAATATAACCTCATGACCAGAAATACCTTTATAAAACTGTGCATGTGTGTGTGAGAGGGTGATTACTAAGACTCTTCCTCTGTGTTATTTATAAGACTGGTCAGATATAGAGCATCTATATTTACTGGCACAATTCAAGTACTGCTGCTTATGAGAACAGGTGCAGGGGGACATGATAGTGGTACAGCTGCTCTGAAGGACAAAGTAGAAATCTCTGTTGCTTCTGTATATCCTGGTTCATTTTTCTGTATTTGATTCTTGTGTCCTTTTAAATGTGCCTATCTAAGTCAATGACTAACATTGTTATGTTACATAACAATTCTGTTACATAATTTGCGTGTGCAGGTGCATTGAAAGATTTTGCTTAGTAAGAGAGCAAGCGTTTGATACCATATCTGTAGGTGGCATTTCTGTTGTTAATATCAGTGTGATTTCTGTTTATGTTTATAGCTGGTTTGTATAGTTTTAAGGTGTGTGTTGGGTGACGTCATAGAAGCATAAAAAGGCCATTTGAGGTCAGTTACAGGAGGCGTGTGTGTGTGTGTGCTTGGTGCACATGTAGCTGATGCAGAGTCTCGCTTCTGTATACCTACATGACTGTTTAAAAAATTTGGAATCAGTTCTCATATCAATAACTGTTATTCAGTAGGAGTGTACCAATACCCTCGGTCTATGATTAGGTTCGATTCTTGATACTAGGTTCACGCTTTGACATTTTCGTGACATATTGAGGAAAAATGTTGTTGCACAGGTTGCTAAAGTCCACGCTGGAGTGAGTGAGTGATTGGTGCTGGTTGTTGAGGAATTTTGGTGCTCAAACAGTGCAATTACATTAGAATTTACTCAGAGCTATAAAACTTTCTCAATAAAATTATAGAATCTAAAAAATCATAAGTTTTTTTCATCGAGTTGTTAACTTCATTTTAACAGCTTCTCTACAAAATATTAGCATCATATGAGTATCAATGTATCTGCTAGAAAAGTTGGTTTTGTATTATTAAAAATAGTGACTCCAGACTTTTGAACAGTGATTCCAAACTTTTGAACAGCAGCGTTCAGCCAAAAGAATCCTCACAACACGCACATGCACACACACACACACACACACACACACACACACACACACACACACACAGGTGGAATTATGTAACGTGCTGACTTCAGTCTTCACATACTTGAGTTTAGAACAGAGGTTAACTCAGGAGTGAGTGTGTTACTGCAGTAAGGGTGATAGTGCTGCTGCACTGCCCTGCATAATAATAGCTTCAGCCTCCATGTCTGATTGTCCTCTGATGACCCTGATGTGAAATCTCTTCACCTCTCTGTTTTAACCCCACACACTCACTCACTCACTCACTCACCTGATTGTGCTTGTTTTTTTCCCTCACTCTTTCCTACTCCTCCTCTCCCACTTCTAATTCTCTTTCTCTCCTAATTCTCCTCTCTTGTCACCTTTCTTCTTTTTTCTCATCCTCTCTTTTTCTTTTCACTTGGCCTCCCTTTATTGTTCTCTCCTGTCCTTGCTTCTCTTCTCTTCTCTTCTCTTCTCTTCTCAGTTCTGATCCTTTCCCCACTAGTTTCCAGAGTTTTCTGCAGTCTGAATCTCTGGAGTTCTTCTGCACTCACTGTCACAAACAGATCAGCCGTCTTGAGGATCTGTCCACTCGTCTGCACTTGCTAGAAATGAATAGGTAACACAGTCTTTCCCAGATGAAAGTGTCATCTGAGTGTGTGTGAGTGTGTGTGTGTGGGCGTTTGTCTCTTGACCCTGTACACACTCACTACATCCTCACTGCCTGCATATGTGTGAGTCTCAGTGTGCAGTTGTGTTTTGTGCTGTGAGGGTGTTTGGATTGCTGTTTTTATCATTTGGTCAGTGATTGTCTGTATTGAGTTTTCCTTAAAATGATAGAGGTGTTTTATCTGTTAATTGCTTCTAAAATAAGATATAATGCAAGAAGTACTTTCCTTGGGCTTCAGCAGGCCATAGGTTTTCCCAGTATCCTAACAATAGAAATACAGTTCTAGGTTCAAAATAGTCTTGCTTTACTATAAAGCACCAAAAGCAGAATTGTTGCATGAATTATTGTGTAAGGTAATATCTTTTTTTTATTTTTAAAATAAAATAGTAACTGGCATATTATCTTTATAGTTTTTGGCCCCTCTTGCTTTGGTTACCCATAAGACGGAGGAGTGTGATAACTGATAAAGTACAGAAATGTATCACTACCAATAATTCAAACAAACACAGAGCAGTAAAAGGATCCCAGGGAAGTTTACATGCATTCTGGTATTATTCAGGTCTCACCATTAGGTGTAAATAACACGTAAGTGTTGGAGAATATTGTGTGGTTGCTGGGGCTGATCTGAACAGTTTAGAATACTTGTTCTCAGTATTTAAAACAATAATATGTGCATGATTAACCATAGTTACTTAGGCAAAACTGTAGCAAACCAAATGAATGAGTATTTGGCTGCTTCTCTTTGTTTAGATATTGTTTACAGATTTATATCTTTCACAAACCTACCTTTAGCTTTAGTCTTTCAAAGAATAGGAATGACATTGCGAAATCACGGAGCAGAATATGGCTGTGTTCAGCCTCTAATGTTACCTGGATATGACAGAATTTTATAGCCTGTATCACAGCCATTGTTAAGTGATTGCAATTTTTTCTTGATTTTATGATAAACTATTTTGACTCTATCTCTGAAAATTGTCAGGAATTCACATAAGTGTTCTAAAGTTTAGAGGGGTCTAAAGGGTTAATAAAAGACGAAACCTCTGAATACTGAAAAAGGAAACATACGCAAACATAATAGAAACTTGCGTGTTTTAATTATTCGGCCCTGATCGTTTTTGCAGTGTATTAGGGTTTCTAAAAGCAGCCCTGCAGGGGGTCATTTTCACACCGTAAGTATAATAAATCAGTAGGACATGTAATGACAGCTTCATAAACATCATTATTTATAATGTTTTCAACAGCCTCAGAAGTCTTTTCATATTGAGTTTATATTTGATTATAAACTGTTTGCAGCTGTCATGCATTGGTAATAAAATGTCATGTACATTTTGCATGTATTTGCATATTTGATGTCACCCTTACAGGTTTTGATTGGTTGGACAGTAATAATTTATAATAATCTATTATGCCCTGGTGTAAGATTGTAAGATGGGACGTATAGAATTTCATCATCTTAAAAAGGAATTCTATGGATTTTTCAAAATTCCTGCATAATCCTATTGTTGAGAAACATAGTTAGTCAGAGTAGTTTGATGTAAAATGGTGAATTGTACAGGCTCAGATGCCTTTACAGTGGTGGTGATAGGAACTGGGCGTCACAATGTCTATGATGCAGATATAGCTATTTTATATACTATTTATTTGAACTAAAATGAGTTTAAATTAGTAATATTAATAAATTAAATAGTGGCAAAAATTTGAAAAAAAAAAATGTTTTCTGTTGGGACTATTTTACCATACAGTGTCCTGCATATACCTTTCCACCATAAATGGGTTTAAAAAGAGGTTTTAGGCCAGAATATCAGTGCAAAACTTGTATAATCAGGCAGTGAGTTTGTAACTAATTTATGTAATAACTTTCTGTTAGGTAGCTTTTAGAGGCATTAAATGCTTAAGGTGTCTGGTTCCTGTCACCAACGCCTAGTTTACACACCAAACTCCCCTGAATTACTTTTATTTACATCTGATCGATTTAATAATTTTGAAAAATTGGTGTCAGTTTCATTGCCATTAAACTCGTATTTATCCCTTATAAGTCTGGAACTGTTGCTGTTGTTTTTCCTGTAGAATTTCAATTAATTACTTTTACATTATATAGATAACAATAATTAATAAAAATACATTTAGAAACATGACGTGATATACATTCTCCATCGACAGTTTGAGTCTAGATTTCTTGCTCTTTTTTCGGACTTTTTTAGTATCAAAAGTGATGAACCAAACGTCAAAAATAGAAAAGATGGCTTTTCTTTCAGCAACACGAACCTGTCCACACAACAATAACTTTCTACTGAGATTCGATTCGTAACACAGTATCTCTTCTTGTACGTATAAACAACGATCTGCACTTTCAGCAGAATTTCCACGTTTCAGCTTGATAATTTGTATAAGATTACAACATATCAGTGGCAGTTGCTGTGACTTCTAAGGGTTAAACTGAAAACAGATACAATGCAGTAAATAGAATAGAAAGCAGCAGCCAAGCACACCTCGCATACGCTCCAGGTTGAGGATACCCAACCTGTGACCTGACGTTTATTCTGGCCTGTGGGCTGGCATCTACGTTCAGACTGAATGAGCTTTAATATTATGCAGTTGTTCTTATGATAAATGCCTCAATGCCTCAGCACTGAGATAAGAGTTCACCTTGCTGGCTGAGGTTAGGCAGTACAGGGGGAGGTTCTTTTTCACTTTATAATATGGCACTTCAGGGTATCACTTGTTTATTTCCAGCTGTATTCCTGTAATCAGCGTTTAATAGCAGTTCTTTTGACCCTGAGTGCTTTGCCAAAGAGCTGACCAATCAAAACTGCCCTTTTCTCCTGGATGTTCTTCCTTCCCTGGTTCGCAGGTTAGGGATGGGGGGGGGATGACCCCTTTCCCTTTCCTCTATCCGTTTCTCTTTCTGACGTCCTTTTCCTGTTGTCTCTCTCTCTCTCTCCCTCATCTCTATCGCTCTCTCAGCTCCAGCAAGAGGCTGTCCAGTAAGAAAGCAGCAAGGTGAGCATCTCAACTCCTGAAGTTTCCGTAAAATTGTGCGTAAATGTGTTTGCTGATGGTGCGACTTGTTTGGGTGTGTCCTCTGTAAGTGTGCAGCATCCGTTTGTGTTTACAGTTTGTGTGCTTTTGAGCATTTTGTAGCTGGTTGTTTTACTGATATGCAAGTTGTGTGTGGGTAACACTTGAACGCTGCTGCACAACATTACCGTAATCATGCCATAGACATGGAAGATATCATACACTGTCCTGAGGTGTTGTGAAATGTTTTACTCGGTGGTATAACAATGCCATGTTACCATTGATGGTAATTATAACAGATGCCATAATGTTGTCATGATAGCTAATGTCACATGTTCAACTTGCTGTGCTAAGCTTACTGTGTTTAGCTTAAATATTATGACATATGACAATTACAGGCAATGGTAACACGTTTATATTACTGCATAGATTCAGTCATAACTAATGACTGCATTGACATCTGCTATGCCATGATTATGTCTGTGTTACATAGGAGAGTTGAAGTAAAGTGTAATCGTTTTGTGCTGGTATGTGTGCGTTTCAGGCATTTGCTACAGCCTGGTGGTCTGGATGGCATGAGTGATTTGAGCCGTGACATCCTGGACCTTGCCGACAGTGACATCACCGATAAGGTACCAACTCCCAGCACAGTGGTTGATAATGAATATATGCCATAAACTTTCCCTGCTTTACAGCTTTTTATGGTTTTGATGTTTTTATAGCTGCATATCCAAAGCACACACCTCTGTGTGTGAGTGTGTGTGTATAATGTCAAAGGACTGAGCAATATGGTTTTTCAGCCATTTGGAGATAAGAAATATATACCTTGACATTTGTCCATTTTCTGTGCACGTATGTACACAGCTTTTGGATTGTGGATGTCAATAAATATTGCTTTATACTTTTTTTTTTATTTCTATAGCACTTCACATTATATACAATGCTTAAATCATCTACAACAGGTGCACTTAAGTGGCAGTGATGACACACAACCTTTAGGCCTTTTTTCCACTGCAGGGCCGAACGGTTCTGAGCACGGAGGGTATCCATTCCAGTGGCGTTTTCACACGGACATGGTTCGACACTGAACAGCACAGTTAGCTAACCGTACTCGGGGCCACAGGGATGATGTAACAACGTAGCTATTCACTGATTGGTTCTACGGTTATGTCGGTGTCATATCTAGAACAGGTTCACATGGTAGACATAATAGACATGCAGCATTACTCATATTTTCTGAATGGGGAAACAAGTTCACATGACTGCCACAGTCTTCAAGAAACTGAACTGTGCACATAAAATGAATTTTTATCAAACATAAAATGCACAGACGTGAGATGCATTAAGATTACTGCGATGTTCACGATGTTGCCTACTTTTACGCCTCCAAAACATAATCACAAAAATATCCTAATTTCATACACATTGCCCAGCCCTCGTGAGTGTGTATTAGAGGTGGTTTATATCTGTTTATTTGCACGGTGAAAAGTTACCTGGTTAATGAAGGTATTATTTAATTCCAGTTAAAATTTGATTGAATAAATGCAGACTGTTTTGTTGTTATTGTTATTATAAAGGACCTAATAAATATCCAGTATTTTGTATCAGATGTATCATTCTTTTATTTCATACTGACCACGTACCAACTGGAGAAGTGGGCATGGAACTCTGGAGCCGAATTGGAAAAATACCATTTGAAAAATGTTTTGTTTCTGATGCCTGATTTCACAAAAATTAACCACAATGAAACAGTATTGCTATTTTTCATAGGTTAACCAGAGGTTTAATTTAGCTTGTTTTTTATACTGTGAAAACAAGGTTTCTGTTTTTTGTTCCTTGTACACTTTCTAAACTCTGGTTATGTGTGTGTTGTAGGTGCTGCTGCTTGAGCGGCGTGTGTGTGAGCTGGAGAAGGACTCTGTGGCGAGTGAGGAGCAGCATGCGCGTCTGCGTCAGGAGAATCTCACACTGGTGCACCGTGCAAATGCCCTGGAGGAGCAGCTCAAAGAGCAGGAGCTCCATGCTGAAGAGAACCTGCAGACCCTTGCCCGCAGACATCGAGACACGCTCAATAAACTGCAGCGAGAAAGAGACCTGGAGATCGAGAACCTGCAGGCCAGGTGTGTGCTAGAGGGGGTTGGGGGGGTGTTGTGTGTTTGTGTGTGTGTGTGTGTGTATGTGTATGTGCTTCATGTTCATGCTGTGCTCTGCTACCACCTTGTGGTCAAAAGAGAATATTGTGTTATCTGAGGCATCACTTACATTAGTACATAGACTCTATGGCTCAAGGTATGTGAACACCCAGCCATCACACCTATATGAGCTTGCTGGACACCCAATTCCAAAAACCTGGGCATTAATATGGAGTTGACACCCCGCTTTGTGGCCATAATAGCCTCCACTGTTCGAGGAAGACTTCACATTTCAATTTTGGAGTGTGTCTGTGGGAATTTGAGCATTTGTGAGGTCAGGCACTGATGTTGAACGAGCAGGCCTGGCTCACAGTCATTCTTCCAGTTCATTCTAAAGGTGTTCAGTGGGGTTGAGGTCAAGGCTCTGTGCACATAGTGTTCTTCTGGCATCCACCAAACCCAGATTCATCCATCTGTGTGTCAGATAGTGAAGCATGAATCATCACTCCAGAGAACATGTTTCCACTGCTCCAGAGTCCAGTGGCAGCATGCTTTACACCACACCAGCTGACGCTTGCACATAGTGATTTTAGGTTTGTGTGCAGCTGCTCAGCCATGGAAACCCATTTTATGAAGCTCCTGATGCGCAGTTCTTGTGCATCCTGTGACAGTGCCACATTTAAAGTCTCTGACTTACAGCAAGACTCATTCTGTTGCCAGTGTTTGTCTATGTAGTTTGCATGGCTGGGTGCTTTTATACGAATTTATAAGAATTTATACACGTGATTTTTATATACGTGATGGCAGTGGGTGTGGCTGAAACACCTTAAGTCAATAAATAGGAGGAGTGTCCACATACTTTTAGCCATATAGACTGTAACTAATCCGTCTGTTTTGCTAATAAGTGGTTTTAAATGTAAACAAAATGTTTTCATGGTTCTGATAAAGAAAAGGGGTTTTGTGTGTGTGTGTGTGTGTGTGTGTATAGGCTGCATCAGTTGGATGAAGAGAACAGTGAATTGAGGTCATGTGTTCCCTGCCTAAGGGCTAATATCGAAAGACTGGAAGAGGTGAGGAACAGACACATATGCATAAACAATTTTGCTTATTTATATATATGTATATACCAAACTTGTACTGTATATACTTACAAACTTTTTCTCTCTGTCTTTTCCTCTCCCTGTCTCTTCTTCTCACTCACTCTCTGTAGGAGAAGAGGAAGCTACAGGACGAAGTGGAGGATGTGACTGACAGGTTGAATGAAGAAACTGAGTCTCGCAGGAAAATGTCTGACAAGCTAAGTCATGAGCGCCACGGCAACCAGAAAGAAAAAGAAAGCACACAGGAGGTAAGAGTCAGGAGGTCAAGCTTCAGATGGCCTTTGTATTCATGCTTGGACTTGGAATGTGCAGTACTGTGTGAAATTCATAGACCACATTTAATTTATTTAATTTCCAGTCAGAAAGGCCATCAAGTACAAGTTATTCATTTTTTAGCAAGGAAAAAATGCTTATATTTAACAGTTACATAAAAACTAAAGATGATATTTTTTTTCAGCATTTAGTGTGTCGACTCTTTGCCTTTATCACAGCTTTATTCTTTTTGGGAGACTTGCTTTCAGTTTTTCAAAGAAACTTTCAGGGATGCTTTTGCACACTTACAAAGTTCAGTCGTAGAAGTTGGTTTCATTTTCTGCTTTTTACAATCCAAGTAATGGCAAACACATTCAGTGATGTTGAGGTCTGGATTCTGGAGTGGTCAGTTCACTGTTTTGAGGACACCAGCAGCTTCTCAGTAACAGCTTCTTGACAACTACACATGCTTTCAGGCTTATAATGTTGAGTTGTTTTTTCACAGTGGAAGGATGGACAGAAACAGCTGTGGATTTTTTCAGATCTGAAGCCATTTGATTTTCTCCTCTCTCTCAAAGATGAAAGATTTAAGTACTCCTAAAAATGTACTTAATGGCCTTTTTGACTGGAGATTTAAAAATTAAAGGGTCTCTGACTTTTGCACAAGACTGCATATGTTAAGAATTCACTGTTATAGGAATTCCTGACCAATGCAGACATTTCATCATGTAAATATCTGTTGATGCCAATACCAGTGCTAAAACATAAACATGTATAAAACTTACCTGGATTCTCATTACAGAGAAATATAACATTTGTTTGTAAAGAGTTACAGAGAAGATAAAATAAATGAATGGTGAGATTTTAGCAGAGTAACCCAGTGTCACCTAAATGTTCTGCTCCTCTGGTGTACACTAAATACAACATCGAATATCTGTTTGAAATATCAGTCAAATCTAAACATCTGTCTCATGCCAGTACATTTTTACATCTACTTACTGCCAAAAACTGGGCACTCCTGCTTAAACTGAAAATAAGTGAACACATTCTCTACAAAGAGCACACTTCTGCACATTTTAATGCACAATTACTGTTTATTAGCTGAATCTAACATACTGGGGGAAAAAATAAATAAAATGTGGTCTGTGCAAAAGTTCTGGAACATTTTATTATGTTTTATTATGTTTTCCCTGATATGTTAAACTCAGCAAATAAAGAGAAGTGCTGCCCTTTTTCTGCACTAAATTTTGCAGAAATATACCATATTTAAGAGTGTTCTCTGCAGAGGATGTGTTAACCTGTTTTCTCTCTCTCTCATCTCTCCCTTTTTCTCTCTCTCCCTAGCTGATTGAGGACTTACGGAAGCAGCTGGAGCACCTACAGCTCTTTAAGTTGGAGACGGAGGCTCGACGTGGACGCTTACCTGGCGCTGGCCTTCAGGAGTACAACACACACATGAGAGAGAACGAGCTGGAGCAGGAGATACGCAGACTCAAACAGGTATACACCCACTGACACATGCGCACTTCACTGAAGCTTTGAACAGAAATATTGAATTCTGACTGTACTGGAACTCTGAATAATAGATTTAATGCGTCAGTAAACGAATAAGTTCACATTTAGTGGAAAGACTTTTTTGTAACCTTTCTTTGAGCTGTATTCAAACTTAATCAAGTTGTTGCTCTTCTCAAAGTCAGTTTGCAGACCTGTTTCCTTTTAGCTCTTTCAAAGGGAAAATTGTTAGTTCGTTGTTAGTTACTGTGTAAGGTTATTTAGCTTTTTCAGTTCTTTCTGTTCTTGCAATAAACCCTCCTATCACAGATACAAATGAGTAGATGCAGATGTATTTTTATTGGTGATGTGAATCTTTGAGCTGACAGTGAACTGATTTGATTCACGATTCATTCGTTTTGAATTTGATCCAGAAGCGAAATTGAAAGTTGAAGTTGAACAGTTTAGTTGAAGTTGAACAGAATTTAGATTTACCATGAATTTAATTTTTAAATGATAAAACCTTATTTTACATTGCTGTCCCACATTTTCATGTCACTACTGAAACAGAGAGTTTTAGTTCATAGGTGGAACCTTATTTTAGCCACACCCCTGCATTTTAGAGCAGGAAGTGAGACTACATCCCTGTCCCTCATGACCACATTGTGAGCAATTAGATCCCATTTTTTTGAAGCAAATGTGTCCCAGAGTCTGGAATCAGTGTGTAACATTACCAAAACACATATTTTTTACTATTAAAGCAGAAAGTAAACTTATAATATTCTGAGTTTATGTGTGTACAGCTGTTCAGTGCTGTTTGCTAATCATGTACTGGCTAGCGTTTTTGAGTTGTGCTCAAAATGAGCTAAAATGGTCCCTCTCAAAAAAGTCACTGCTGAAACAGCAGCGCTTTTAGCTAACTTCACTACTTTCTATGTGCGTAATGTAATTACTAGCTAACTACTATACAGAGTTTCTACATATGTAGCGAGGCTCTGTCAAAGTCTGATAACGTTAAATTATAGGCAAAATAGATCACTATTTTTTGGTTTCTGATCAGCGATGCCTGGGCAGTAAGTTTTTCTGTTTGAGTTTCCTGTGTTATTTGTATCAGGGGTTAGCTTATGATGCTGTCTGAGCCACTCACATGCTGTAAAGGCACTAAAGTCAGATGTAAATGTGACATCACTTTGTTTAAATAGCATCACACATATTTGTTTTAACATGTTTATTTTGTCAATAAATTGCGGTTCATTTGATTCAGAGCGTTTAAAATGTTTTTTTGGTTGCAGAGGATTCAGGGGTTTATTTTCCTTTTACAGTCAGTGCAGTTGCATTAAGAGGTTTTGGAAATAATGCATAAATTGTTACACAACTGATTTTTTATTTTACGTTAAGAATCTTTATAACTTTATCATCTCTCTCTCTCTCTTTCTCTCTTTCTCTCTATCTCTCTCTCACACAGGATAACCGCACTCTGAAGGAACAGAATGATGAGTTGAATGGACAGATTATTAATCTCAGTATTCAGGGAGCTAAAAGCCTCTTCACCGAGTCCCTGTCTGAGTCTCTGGCATCTGAAATCAACAATGTCTCTCGTGTAGAGGTGTGTACCACACACACACGCATCCACAGTTCAGTGTTAGAAATACTGTGTAGTCTTAAGTACTGAACCTACTGATGAACACTGACAGACACTCATTTTTCATATGTGGCACTTACAGTAATTTTTTTTACCCTGTATGTGTAGCTAATGGAGGCCATCCAGAAGCAGGAGGAGATTAACTACCGCTTACAGGACTACATCGACCGCATCATCGTGGCCATCATGGAGTCCAACCCTTCTATTCTAGAGGTCAAGTAATCACCATGACAACAGCCCCCCTGGGGCAGTCTGTGCTGGATGGACGCTGGACTGGATCTGGCGGCCACACTGGACCCAACACACACCTCCTAGGAAGTGGATTTCTATTTCTGCTTCACAGCTGCTTTTCCGCTCTCTGCTACAAGACAAGATTCAGCGCTTCTGTTCTGGCACCATTAATGCGTCTCCAAGGAATAAAGTACTATTCTGTGAAGGAAGAGTTGTGAGTGTGCAGGCGAGGATGATTTGCATGGCTGTTGGTTCCTGTGAATCCCCTGTGTTGTGGGATTGAGGGGCCCAGTCCCTCTGTGTGTGTGAATGGGTTTGAATGTGCATGTGTGTGTGGCAGGTCCTCATTAAAACATGTAGGCAACATGCGCTCACACATATTTACCACTACATTTTACTTTAGGGCAGTGTAAATAAGTCTACATAAGCCTTTCGTGACAACTGATATATACCTACCATTTGTCATGAGGGTTGCAGTTGCCAACTTTAATGTCATGTTGACATAACATCTATATCAGGTGCTAATATTTTCTGACATAAGGTTGTCGTGACACTTTCTGGGGTAAAATGACAGACTTTGTAGCTCAGTACGTGTGACGGTGACACAATGTCGATTGCGACATCAGGCTGGTTGAACAAAGGTAAGCATTTTCTGTGGCCATTACATGAAGTTAATTAAGTTTTTAGATTTTATAAGATTTAAGGTATGTCACATCATCAGCATCATGTCATGGCATGAGCGGATTCAGATGTGTGACCACATTGGCACCGGCCCCAGTGAAAATCTGAAAACATTTACTCGCCACCTATATTTTTAGTGAAATTCGCTGCTCTGAAGAGTTTTTACGTTTTGATCCCTGCTGTCGACAAGGGGACTTCTGAAGGAGAATCATTTTCCCCAGCAGCAGATCATGGCTGTTTATATACACATGAAAAAGTTTCAAAAGTAGTTTCATTTTTGTATGGGATTTCTTGATGGTCCAACTGTGTTAAATATATGTTTGTTATCATTGCTTGCGGTTGAGACTAGCAGTTACCAATTTGTTTTTGTCTAGTATTGAAGTAGAACATGTTGATTTCTGTGAATTGGCCACAGAGAACTAAACAACAAATTAAGTAAGTGATAATCATTTGGGTCCAAGCACTTTATGCAGTCACTATAGACCTGTAGGCAGATGGAACACAAATGATGGGCATAGTTTTTATAACGGCCTCTATTTACAATAATTGTTGATGAAAAGTCAAAAGCAGATGTCTGCCGAAATTTCATACGCACTGGCCTTTTGACCTTAGCATGGTAAGCAATCGGTTTTGAACAAATAAGACTCATATTGGCATAGTTGTTGAACTCTGTGAATCAAATAATTCTATAGCAATTACTTCTCTCATTGTATTTTATTCCCAGAGTGCACCATTTTCATTTTAAAATCACTGACATTTTCCCTGGTGGACCAACCCTCCTAACCCTCCTACAAGAACTTGTCACCTTTTCACTGCTTGCAAGTTTGCCAGTCTAAATATAGTAAGTTTGAAATGATTAGCCTTGTGATTAGATGTTTTTCCATGTCTGCTACTGATTGTAAAACACACAATAATAAACAGAATGAGCCATGCGAGTAGTGTGGTTGGTGCTTAGTATAGATATTGGCAGATCATCATGGAGCTCTTTGAACTTGAAGGCATTTATTTTGGCCCCCTGAACAGAAGCTGTGACCTCAATATGGACCCGCCTAAAAATAATCCCTGAATCGCCTCTGTCATTGTGATTTACAGTGTGCTATCCTAATGTCACAAAAAGAATCAGTCACCTGACATAGATGTTTCATAAATTTGACATCAAAGTTGACAAATACACTACACACATGTACAAATGCTACGAAGTCAGTTGTCATGTAATGCTGTCACTTCACAAGTCATCTTTGTGTTATGTCAACGAGACAAAAACAGCCTTTATGACAGAAGACGCTTATTAGAATAAGCCTTTAAAAATGTCCTTATGAGCTTATGTAGGTGTCATGTAGCCTTATGAACACTGCCCTTCTGTGAAGTGTTATGAGAACATAATACTTTCTATACACACGTTTTTCACACATATACATATAAAGCTGTTATTTTACAGTGTCATGTTTTGGCTATGAGTTGAATCCCGGTATAGCTCCATGAGTACACCCGTGTGAGGGACACTGTGTGACCTGAGGGTGTGTGACTGTACGTGTGCGTATATGTGTCTTCACATATTGTTGATGTCATTACAAAATGATCTCTGTTGTTGTTTGCTGACATTGTTAAGCAGCTTTAAAGAATGTCCTGTGTGTTCATGATTGTTGTTTAGTTGTAGATTTCTGTTTTATCTCATCTCGTTTATTTATTACGATGAAGCAGAATGTGAGGGCTCGAAACACACCACAGATCACCTGAATCCTCCTCCCTGAAAACAGCTGCTTGTAACCAACAGAAGAGCAGCTAGTTGTATGCTGACTGGGCACATGGTGGTGCATTGTGGGAAGTGTAGTTCTGTGCCCTCACGCAGATCTCCTGCTGAGTGAGAGAAGCTTGATGCGAAGGAGTGCCTCCTGTGGCCTGGATTAGAGCAAGAGACTTTCTTTTCCTGTACAGAAAAAAAATCTGATTAGTTTGAATGAAAAATGAGAAAGGATATATATATTTCTTCTAATACAAGCTAAAAAAAAATCTTGAGACTGAAGAAAGCGATTGCACTCTTGAAGGAACTTTACGTTGCTTGGACACCTTGTGGGATGTTTTGGCTGAATTTTGCTGAAACAGGAAGAGCCATTTGCAGTTATTAATTATTAAAGAATGAAAAAGCGGACGGAATGACGGAGAGAGAGATGTTGCTTTGAAGGACTAGAGCGGATGGAGAGGGAGAATCTGTTTTCCATCTCTCTCTGTGCAGCCTCTCTCAGAAAATGAAGTGAAGCTCAAACTGACTACTGAGACTGTGTACACACCCTCCCTTCTCTTTGAATGTAAATAATGATCTGTAAAATGGTTTTCCATTCTATCTCTCAGTTTCACAGTTTCTCACAGTAGGTATTTTTATAGACACAGGGAAAGAAGATTAGTTTGATTTTGTCTTCCACCCTCTCACATGTTCTTCTCAGCCGTGTCACGTGCATGTGTGTGTGTATGCTTGTAAATCTCTCTGGCAGAGCTGGCACAGGCTTGGAGATTTAGGCTTGTGTCAAGTGACTAAGAGGGCTGATCTAGGATCAGTTCAGGATCAGATGCCTTTCATATCGGAGTGAATGTAATTAGATGGACAGGCACGAGCTGAGTCTAGGTCAGGGGTTCCCAACCTTCTCAACAAAACGGGCGTGGTGGTGGCGGATTGGTGGCGCATGGTTTTAGCTTGTTTTGCAGTAGCGAACCATCACATTAAAGTTAGGCCTTCAATTCAAGCCATCAGTGTTACAGCTCAGTCAAATCATGTGGGGAAACCCACCTCTACAATAAGGCTAACTTCTGCTGGCATCCCTGTGAATTCTAGTAGTTCATTAGCGCTAAGCTAATGCCAATTTGCAAAATTTTTTTAAAAGACATTCTGTGCTCTATTTGCAGCGTGTGACAGACATATTAGCATATGTTTTACCTGGCAGAAGTTTCATTGACTCTTTCAGAAGCCTAGTATAGACGTGCCATTGTTTTTCATTTCTAACAACGCACTGATTACTCTGCCACTCGTTTTCTCTGTCAGTTTTTTCTACATGAAAGTAGTCCCTCCTATTGGAAATAGAAACGTAATTGGTTGGTATCTTTTGTTGAGTCCTAACCAATAGGAGAGCTCGCTTATCTATCTAGATGCCATAGAGAAAAACAGTGATTGACTGTTGGGCGTTTCAAGAATCTATTTAATTCATTTTGTTTTTATCCAGAACTTAACAATGAAACAGTAGTCATACTGTAATACTGGCAGAATTTAAATACAAGCATGATTCTATTGATTAATCCAAAAATTACAGATATACGTATTTTTTAGTTTCCAGAATCCATCAGGCCTTCTCTGAAGGCCTAAATGTCCCTGAGGGTTCCTCTCTGGTATGTGATGCTAATCTAAACCATCTAGGGCCTTGTTTTGAGTATTACCTGGCTGAACACCTTACACAAGTGTGTTGATGCAAACACTTGAAACAGCTTCTTCAGTTTGCACTGGCTAGCCACTTACTGCACTTGTTGAGGGCAACAGGCACAAACGGTACAGAGATGTGAAATACACCATATGGAATTATGAAATAACCGGTTCGGGAGGAGGACTATGTCTGAGGCTCATCCTCCTTCCATTCTTGCATTTATTAAATTACCCATCCCTACCTTCCGTTTCACATGACAAACTTGTAGCACCCCACCACCGCCCCGTCTCCTCCATATTCTCTGTATCACACCTCTGTTCCTTAAGGGGGTCTGGCCTTCTAGCTTAAAGCGGTAGCTGTGCAGAAGTCCAGCTCAAGTTCTCAGAGTTTTCTCCTACAGTCTCCTCTCATATTACAACCATATGCTAAATGCTAGCAAAATATATTTTAATTACATACAGCTTTTACATTTTAATGGCATGAATCAAGGTTTAAATGAAAAGACAGTATTAATAATGACAATATCTTTAATAAAAATCTGCTCACTGCTGCATTATTGCAGCCTGGGCCCAGTATCGGTCTGCAGCCTGATGGTTGGGAACCTCTGTCCTAGGTCATTATGAGCGGCCTGATGATGTTGCCTGAGGTGCTGTGGGTCTGACCACACTGACTTTTTTCATTGCTCTTGCTCCTTTTTGGAAATCTGCTCTACACATTAGAATTCAACACTGCAGCTCCCCCTCCGTAATAAAGTGAAGTGGTCCAGTCCTGTGCTTCAGGGTTTGGTGTACAGTCCATTCAGAGCTTTAAAAGGGGTGTTTCTGTTTTTCCACTTCAAAGGACAGTGCTAATATACAGACAGCCTTCTCCTGCCTTTTAGAAGCTTGGGTCTGCTAACTAGCGTGTGCGAGTGCCTCATTCTTTCTTTCCCTTTCTCCTCCTCTCTCTCTCTTGCTATCTCCGTCAATCGTCTTTAAAAGCTGCAGAAAGAGCGCCAGTAGCACTGATCACACACTACTATCATTAACATGTCTAACAGTAAATGCTGACCTTTAAAAAAAGAAAAAAAATGTGTATGAAGTACTTTTTGTGAATTCTCACTCACACTTCCAAATGTCCAAAGAAAACATTTCACTGCTGAGCAGGAGCTCCACTTGTCACTTAGAAAACATGAAGAATACTAATTTTAGTATATCAGTAAATATTAAAAAAAATCTTGTTGTAATGAAGGATAAAATTGTAAAGTGAAGTTTATTCTAATTATGAAGGAACATGTATAAATTAAGAGATCAGTATTGTCTTCTGCTGTAAGTTTTTTTTGTTTTTTTCTCTTGTTCTGATTATTTTGAAGATGCCCCACAAGATGTATCTCTTACTGTATGGGGGTCCTATAGATTTTCAATTGTACAAAGGTAAAATAAAATAGACACAAATAAATAAAATGAACATATCTCCTACCTGCGTGGCCCAGTCTCTCTTTGCTGAACACTGATGGGAGCTTAGCCCTTTTTTCATGCATGCAGCTAGCATGTCAAATCCACTGTGGATTCATGTTGTAAAGATGCAGTGTGTAATATTTAGTGGTGTCTAGCAGTCAGATTATATGAAACCCTCCCTCACCCCTCCCTTACCCAGCGTGTAGTAGAACCTAAAGTGGCTGTCATGTTTTTGCTTCTTTGACAACACGGATTCACCCTCTCTGGCTTTTTCTTGTGATAAAAAATAAACCTCTCACTACACAAAATGGTTAGCCAGCACTGGCAGCAACCACTGAATCTTCTTCTTTCTAGGTAATCCAACTGCTGCTATAATGTAAAAACGTGAAAGGCACTCTCTAGAGCCATTGCTTGCTTTGTCCATTATGACTACTGTAGAAACATGGCAGCCTCTGTCAGAAGAGGACCTGATCCCTGTGTAGATATTAAGGGCTCATTCTAAGCTAATGAAAGCACGATTTGTAGTTCCAGGTGATTATACACTAATGAAAACATGTTTTTATACACTGTATTCCATTTCTGCTAATAGATTCCCCAAAATCTTACACACTGCACCTTTAAAAAGAGCAAACCGAGTTCCAAATAAAGGGCAGACCTCAGTGAGCACTAGATGATTACTGTGCTTGGGCCTTTTCCCCAGTTTAGTCATAGCAAAATCCACCCTCTAGTTAGGTCTCCTCCATCACACAATGCCATCAAGCTGGGAGAGTGAAGGCTAACATGCTTCTGAATTGCACCTAATGCAACATCATTATACACCTCAACACACTTGGAAGATAACGCTAACTGACAGTTCTGTTACTTCAGCTAACAGACACCCACGTTGGCTAGCATTGCGCTGAGTGATGGAGGGAGAGCAAGGAAAATTCTAGAACACCTGGCCACAAATGGCTAAAAAGTACTGCTAGTTCTGGTGTCTGGCTTTGACCTTTTCACCAACTAAGAAGAAATGCAGCTTGTATTCCAATACATTTTGTGTAATGCAGGTATAAATATACTATGTTGGAATGGCCTGTTACCCATAAATGCAAAATGAAATGTGTACAAAAACTGCAAAATCAGGGTGTTCTTGGTGGTGCTTCAAGGCCAGGGTGAGGAACCACTGGTCTAAGAGAAACCACATGAATGGGAAGTCTTCTTGCTCAGCATTTTCTGTGGAGGAATGTGTGGCTTAGCAAAGGCCAGAGCTTCCTGCTAGCCTCACCCCCACTGCCAGGATATAATATCCTGCCTTCTGCATAGGATTGGCTTGCAGGTCATACCAACAGAACAGTTTGCCAATCAGTGGGTCCACAGTTGAGTCTTCATACCACAATTGATAACTGTAGTGTGAAATCTCATTGTCAGAATATTACACTTACCAGATCAGTGCCATTGGGTCAACACTGAATCCGTTGGTCACACCTCATGACTCTTGCCCCTCTCACCTTCAGCTGTCAGTACACTTTCACTCCATGTTAAAATTAATCCATCACTGGCTACTCGAAAACATCACCCCGTGCTGTTCGGTTGGTTATGTTCATTTTTAATAAATATTTGTACTTACAGTCCTTCTGATTCTGACTAAAGCCTTTCTCCATGTTTTGTTTAACCAGGTTTTGTATGCAGTAACGTTTGCTTACATTTGCTTACATCACGTTCCTTTCTGATGTAATCATGCCTGAATGAAGCAGCTCTTACATTCTCGTGAATTTAGTGTCTTTTTTCTACACCACAGCCAACTGCAATGATATTCAACAATGTGTGCATGAGTTACATGCCTCATATGGGCAGCACTTCCAATGCATGCTATCCATGCATAAATTATTAAGGAAACCTGTGGGTTGCAACCTGGAAGGTGGACTGCTAAATTTAGGGTCAAGAAAAGTATGTCACCCTAGATGCATGACCTTTTTAAAGGAGAGGAGACAGCAGCCCCACTGAGAAATCTGCGAGTATCTGGTGATGAGAGTAAGTTGGATGTTGCAGGTAGGGTACATATACTTTTAACAGGATTCTGCTGTTGATGAATGTCATAAAAGCTGTTTTGTGGGAAAAATGCATGCTAATGTAATATTTCATAGGACAGGACTCAATTCAAATGACATGGTTTGTTGATTTTCTAAGGGAAAACAAGTTAATACATCCTCTACAGAGAATTTTTCTGTAAATTTTAGTGCACAATTTCCATTTATTTGTTAAGTTTAACATGCTGGAAAATTAAACACAAATACAAAATGTGTTGGAACTTTTGCATGGGTCACATTTTATGTTTATTTTTTTCTCAATAGGTGAAAATCATTAAACGGTAATTAAATGCGTGTTCTTTGTAGTGGATGTGCTCATTTATGTTCACTTAGAAAATCAACTAAAAGTCATTTAACAAATAGTTTTTACCTGATTCCTGTTGTCTGATTCCAGTTTAGTGACACATGTTAAGGTAAGTAACTGAAGGCAATGCTTTGTAAACATGTATGTGGCTCTCTATGTAAACAGTGGTCATGCTTGCTCACTGTCCACTTCTGTCAATATTTATCATATGGCCTGTGTTCCTGTTCAAGGTGGGACGACAGTCCAGAGGCAACATTTCCCGCGTTTAAAGGGCATCCTAAAAAAAGAAAGGCAGTATGTTCCTCGGCACACAGACCAGGGTACTCCTCCTGAATGACATGGAGAGACTGGACAGGACTCTGTTTCGCCTGGAACAAGGTATGTCCAGCCTTAACAGTGGATTTCTGTACTATTGAGACAGTTACTTTAAGGTAGATATTTGCTTTGAAGGAAATGCTGGTTGCTGCTCTGGACGGCTTGATTTGCAGCAGATCGTGCCACTAAGCTTAGGTTTTGCTTACACTAGTCAGTCTATCTGAGTCTTACTGAAACACAAGCCTCTTACGCTGGAGGTGATTTATGTGTCACATATTTTGCATTACCTAAGCGTATCTTGTAAGGACCAAAATATCACTTAGATACATAATTAGCAGACAAACTGCTGTGGGTTTTCTTTGCGTTTTGTGTCCTGTTCCAACGTCTGACTGTGCAGTTGGTGCGATCCAGCTCTGACCAAGCTGTGTTAACCCTTTAAACCACAGTCAGAGTAATCAGTTATTAAAATTAAGACTTATTGTCCAATACCTATACTGAATTATTTGGTAACTTCTATGAATATAATATGTACATCATGTAGTTTAAGTGAAGAACTGATGTGTAGGCTCACATATAGATCTTTGCAGTCAAACATCCTAAAGTGCATGTGTATTATAAAATTATTGATCTTAACTACTATGAAACCAGTGATATGTAGAATTCCACTGATTTATCAGAAATCTACATAATTCAAAAGTTGAGATGTAAACAAAGTCATTCAGAGTGATTTAATTTGAAATTGTAGAGACACTTACTTGACTGACTTTACAATGGATCCAATCCAAAACCATCAGTGAACCAACATGTTTTTATTTGTAAGGGTGATGATGGTAAAATAGTGGTAAACATGAGAAAATATGTTTTCTTTTAGATCTGTTTTGCCCAACAATGTCCTGCATGAACCTTTCCACCATGAATGGATTTGAAAAACCTTAACTCAAATCCATAGTAAACTGTAGCAAAACAGTCTCAGGAATTAGGCGAGATGTAACAATTTTGTATAATAGTTTTCAGTGATGTGGCTTTTAGAGGTATTAAATACTTCAGACGTCTGGTTCGTATCACCAACACTGAGAACAATTCTGACTCTGTTTCTCTAGAACTGAGCATTTCACATCAAACCACGCTGAATGACTTTGTTTACATCTTAAACATTTAATTATGCAGAAATTTAGAAAAATCTGTGGAATCCCTCAGAATTCACAGTTTCAATGGTTGTCATGTTTATGCTTATCAGTGTTCCCTCACTACAAAAAAATAAACATTCAACCTCTGGAAATCCCTGTGGTGTCAACCAATCATGACTGCTAGCCACTGATTAATAGGCTAAATACAAACAAGCTAGCAGTAGTGTAACTCTCACCTTGGACTTGGAAAATCATAAAGATTCTATCTTTATTCAGCACAATATGGACACTAGAAACAGTTTTTTTAGCCTTTTATCCAGAAGAAAGAAATCAAGTGGATGTATCTCTCCATTGTAATGATGATTTGAAGAAATTACCACAATTATACATAGCTGCAATAATAAATTCAGCTTCCTATTAATAACGTTAGCTCTCTTGTTTCCTTCTGCCTTCAGAAGCCAGTAAAAAAAAATCATTGCAAAAAGCTTATCCTCAAAAATTCACTCCAGCGCAGTTATAGTTATAAAAGATCTTTCCACCTTAAGTATACTTCATCAGAGGGGAGTTTCCTAGTCTTTAAACTGGAATATCTCAGAGACTACTACTGCACCGCTGTAGGATAGAAGCAGACATGTTTGAGTACAGCTGCCTTATATCTACATTAATTGGGTATTTGATCAAGTACACCTAGGTGTGCAGTTATAGACTGTAGCTCTTCTGTTGCTTTGCAATTTACTAGCCACCATTGTCATTCAAAAGAGGCCCCCATAGGACCACCACAGACCAGATATTATTTTTGTGGGGAACCCTTCTCATTAGTGACACTGACATGGTAACAGCATGGTGGCGTGTGTGTCACTGGTACGAGTGTACAGGCACAGCAGGGTTACCTCCAAAGTGCACCTATGTGGCAAATGTATCTGATTAAATGGTAAAACATAGGTGTTCCTAATATACTGACAAAGTGTAATGTTAGATTTGTGATTTGAATTGTCACAAAAAGAAGTACTAATTTCTAAGAACAGGAGAAAGACTGTTCTAAGTACTCCTAAAGAAGGTCTGTCTCTCATGTTCATGTATTTCTTTCACATGCTGTTTTGAATAGGCTTTGAGCTCCAGTTCCGTCTGGGGCCGACCCTGCAGGGGAAGCGCGTTCGTGTCCACACCAACTACCCGGCAAGGGGGAAAAAGTTCAACAGCCAGGAGTTCTGCGTACTTGAGTGGATCAACCCCACAGGCAGGGAGGATGACTCGGACAAGTACTGCAAACTGGACCTTGAGATCGCTGGCTCCTATCAGTACTACTTCGGCTGTGGGTGAGTGGACAAGCTGTTTGATTCCTTGTTTCGAATCACTTTGCATTTTTCTTTCACTTTCATCAGTTTAATAAAGGTTTTAGTGTATAAAGATAATTGAAACCATTAGGGAGAACAATCTAAGTGACGTTCTGGTGTATCATGTTGAGAGTTTCTGGAAGGTTCTATCTCTTATCCACACTGGTTCATTTTGACTGTCATTATTCTGGAACAGGATAAATACCAGTGATGGTGTTTGTTGGGTGTGCCATGGCCTTTACAATGATCTTTGTGTTACGATGCCTGAAACGTTCACATGGCTGTAGATATGTGTAAAACATCTCTGTCTGCCCCAACTTTACTGTCAGGGATGAGGAGAAGACAGGTGGGGGCTACATTGTGGTGGATCCTGTGCTACGTGTGGGCCACGAGAGGAACATTCTGCCTCTGGACAGCATCACCATTCAGACTTATCTGTCCAAGTGCCTGGGTCCAATGGATGAATGGCTAGACAGATTCAGAGTAGCCAAGGAAACTGGTGAGAGTCTGAAGAACACACACAGCATGATAGTGGTCATAAATGCACCAATATTGAGATTAATATTGATACTGGGACAAGACTGATACTAAAGGACTATTTGTGTTAGTCCTGCAGCTACTGGTAACACTGTCCAGCAGTTAAAACTAAGAAAAATTGGTTTTCCACTTTTTTTCATGATTCAGTTTATGGAATGTCAATATAAACTCTCTTAGTTGAATCTTAGGTCAATCTCTTAGTTATTATAGTGTTTTACTTTGTGCACCACACATCAACACAGTGTATGGCAGTGTGTCAAGTTGAAATTCCCATAGCTAATTGCACCTGTAAAGATTTCCAAAGATTTTAACAGCATTTGTTGTCCTGTTACGAAGGATCTGCTCTTTTCACTCAGGTTACAATATGATTCACCTGACGCCATTGCAAAAGCTGGGAGAGTCGCGGTCCGGCTATTCCATTGCTGACCAGCTGGAGCTGAACCCAGAATTTTCCCCTCCGGGGAAGAACTATACGTGGACGGATGTAGGGAACCTGATCGAAAAGATCAGGAAAGAGTGGAATATGCTTTGCATTACTGACGTTGTGTACAACCACACAGGTACGATTCTGTTTAGACTGTTCCTCTTACATTTAAGGAATTTTACAGCCACTCTTATCCAGAGCAACTCCATGATCTTGCCCCTTTAATCCCACAGCTCAGGCTTTGAGAAACAGTGCTTTACTTTACTCTTCTCCCCAAAGCAACAAACCCATGATCTTTTTACAAGCTGAGTACAAGCTGAAACCAAAACATGGCTCATGTGGAGTGAGAGAGGAGTGTTGCTCTCGGTTGCATCACGCTCCCAGTTTCTGGAGCTCTGTGTCACTGACTGTTCGTCTGAAGGTCAGCTCTGTCAGTTCATCTCCCAGAGAGGGAGATGTCATCATTGAAAAATGGCCCAAACTGTTTGATCTGTTCACCAGGCTGGCAATCTGACAGTCAGAATTCCACATCAGCTCAGCCAGCACAGGAGCACTGCTCATGCCTGTGTGACAATGCTGTGCTCTTTTGACATTTCGCTGATACAGTGGGGAGCTAAAAGTGGAGTCCAGCATTATCCCTGACATTACCGTGTTTCATCTGTCCTCTCAGTGTGCTCAGAGGATATCCACACTCTGTTCAGTGTGAGCTTATGGAATACTTTCCTAACCGATCTTGTTTTGAATGAAGGTCGCATCTGTATGCTGTCCTTTTAGATGCTAAAAATACTTTACATGTAATGGGGGCTCATCCCAAAACAGCAATACGTGATTGGGCTGACCACAAATTAGCCTTTTAGTAAAGAGGGCAGAGGTTGTATTAGGATATGGATATCAGAGGGAGACTTGATAAAGACTCTAGATCAGGGGTAGCCAAACCTTTTGTCTTGTGAGGCTAATGGCAGAGGGACAAAAGACTAAACAGCTAGCTAGCAACTCATTTTAGGTTTTCAGATGTTGCCAGTAAACATGGAGGAACTGTATTCTTTAAATACTCCAGTGGTTTCCTTACATACAAGGCACCCTGCAGTGTACAACCACCTGTCACAGTCTTTTAGCTCTTATGTGTTGTTATTACTGCTTATGTTTTATTACCAAAGTAGTTCAAAAATAACATTTTAGAAGGAAAACAAGAAAAAGATAAGAAGCTGTGTAGAAGTACATGGCTATCACTGGCTGAGGGATGGGGGTTAAGGCATCTTTCTTGGGCCAAACCAAATGTCCTTGTGGGACATTTTTAAGTTCAAGGACATGTTGACCCGCATCCTGGTCAGCACTCCAACTCTATGAGCAGTACTGCAGTAATTTTGAACCTCAAATTCAATTCAATGTTAAACTGAAAGTGCAGATGTATTGTTCTTAAGCAGTTCCCCAAATGGTGCAAGCTAAAGGCTTGAGCATAAAATGATGAGCAGAAAGGGTCACGCACATACTCTACATGTCCAAAAGGATCCAGACAACTCATCTAATTAGTGAATTCAGCTACTTAAAGGTGTACTCATTGCTTTCACAGGTATTTGATTAGCACACAGCTTGTATATTCATTAATACTGGTATTTTGTACAAGTGTAATCTTTTAATCTTTTATTGTGTGGATACTCACATTCTCTTCTTGCAAAAAAAGTAAGTTATGTTGCACATAACGGGAGATTTTTAGGATTAATTTATTAAAAAGATTTCATTTTGAGATATGCAAGCATTGATGCTAACATCAGCCTTGATAGAAGAGTGAATTAGACTTCCTGTATCTGCAGTGCTAGCATTATTTTTCATGGCTTTCCTCACTCTGAAACACCCAATTAGCCAATTATGAAGCTAATGACAGGCATCACAATTGACTAACAATATGGGTCAACTGTGTTAGAATGTAAGGGGGGCTCCAGGACAGAAATCACCTTGACAAAATGGAGGCTCCACCAGTTTGAAATACCAAATGTTTCTGACCTTAAAACTCATATGTTGCTAGTTTGAACCATACCTTCAATATCGTATTCGTAGTAGGAGAGTGTTTGACTGATGGAGGGGAGAGAACTGTGAGAACTAGAGCTGGAGTTCTGGGCAGTTTCTGCTTCAAGCTAGAAGGCCGGACCACCCTTGATGAGCAGAGATAGGTCTGAGGACAGGACTGAGAAAACCTTGTCATAGGAAACAGAAGCTAGAGATGAAACTGTATAGGACATTCGATTGGAAGGCATGGCCTTCATCCTAAATTTTAGCTTGATTTTGTATCACTGTTACTATGAGGAGTTTATCTAGCTAAAAATCTAAAAATAAAAAAGAAAGGCTATGTTTAGCCAACAAGCCATTTACTTGAAACTATGTTGCATGGGTCATGAATTGTCAGTCCTGTTGCTGCTCCTTGTCTCAAGAGCCCAAACCCAAAACTGTACTGGGCTGTTTTCCAGATTTTTTTCCTCCAGAAAATGTGTTGAACAATTAAAGGTGAGACCCTGCTCTTGTAAAATAAAATTGATAAAGAAAAAAGCAATCCACTGGAACTGTGATGTTGCAGAACATATTTTAACTTTGTTCTATCTTAATGTGATTAAGTTAGATTTGCTTGGCTTGAACTTACTTTACTTTACCAGTTTCAAGATTTTGTGTATTTGCAGTCAAGGAAATGAGTGCATCCTTTTTTTTTTGACCTCAAAAAAGCTGACTATAATGTTTCCAATTTCAACATGATGTGCAATACAAATATACATGTACAGTAAAGCCATGGTAAAGGAATTGGCTTTCAAACTACCGAGTGAGGTGTCGGTGATCAGAAGGTCAAACGACTGCACGTATTCTGAAATCCTATCCACACCAAAGCTTAAAGGGGATCCTCTGTCTAGATCTATAAATGGCACATGAATGTAATGCTAAATATGTGCAAGAAGACAGGTTTAAACATCTTAAAAGTTCAGGGCGATTAATCATGTCATGTGAGGCTGTGGGCTAAAGTCCTGAGCTAAAACAACAACTATGTTAATGTTTAATTCAGTTTATTTGAAGCTTAGATAAAATTGAGCCTGATAAAATTATGGACAGGGAGTACTGGGCTTACATTGTGCGTCTATCTTACTGTGTACTTTAACCTTAAATGCTAACGAACGTAGATAACTAGCTAGCGTTAGCCGACTTAGCTTACCGTGCTAAGGTTAACGTTAGCTAGCTACTTAGTTTACACGATAACTTGAGGTTAGGGAAAAAAAACTTAAGTTACTGTGCTTGACACTGGTTAGCACGGCTAGTTATCTTATCCTGCTAAAAGGAACGAAGTTAAGCTTGGTAAGTTAGCTAAAAGAAACCTTAATTCAAATTAAGCTAGGTTAACTAGCTAGCTAGCGTTAGCTAACAGTTTGCAAGTTTACCCAAAGAGTTCTAACAGACGAAACCGACTGAGTTACAGCAAATAAACAAATGAACATACGGGTGAATACAATACGGGCTGTATGGACTTTAAGTTTTGAAGTGTGCTGGAATAGTGTATATCAAGTAATTTTGACAGTAAAACTGTACAGACAGTAACACTGCACAATGAAATTCCTACTATGCAAACGCTATATAAATACCAAGCATTTAAATATAATATAAATACTAACTTTGAAAATATACGTTATTTACAGTGTACATGCTAACAGATTCTTACAGACATGAATACTAAAAATACTACTACTACTGCTGCTACTACTACTACTACTGCTACTACTACTACTACTACTAATAATAATAATAAAGTTTCAAAATAGCCCACTCCCAAAAATCCACCACGAAGCAGTTGTGGTTTTTCAAAAGTTTCTCCCACCTTGAATGTACATCATCAGAAGGGTATTTTCCTAATCTTTAAAGTGGACAACTACAAACTGTAGGATGTGGTTAAGCATGTTTGCAGCAGATGTAGTGATGGTTATTTTTATTTTTTTTGGCCGGCGTGTCTGCAGTCAAACATAGAATGGCGCATACCCATATCTTTTTATAACCTTATTCCATTCATGCTAATTGTGTTCATTGTTTTTCTAAACAGCGGCTAACAGCAAATGGCTAAGACTTCATCCAGAGTGTGGCTATAACCTGGTGAACTCTCCCCACCTGAAGCCTGCCTGGATAATGGACAGAGCCCTTTGGCATTTTAGCTGTGATGTTGCGGAGGGCAAATACAGTGACAGCGGCGTGAGGCCCCTTATTGAGAATGAGAAGCAGCTTAAGGTGAGAGTTGCTTGGGCCCCTTCTCATTGCATACATACACAGCACACACTAAATCACTGTCTCAGTTGGTTGACCATGGCCTGATGATAGAGCTGGGGTGGATTTAGTGATTATGGAGCTTTAGGCAAGAATGGACTCCTGAGTTCATTTTGATTATATACTTTTTTTCTAGGCATTTTTCAGCTCAGTAATTTTATTAAGCAAAATTATCTGGCTATTTTGGCAAGATAAAATTATTTGGTACAGAGTAATGCAGCAGTAAAGTAGTGACTAGAGAGATTGCCTTTTCCAGGAAGTAATAAGTAATATAATCCTATTATATTTTGAGAGAAGTGATTAGTAACATGTAATGGATTTTGGCTTTTTTGAGTAATTACCCCAACACTTGAGCTTTCTATACTAACATTGAAAGTAACATTATGTGTGGTCTGCTGAGCCTGTGCAGTTCTGACTGAAAAAACAAAGCTAGCTTTGAGAGTGTAGTGAGAAACTTTTTGGTTTCCTCTCTATCTTGCATAACTTTATTTGATTTTTTGAACACCTTTGAAAACAAGAACCTCCTGTCCATAATGTAGATCATCACTTAATATCCTTGTTCATATCAGTCCATTATAACTATGACCGGGGGTGGCACTGCTTTGAAATTACTGAAAATAACCACTACAGTACACTACAAATAACTAAATCGCTATTTTAGCTATATATAATATAGCTTAGTTGATAGTTGTGAATTGGGAATGTTTTGAATCAATAAATTACAAGGCAATTCTATTCGCTGATTCAGTTCAGTGATTCAAGCACCTTTAGGAAATATTTTAAAGAAATTAGAGTTGTGATAAAATATATTGAACCAGAAGTCTTTCCCTAATATTTCTCAGGCAAAAACAGAATTTGTCAACTTACTTCATGTTTATTACAACAAAGGCAATGTTAGTGTTTACCTTGCTGACCATATAAATGGTTTGACAGGTTATGTACTCTGAAGACTTTTTTACAGTACTGTATGTAGGAGGGGAGGGAGTAAAAGGTGAAACATGATATTATTGGTTAATATTATTTTCCCTCCCTGCTGGATCACAGTGACATAATCAAAACTCAAACAAGGCAGGCATTATTACATTTTGATGAATGATGATGAATTTTGTCTTTTAAATTACATGACATGATTAGTTGTGCTTTATATGACCAGGCACACAAATTAACAAGGTAAACAAAAACAAAACAAAACAAAACAAAAAAATCCAAATGTAACCCACATGATTTTACATTTACTTTTTATCTGGGAGCATATCTGAGGCTTAAGGACCTTTATATTCTTATAACATTATGATGAATCTGAAATGGAATCTCAGCTGGGCTGTTATCTTAGATTAGGCTCTTTGAATACTTGTTAAATGTAGTATGAATAGGAAGTGATCATAGATTACCTGTCATGGGATTTCAAATGATCTCAGTATTCAAAAAATATCAGTAATCACTTTCCAGAGTTAGGGGCTGTATGTGGAGAAAAAGCACACCATGAATAAAGTGCACATCTTTAATCGTGATTCTTCAGGGCTGTTTCAAAGGTTTCAGCTGTTTCACCTCTTTGGTTGGTTTCTATATGCTCATGAACTGGTGAGCAGTATGAAAACTGAACCACAGTCCTGTCTCCAGACTCTTCAAGAACTCCTGCCGAAGGATGTTTTTTCTCCACTGAAACTGTGGGAGTTCCTCCAGGTCAACGTAGACAAAGCAGTAGAGCAGTTCAAGAAGATGCTGCAGGCTGGTGAGTGTTCTGACTGTCCTGCTGCAACTTCACCAACATAAACACACGTTATAATACTTGGTATTGTACTGTGTTGGTCTGGTGTAGGTGGCAAACCAGACGGGCCAGAAGTGAAGGGTAAGCAAAAGCTGAAGATCATACAGGATCCGCAGTACAAACGCTTCGGAAACACTGTGGACATGAAGATGGCACTGGAGATGTTTGGCAGACACACGTGAGTTGTCTATCCTTAGACATGCCTGGTCTGCTGGTCTTGGTCAGTGGTCAGAAGGGACTGCAGTTGGCCATATTCCCAGAGCGTGAGGGATTGGGCAGGCAGTCTCTGAAGGTGTTAATATGCATGGACAAATGATATGCGCCTTATGAGTGTTGACTCTGCCTGCCAGTACTAAGTCAGGCAATAATTAGGGGAAGTTTAATAGTAGCCTGCATAAACACCTGACCCATAAACCGCTGCTGCTGGTTGGATATTTTTGGATAGTGGAACATTCTCAACCTAGCAGTGACACTGGTGTTTGTAAAAACTACAGTAACACCACTGTGTCCGATGCACTCGCACCAGACACAATAACATACCACTACCGCTACCCTTACCACATACCATACCACAAATAATATGTTGTCTGCAATGGCCCTGTGGTCAGAAACTATTAAAATGCAAGCCTAAAGTGAGCAGACAGGCTGATTATCTATCTTGCTTCGATACTCAGTAGTTCCCAACTGATAACATACACATATCACGCTCAAATATGCAATTAACTAGCAAACATCAAATAAGCAAATATTACTCACCACTGTCCACTAAAGGTGTTAACAATCATCAAATAAACAAAAATTACTCCACACTGCCCTCTAAGTTCCACTAAGGTCGTAAATAAAAACACAAAAAAATCACCTATATTGAATCATGAATTGTTACATATTTTTATGCATTATTGTTGTGCCTAAGAAACTACTACAATGGCATTGGAGCGCCCCTAAACCTCCACATAAGAATGCAAAGATTTTAAAAACTAATAAATATAATTAAGAACAATTATGCGAATCAAGACTGTCTCTATGTGGTTGCGTGTAAAGCTGTTTAGGCCTTCTCACTTGGCTAACACTGCCTTCTAGTGAACACAGTCGAATGTGGAGCGAAAGTAGCCTAGGCTAACAGCTCCATGCACAAAAACACAGGTTTACTCGCTCAGATTGGAGTTTTATTCTCTAAATTTGCGTCACTGAGGTTTCAGTGGGCTTCAATGAACCTTTACTGTGGTGAAACTGTTGCATGCTAAGCTACTGCAGTAGCATGCTATCTGCTACAAGAACAGTGGCAGGTGCCAGCGAGAGGCAGCATGAGGCCAATGCCCAAGCGCCAAGGACTAACGAGAGCCCACTATGGACGCCCTGGTGTGGCCTCCCAAGCTTCTCCACACTTCTAGCAGCCCAGCCGCCAGCCAAGTTTTCTCTTTCACCCTCTCAGCCCATGTGCTTATGCTGCTCTTAACAAGAGCCAGGTGATGCTTTGGCATTGGCAACATGAACTCATGCAGCTTCCCTGCAGCTCTCATTGACGTGTGGGTCTTGGGCGCTGACCTCATGCCGCTTCTTTCAGCTCTTGTTGGCATCTGGTTCAGCTCATTCATAATATACAAACTAATCTGCAGCATGCCACACTTAACACCAGATCCAGTGACTAATTTGAATTTTGAACTGACTGCCCATAAATCATTTATTTAAATTTAAATCTAACTACTGAGAAAAAGACTGGGATTTCACATTTCACATTAAGGAAAACTGAATGTTTGTTTTCTAAATAAAAAAAAAAATAGGAAAAGAAAAGTGTTTTTTAGGTTCAGTGATTTTTAATAATCAACAGGAATGGCCCAGCAGCAATCCAGGTGTGCTGTGATTGGTTTAAGAAGAGTCTGGAGGAGCTAAATGTGGAGTGCTATAAGGAAATGCAGGGCCATCACGAGAAGGTCTGCTTCAGTTCAGTTGTGCATCTCCACAGTCTTTCACGTTCTATAGAATTCCACATTTTATCTGTGTATTTAAACTCATGTGTTGGCTTTAGGCTATAAACTGCATCATAGGGACTGTGCACTATGAACGTCTCGCAGCTAATGGTCCCAAACTTGGACCTGTCACCAGAAAACACCCTTTGGTGACAAGGTAAGCATATGATGCTTCACATTAACCATTTTTTAGTGAACTGTCCTTAGATTTCACTTTCTTTTTCTTCTAATGCAGATATTTCACCTTCCCTTTTGAGGACATGCCCATGGAGAAGGAGAAACTCCTGCTACAGAGCCCTGATGATGCCTGTCATTTCCTGGCCCACAATGGGTGGGTGATGGGAGATGATCCTCTCAGGAACTTTGCAGAAACAGGTGAGATGCAGCATACAGACATCATAACCTAACAAAATCATTTGGATAGAAATGTAGCTGCTGTTATCTACAAAAATAACAGCAGGAAGAGCAATAATATGTAGATTTAATCTTTCACCACGCTAATCTGTGACTGTCCCTCCTTTCAACAGGTTCTAATGTATACCTGAGGAGGGAGCTGGTCTGCTGGGGCGACAGTGTGAAGCTTCGCTATGGCGATAAGCCTGAGGACTGTCCATACCTGTGGGCACACATGAAGAAGTACACAGAGATCACAGCCAAACACTTCTGTGGTGTGCGGCTGGACAACTGCCATTCTACACCTCTACATGTGGCTGAGGTAACGTTACCGGCTTGTTGAGCCTTTCTGTGTGATCAGTTAGTTTTGTAGTGTAATATCTTGTATGTATGTAAAAATGTTATTATTTTATACACATATTTTAATTTGAATAAAGTATAGTTCTTTGGATTTCAGATATCTGCCAAAGAATCTGAGACACCAGTATGTACAGTACTGTGCAAAAGTCAGAGACCGCCCTTCATTTCCAAAACAGCCATTAAGTATGAGATATTCTTTTTTTAAAGGAATATTTCTGATGAGATCAGATAAAGTGGGGAAAGGGAACAAATGAGAAGAGAAATATGTAAAAAAAACCCCAAAAAACAGGAGTTTCTGAAACTGGACCTCTGGACTGGGGCTCCGAACAACCGTGCAATACATGGTAGACCACCAGAATTGCCACCATCAGATAAACAGCACTTAAAGCTTTCATCTTTTAGAGAGAGGAGAAAATCAAGCTCCACTCTTGATTTAGATCTGGAAAAATCCACAGGAGTTTCTGTCCATCCTTCCACTATAAGAAGACTGCTCAACACTATGAGTCTGAAAGGATGTGTAGCTGTCAAAAAGCTCTTACTAAGAAAAGAAATAGGCAAAAAATGAATGTTGGCACATCAGAAGCTGTGAATGTGTTAAAGCAAAGAAAACGCAACCAACTCCTAAGACTGAACATTGGAAACGTGGAAAAATATGCACATCTTTGAAAAACTGAAAGCAAGTCATTCATATTACATTTAGACGTTTTTTCTGTTACATTTCTTCATATTTTCTGAAACTGCAAATTAATAACTTGTACTTAATGATGGTTTTGAGTGGCAATTAAATAAATGAAAGGTGGTCACTGACATTTGCACAGTAATGCCATAGTTTTTAGACATACACCAAAGTATATACCAAGGGGAGCCCTTACTCATTTGAAGCCCATTATGATGTGCTGTATGTTCTGCTTTAGGCGATGTTAGCCACTGCCCGGTTGGTCAGGCCCAATCTGTACGTCATAGCCGAGCTTTTTACGGGCAGCGAGCAGATTGACAATACATTTGTTAATCGCCTTGGGATTACCAGTCTGATCAGAGGTACCAAGGGAGAGACATTTATCTGTGCATGATGCTGAATATTCTCTTTGTGTTCTTTCTCTCGTTTTTTTACATTCAAATCATCAACATCCATCATACTCAATACATTTACTAAACCATTTGTCATCTCGTTTCCTTGATTTGGCATAATATGCTTCATTTGCACACATTCATTCTGCCATTGTACTAATGTGAACACATTCGTTTGCCACCACTTTTAAATGCTGCTACTAAATTATTTAACTCCTATGCCTAAAATGCCGTTTTCCATCTTGCCTGCCTTCTCACTAATGCTCTATGCGTGTCCTATGTGTTTCTCTCCATCACTGTCTCTGCTTGAACCCTGCCTGCCCTGCCTGGCTGCATGTGTTTATGTCTGGCCGCAGTACATGCTGAGGAGCGCTCGTGAGCACAGGCCTGATCTGTACATGGTGGCTGAGCTCTTCACGGAGAGCGAGGAGCTGGACAATGCCTTTGTCACTCGGCTTGGCATTACCTCCCTCATCCGGGGTAAGAGTGACAAAAACGAAACGATGCTCAACTTTCTGAAGGTCACAGCATTATTGAGCTAAAGCACAGTCTATGGTTCTTGCAGCATCAGTGGTGTTTGCAATAAGGAGAGGACCTCTGCATTTAGAACAGCATTTTAAATCACTGCACAGACCTGCCATTCTGCTAATACTGCTGCTGCTGTCCTGAACATAAATGATAGATGTGCAGTACTGGGCAAAAGTCCACGCTTCATTATTTAATTTCTATTCAAAGTTGAAAAGCCAGTTTGTTGATTTTTCAGTGTCAGAAAAACAACAGAAAACATACTTAACAGAAAATTACACAGAAGCCTCAAGAACTAAATAGTTTTTCAGTATTTACTGTGTCCACTCTTTGCCTTGATTAGCACTTTCCATTCTTTTCAGAAGTCTTGCTTTCCATTTTTAAGAAATTTGCAGGGATATTTTTCTAAAGTTAAGTCTTAGAAGTTGGTAGCATTTTCTACTTCTCACGATCCAACTAATTCCAAGCACTTTCAATGATGTTGAAGTCTGGAGTCTGGGGTGGTCAGCAGCTTTTTTGGTTTGCCTTGCATGTTTTTCTTTCTTTTGTTTCTGTGTTCTTTTCTCAGTAACTGCATCTTGACAACTTCACATCCTTTCAGACTGTCAAGTTGTCTTGTCACAGTGGACGGATTGGCAGAAACACGTGTGAACTTTTTCAGATCTAAATTAAGAGTAGAGCTTGATCTTTTCCTCTCTCAAAAAGACGAAAACTTTATGTACTGTTTATCTGACAGATTTGGTGGTCTACCAGATCTTGCATGGTTGTTAGGAGTCTTATTTTCTCTATATCTTTTAATCATTTTTTGAAGTCCAGTTTTGGAAACTCCTGTTTTACTTTATTTTCCTTTATTGACCATTTATTGACCTTCCCCCTTCCTTCTGCAAGAGCATTATTTTATATATAATCTCCTCTTGAAATCTCTCTTGAAAAATGAATTCTTTAACTGCCGTTTTGAGTGGAAAGTAAATCAATGACAGGTAATCTCTGATTTTTGCACAGTACTGTGTTATTCATGCATCAGTACATCTGCTCTGCACCTCCACTTAGTTGGTCAGCTGACTGATGAGCTAATAAAAATTGACTATTGCTGTGTTTTGCTCTAGAGGCCATGAGTGCTGGAGACAGCCATGAACAAGGCAGGCTGGTTTACCGCTTTGGGGGAGAGCCTGTCGGCTCTTTTATCCAGCCCAACATCAGGCCTTTGGTTCCAGGCATTGCACACGCTATGTTTCTGGACATTACCCATGACAATGAGTGCCCCATCAAGGTTGGTCAGGAAGGTTGTATGCCTGTAATTAGTACTATAATCACAGGAGGTCAGGGTTTTTAGGTATACCTAAAACAAAGTCATTCAGAGTGGTTTAATGTGAAATGGGGCATTATAAACAGAATTATTCACGGTGGTGGCGATAGGAACCAGAAGTCTAATGTTTAATGCCTCTAAAAGCTACATCACAAGAAGTTATTTCATTAAATGGTTACATATATGATATAATAATTACCTGATTCCTCAGAAATGTCAGTTTTGAAGTCTGTTCATGTCGGAGTGGTACATGCAGGCTGCTGTAGGGCAAAATAGTCCCTAAAGAAAACTTCTTTTTTCAGATCTACCACTAACATTATCAGAAGCAAATTTTCCAAGAATGCACCATTTCCATCCACTCTGCATGGCTTTGTTCATATCAAAACAGTTGAATTATGCTTTACAGTAATCATTCAGTGCGTTCACTTATGAAAATATATTGTATTATCTTCTTCGTGTATTAAAGGTTCGGTCTGTGTACGACTGCCTTCCTACCTCTGCTATCGTGTCTATGGCCTGCTGTGCCACAGGTAGCACTAGAGGATACGATGAGCTGGTCCCTCACCAGGTAAGGAAGACTGCAGACCCTGGCTCTGTTCGAAATAGCCTATTACATACTTAGTAAAGAAACATGGCCAAATTATCAAACATGCAGCCAGAGTTATCCTCATGATGCTACATCGTATAAAGCATACAGTACACGATGGTAATTGGTGCACACTGGATAATGTACTGTATGCTATTATAAGAAGTGTAGTATAAAGTATACAGTGTACACTATACAGTGTTGTAAATCTTTTTCTGTGCCAAGAACAGGGTTTGCAGAAAAAAACTAAAATAAAAGAAACCACAACAGTATGCTATTATGACCTCCTCCAGCTATTATGACAACCTCTATTAACAATCACCACAGCTGGCCTTGACTTTTATGTGGTTATCTGGCGATTAGGGTCAGGACAGTAGAGCCAAAAGAGGGACTTTGATCTCAGGCAAAGTTTTAAATGAGCAAGACTTTCCAAGTTGCTGGAGATAAAGAGACCTGTTTTACACCCCCCATCTGTCAATATAAACATGTTATGGAGAAATGTTTTCCAGCTAAAATAGCCGCTCCCTAAATGTTTTAACAAGCATTGTAAAACCTCTGGCAACCAGATAAACTGAATTACTCTGACTCTCTAGTTTATTGTTCATTATGACGACACATTGTTGTGCAGTTAACCACCTGTCCACTTGAACTCTTTGACCCAGGTTTCAGTGGTCAAGGAGGAGCGCCTGTACTCCAGGTGGAACGCTGACGCCCTGCCTTCCTCTCCTGGGGAGGTGAACCTCCAGTCAGGCATCATGGCAGGGAAGCTGGCACTCAACAGGCTCCACAAGGAGCTTGCTGAGAAGGGCTTCACCCAGGTGTGTAGGCCTAAATGTCACAGGAGTTTGGTTTTGGACCTTCTTGAGTGAGAATGTTCTAGACTTACAGTTCAAGGGGTGTGTCTGGGTCATAGGTCTATGTAGACCAGCTGGATGAAGATACTGTGGCAGTAACCAGACACTGCCCAAGCACACACCGGTCTGTGGTGACTGTATCTCGAACTGCCTTCAAAAACCCCAAAAGGCACCACTACAGAGAGAGAGTTTCTCCCATGTTCATACCAGGTCAGACACACACAAACTGTTTAAGCTAAATTGTATGTCTAAAAGTGTGAAAAAACAAGAATTTTTTCATTTCATTAAATGTATGGGTTGACATCTACGTTTTAACAGGCCCTTGTCGACTTGGCCTCACCATTTCCCCTCAGGGGAATCCCTGTCGCCATCTTAAGGGCAGGTAAATTACTCACTCAAGTGAAATTTGTTAGATCAGCCTTCCCTGCTAGAACAAACAGCATAGACCAGCACAGCTGGTCAACAGCAAAACCAGCATACGGTGTGTTTTGGATGCTGGTATGCAGGTCAGCAACAATGGAAGCTGTTATGCTGGTCAACACCAAAACCAGCTTATGTTGTGTTTTGGCTGCTGATATGCTGGTCACCTAGCCATACTTGACCATGCATATATGACCAGCATAAACCAGTCAGATCAAGTCTCAGCAGAGTTTGGAGGGGTGAGGAATTGAGTGTTGATTTCAGTAGCAGAAATCTACTTTACTCTGATATCTTGCTAGTTAGCAAGCTAAAGGCTACACAGCTAGCAACAACAAAATTCAAAGCAATGCAACACACATCTAAACCAAGGCTTATAGCCAGACAAAGCAATTATTCCCAAACTTGATGTACTTTATGTTCAAACTTTTCCAAAAACGCTTTGCACATGCCTACATACTCTGTATGGCTAGCTAATTAGCTCACTGAGGCTAACCTAGCCGAGGGTGAGTGTTTTCCCACTCTAAATCCACACCTCCCATTGTTCTGCAAGTGGCTGCTTCTAAAGTATAGGTGTGACACACTTCTAAGTGGTGAGTCACAGTTGGCAAGGGCGTGATAAAAAGAGTATTGAAATGGGGCCCATGATAAACTGTCCGTTAATACTTCACCTTTTGCATATAATATGCCTTATCTGCACACATTAGAAGGTAAATATTGATACCTATTACCTCCCAGATGTAACCGCATATGCACTGGTCTTCTGTTTCACAGGCCAGATAGAAGAGGTGATCATGGAGGCACGCATGGTGGAGAGAGATGCTGGGTCATATGTGAAAGATGAGAAGTACATTAACGGCATGCCTGAATACACGGTGGAGCTCTGGGAACACCTCCAGGTAACCTGAACCTAGTCACAGTAGCATGACCAGCAGCGTCAGGACTGAGTACTGTAGAAATATTACATCAGCTGGAAAGGATAGCATCACGTAATCAGACGAGGCAGACGTGACGCTACAGGCAGTGATGCATTACAAATGACAAATCCATGACAAATGAGTCAAAAATCCCCCATATCAACTTTTTCAGCTTGTTTTGTGCTATGAGCTTTGATGGGTAATGAATGATATGATATTATGATATTATAGGTCTGGACCTGTAAATTGATTTGTCAAAACCTAGGCTCATTGCTTTTCATCTATGTCTCCATAGATGGTTACATAAAAAAGAGGAACAACAACTGCCATTTGAGTGCACACTAAAGTCTGTGGCGTGACCAGGATCTTATGGGCCCCAGTTCAAAAAAGTGCCCCTCAATATAATAATGACCTGTAATTTTATTGTTTACATAGTCTTGATATGCTTCAGGCAAAGTTGGACCTTTAAAAATCTCATCTTTTCAAATCTGATTTTAGCCACTTTCAAATATATATATCTGATCTGTGGCCATGCATCCTTAATGAGAGCCTTCAGATTGGAATTTAACAACTCAAATGCTGGTCAGAGCTGAAGGTATTTGGGATGAAGGCTTGTGTCACTAGTTTATGTATTTATTCTTGATGTGTGCCTACGAGTTGTTTCAGGGCAGTGCGTTAACACTAAAGACCAATGCTGTCTCAGTTCACATACTACCATACTAAATAGTATACTCAAAGTAGTAATGGTGGTGTTCTAATTTGATGTACTATTGAGAACAGTACATGCAATTTGAAACACAGCCAGATGTGGCTGACCGACAAGGCAGAAAGATCAGATCTAATCAAAACATTGGAATTGAGGGATAGTGCTTGTATCATAGCATTGCTAATTAGCTGATGAGTTGAATCAGCTGTGTGTAGTTAGGTAGAACATTAAACACTGCAGTGCTATGGTCCTCGAGGACCGGAGTCTGACATGTGTTCTAGGCCACAGTCTCCTAACCGATCCTGTAATAATCCTGCCCTCCTTGTTTTTGTAACACACCCACTTCAACTCAGTGAACGCTTGTTAATCAGCTGGGCCCAGTTTCCATCATTAAGATCATCTTAGCTGGTAGAGAAAGTGTTCAATATGATGCTTGCTCTACCATTTAAAATTCATCTTTGTGCTAAGATGCTTTTGGGAAACTGAGCATTGGTCAATGGTACTCCAAGACCAGGGCAGGTAAATATTATAAAAGCCCAATCAGTTGGCATAACCACCAGGGTGCGCCAAAGGGGGAACACCAGTGTATGAGAGGAAAAGCTCAAAAACACAGTTGTGAGACCTGTTCCCTTCTTGTTTTGACAGCTTCAGGACAGCAAAATTGTAAAACGGGGAGAAGCCACAACAAATGGCCGCAGTGAGTTTGTCCAGGAGATCGTGTTTGATCAGCTCACTCCAGGCAGTGTAATTGCTTTCAGGTAAAAACACACCAACACATTAACTGACTGCACTTCTAGTTAGAAACCATCTCACTCTGCATTCAACTTGCAAAGGTTATGTTCACACTACCCAGCTGAAGTGGCACAAATTAGATTTTCTGTGGCACAGATCTGTTTTTATAGCTGTGTGAATGCAAAAATCTATCTTTTCACATCTGATCTAGGGCATTTCCATGTGTTTCATTCATCATTTTCATTATTGAATTTTGGAGTACAATTGAGAAAAACTCTCATTTTCAATGTAGCCAAAACATAAAACAACATCATCTACGTAAAATAAGCACACAAAATGAAACTAAACTAAACACACACACACACACACACACAATCTATGCCGCTTATGCTTCTGGGTCTGGAGCCTATCCCAACTGTCATTGACAGAAAAACACCCTGGACAGGTTTCCAGTCCACTAAACAAAATAGCAACATAAAATAAATAAATATTAAACTAGAGATGGACAATAAGGAAATAAAAACTCTTTAAAAACAAACAGTGAGGTACTCAACTAAAGCAATGATAAACCGTAGAAAAGTATTTATAAATTAAGATTAAGAAAAATGTTTTTTTCAACACTACTTTGCAATTTATTGAATCTCAGTCATGCACTTTAGGTAAAACCAGTTTTTCCTAATTCAGTAAAAACACCAGCACCTGGAGTACACGACAATCACTGGAAAGAACGAGACAAGAGCTTGTACTTACACACAATAAATTTGCGCCATGTGGAGAGGCAGCTGACCGATGAGGGCCTTATAAACAAATAAAAAACCAAAGTAAGTCACATCTTATTGTTAAAGACCATCCAACTTCAGTATGCAAGTGCTGAGTGATAAAGACCGTCCAAGTGCTTAATGCAGGGTTATTCAACTAAAACTCAGGAGGGTCCAGTTACATCAAATTTCTTGCTTCAGAGGTCCAGATTAACAAACTAACATAAGTGAATAGTGATGACGGTGACCTTTAAACGCTTAACTATTAATGATTACCCCAGGCAACTAATAAAATAAGATAACATACAACAAACGTATTTTGATAAACTAAATTCTAAAAAAATGTTTGAGCATTTTAATGAGCTTTTTAAAATCTTGTGGTCACTGGCTATTATTTGTTAAGTAAATAAATAAATAGACAAACAGAAAATCTTTTCAGAAGAAAAAAGTCTTAAACATTTAAAATGTTAAAGTATTTGTTCACAGAAGGCAACATTCTTGTCTTTTCACAGGGTAAAATAAATTCAACTATTTTAAAATAATATTAAATTAAAGGCTATTCTTAATGAGCATTTCATGCTCTTGCACTGTCAGGGAATTGACAAGCACTCTGGTGTACCTTTCATGTTGAAGTTTATTTTATTTGTCCTCAGGAGTGGATTATGTCGGTAGTTCATTCAAGTGATGGTTTTGCTTTACAGTGGTGCAGACGCTTAATGTTTCCTCTCTTAACAGATGAGATACTTCGATTTGGAACTTGAAATGGCAAGAAAAATGCAGAGTTCTATGTTCATTTGTTTTTAAACACACTATTTTTGTTGCTGACTTTCTATGTTTTAAAAAAGCTGCGTTGTTGCTTCACTGATCAGATGAGAAGAGAAATTGGAAAACTGTGAAAATATGTGAAATTATTTGCTTTCTGACCTGACATCTAGTTCTGTTGTCTTTGTTCCGATGAGCTGCCTTCAGCTGAAATCTTTTATATAAAATAATTTGAATAATCTTTAACACAGGACTGCTAGAGAAGCCTTGCTGGCTCATTTTCATGTATGTCGCTGAAACAGGACCATTTTTTAACATATGTTTATCAGCTTTGCTACAGAAATCTTTTAAAGTGCTTGGTTTGGTTCGCTGAAATACGTTGCCTGGGTCGCATCCAAGCTGTGATCCACCAGTTAATGACCCCTGGCCAAAGGGTACTTACTGCAGCATGTCTATACATAACATCTCCAAAGTCCAACACAGATATAACAGTAGCCTCCGCTATCATCTGTCTACTGTAGAATGGGAAACATTATTTATTTATGTAAAGCATTTTCCAAGCTTTTTCCTCAATTTCCTAGCAAGTGTATTTACATGATATCTAAAGTGTTCCATTCACCACTCGTCATGCCTAAATGCTAGTATTCTATGACTCTTTCATCAGAGTTTAGAGTAGTTATGTTCAAATTAACACTGTCAATGTTTTTTAGCTTTAGGAAACACTATGAATTTAGTTTAATCTGCGTTCAGTGTAAGTTTACAATTGTAGAATGTAATTTGTATGGCAGTGAAAGGACTTTTGAAAGTTCACCGTAGCAGACTATAGAATCTGATTAGCAGTATGAAATAATGTTGTCTGCACGTAAATGTACATCACAGTCAATTACAAATGAAACAATATTACTGATATACAGTGAAATAAATATTGGACCCAGAATTGAAGGCTGAGGCACACCTCTGAAAAAGTTCTATTTCATTAGGTAACACATTGCCATGTATCATCAAGGTGTTTATGGAGTGAGTAGTGCCGCCAAAGCCAATACAACATAATCTTCCTAGAAAAAGCGAATGGTCAAGCATGTCAGCTTTCAACAGATCAGTAAACAGAGCAGCGCAATGTTTCCTACTGTCCATAGCAGTAACAAGTTTAAGGTCCTAGATCAGACACATGCATGATCTGTGGAAATGCAACCTTAATTAGAATTTTGTGTACTGTTCTTTGCTCTCCTGAACAAGCTCTTAGCTTTACAATTAATCAGGTTTTTGTTCGCTGTTGTCTATAACAGGGTGAGTCTGGATCCAAAATCTCGGGACAATGTGGGCTTCTTGCGCACTCAGCTCTCTCAGTTTAATCGCCTGTACAAATCAGGCAGTCTAACTGACCCCAATGTTCCTGGAATTCTAAAGATTTCCTTGGAATTGTAAGTACTTTGCAATCATTCTTTTCATCCAAGCTTGAGTTCTGAACTCTGTAGGTGGCAGCTCAGTTGCCGTATATGAACGCTTTCAGATTGAACTGTGATTGTGATGAGTGTATTTTGTGCATTCTCTGCACTAAGCCTCATGTCTAAGCTGTCCTTGGCTGATCTGAACGTGTTACTGTTCCGCTGCGATGCTGAGGAGAAAGATGATGGTGGAGGATGCTACAATATCCCATCCTGGATGGCGTTGAAGTACGGAGGCCTTCAAGGTATAAAACACCCACAAGTTACTCACATTTTCACATTGTCATCACTGAAGTCTAACTGTTCTCTTTGTGAAATTTGTCTACAGTATAATGTCAAATTATGTATGCAGGTTTTATGTCAGTGCTATCAGACATTCGGCCCAAGAATGACCTGGGGCACCCCTTCTGTGACAACCTAAGGCAAGGCGACTGGATGCTTGACTACATTAGCTCTCGGCTCATGAATAAAGGTGGAGCTCTGCGGGAGGTAGGACATTATCTCTTCTTGACTTAATCCACAGTTTTATTCCTCTGAAATTTCTGCTCTTATTATGTTGCTTTTAAATTGTCTCAGGTGGGGAAGTGGTTCCATGCCATGTTTACCTACCTTAAGCACCTCCCACGCTATCTTGTACCATGTTACTTTGATGCCATCATCGCTGGAGCCTATGCCACAGCCGTGGATGCTGTGTTTAAAAACATGTCAAGGTTTGTGTCTGACGCTCAACAGTTCTTGAAGGAATCATTCAGGAGAAAAAAAATAATTTACACAATTCTCACTTATCCGAATGTTGTCAGTTAACCAAGACACATTTGGTGTTTGATATTTGCCTTGGTCTAGGTTTTGCCCCAGACTACAATCCTTGCAGTTGCTTGTTGTGGAATTGTTATTTTTAAACTTGTGGATTTTTAGCTGGTGCATTTTTGGCAAAATGGCAAGCCTTGACCCACCTTTCTCATAGAGCTAGGTCTTCCCTGGAAGCTCCTTTTATATGCAAGATGTTTTTTTTTTAAGTAATGATATGTAAGATTATGTACCTTTTGATTTATTCCTTTTCCATCCCTCCAGTCTTTCATATACTACTCTGACTGTTCCATAAACTCCAGTTATACCCTGTTGAATTTTAATTATAATTGAATTTAATTAATAATTTCACTGTTTATTAACCCATTTATTTTGAAAATACATGCTGAAACCTTTATATACTAAATCAGTTGATAGTTACATTGATTTTTATTTCATTTATCTCTCTGTCTCTCAGTTTCTGTGCCTCTTTTAATCTCTTCCTTCTTTGTCCTCAAAGATTACTGAAAAAGCACACATTAGAAATACTTCATAAAGATCTGTTTCTACCAAACCCCAGCTAACAGGAAGGAAGATACTCATACAGTTAACCAGACACAATATAGCAAAATGTACCTACTGATTTCTGGATTACATTACATGTTACTGTGCCATCAATATTCTAGTTAACAGTGAACTTTCTCATGCTGGTTGCAGTGTGTTATAAATAGGTAACACATTACAACTTTGAACTGCTATTAATTTCTCGTCTAATTGCTAATATAGCACCTACAGAGCCTGTAGCCTAAACTGAGCAGCTACTATAAGCAGACTAAAGCATGCTGATTTAGCTAGCAACAATACGAGCGGTCCAAATAGAAAACAAGTCATGGGGGTTGCATTTTACAATCACAATCTGCTAATTAGCCTCATAAACTCTCACATTTAATGTTGTACATTAGCCTACGGTATGTGTGTCACATTTCAAGAAGTCAAAGTCGCTCTGGGTAATGGTTGCCAAGCAGTGATTGGAGGGCTGAGGAAATAAGGCAGAGCGTGGCTTAGAGCATAATGATTTGATTAGCCATAACACAGAAACAGGACTCACAGAAAACAAATCATTATCTTAAAAAATGCGACTTAATAAATATTATCTTCCCATTTGATTGGGAAGGCCTGTGAGGGTTGTGCCCCTGAGTGGCTGCCGCATTATCAAAATGGTGCATGTTTCCAAGTTACGCCTCATGAATGAGGATATGTGAAAAAACTACTGAGCTCCAGACCTCAGTGTCCTCATTGTTACACTACCATTCCAAAAGTTTTAAATCAAGCAAAATGAAATTTGTTGAGGACACATGTATGAAATGATCTTATTATGCTGATACTCTGTAGGTTCCAAACAATTTGTGGAATTGTGGAAAAAATGAAGAAAATTTTGATAATGAGCAGTGCTGGAGATGTTTCAATAATAATTAAGTGCCTCAAGAATGACCTTGTAATAAAATGAACATCCAAAATGCCTCATTTTCAAAAAATGGAGACAAATTCTTGCTGGTCAAACAGCTATTCATAATAATTTCATGCTGAATAATTACTAGAAATAGATACTATAACTGTACTATACCAAAAGCTTTTTTCTTCATTTGAATTAGTTTGATAACTTACATCAAACAGAAGGTGTCAAATATATATATACATATAACTGACACATCAAACTGCTAATGCACATCCTCTTTCTGTTCTCTCATTCTGCGAAAACTTTATGCAAATGAACTAAGCAGCGACCAATCACTTTGTTGATGTGTGGCGCAGTAACTAATTGTTTCACGTCCACAGTCACTGAAGTGCACACTGGGTGGGTGATATAACAGTTCCTAAAAACGTCTTATTGTGTTAGATGATTTATTACTTTAGATAAAGACATCATTATTACGTTAGATGAAGTTTGAAAACAATATTAGGCTGCTTTGGGACTGCTTGTGTTTAAACAATGCCCCCAAAGTGGCCAGCAGGTGAGGGAAGAGGGTCAGCTCACTGTGATGAAAATGCAGTGTCAAACAGTGCATGGCTACTGTAGAATAAAATATCTAAAATAAAACATATATCCCTTGTCCCTGAACATATGTTTAAGGTACCATTCAGAACATAACCAGTGCTACTAATTTTCCCATCCATTAAAGATGAATATTAAATAGTATGTGGAACAGGAGGTGCTGTGGGATTGTGCTACATATTCTTATTGTTTCTGGAAATGGCAGCTTTGTGCAGAGCGGATCAACCCTTGTGAAGCAGTTGGCGCTGGGCTCCGTGCAGATGTGTGGCGTGGGCCAGGTCCCTGCCCTGCCTCCTCTCTCTCTCACCTTAGAGGACGTCCCATATCGCCTGAACCCCTTCACTAAGCAGGAGGAACAGTGCTGTGTGTCTCTGGCTGCAGGTACGGAGTAGAGGAAAACTCATTCTTTCATAGACTGGTCATGTGGATAGATAAAGCAGGGAAGAGACATGTTTTGCATCTTGTAGAATTCACTTATTGAATCCAGTTCTCTCTTATACAGGCCTTCCTCACTTCTCATCTGGGATCTTCCGCTGCTGGGGCCGTGACACCTTCATAGCCCTACGTGGCCTCTTGCTCATCACAGGAAGGCACATAGAGGCAAGGTGTGTTTTCCATATGCAAACATGAAAACTGAACGGTTGCGGTTTAATGGGATGTCATTAATGAAATCAGTGTCAGTCACAAGTAAGTGGTAGCGGATTGCCTTGGTTGCGAACAATGGTCATTTTCACATATTAGCCTTTTTGGCCTACATTGAAAAACTAAGAAAGAAATCTGAATATGTGAAAATGAAACTTGCTCTGTTTAGGGGGTAGGAGGGATTCTCTTTCAGAATTCTCTGTCGACAGTGACCTCGCCCCCCTTTCCAAAATAAAATAAAACTCTACACTGTGCACATAAATGTCATCCCATCATTATAAATACAAATTTGCATGAATGCATATACGCCTGCTTTGTAGGTCTGCTGATGTTGCTAGAAATAAATGAAAACTAGTAAAGAGTAGTTATAAAAAAATGAAATTAGAATTAAATGTTTTCTATGCACAGGAACATCATCCTGGCCTTTGCTGGTACTCTGAGGCATGGCCTGATCCCCAACCTGCTAGGGGAAGGCGTGGGTGCACGTTTCAACAGCCGGGATGCAGTGTGGTGGTGGCTGCAGTGCATCCAGGACTATTGTGCAATGATCCCCCACGGCACAGGCATCTTGTCATGCCCTGTGTTGCGCATGTACCCCACGGATGACTCGGAACCTCAGCTTGCCGGCACTGTGGTAAGGACTAAGGAACTGTTAATTGTTGCTACTTCTTACACTTGCAAGTCTCCTAAGTCAGGGTGTTGTCAGTCCTGGTCTTGGAGTAGCGCAGTTTGATTTTTTTCCCTGCTCTAACACACCTAACCCAATTAACAAACCCTCCTGAGTTGAAGTTGGAGTGTTAGAGCACAGAAAACACTAAGGTCTTGTTTCATTACTATTGTAATATGCCGCCTTCAAAATGTCACCTTCATTACACAGGTGACCACTTGTACAAGGGAAGGAGGGGACAGTAAGGAGCAGAATTTTTAATCTGAACACATTCACCCTTAGCTAGGTTAGCCTCAGTGAGCTAATTAGCTAATCATGCAGACTTGAAGTCATCAATGATGTAAATCTTTGCTTTGTCTGGCTGTAAGCTTTGATTTAAAACTGTTGTATTACCTGTGTTTTTGTTGTTGCTAGCTGTCTAGGCTTTAGACTGGCTTTGCATGGTGAAACCTACATGCAACTAGTTGCATGTGATGAGCTACCTGCAACAACTTGACAGTGCCATGAAGCACATTTAATTACTCCACGGACCATTTTTTGATTTCCTTACCATTCTTGCAACAAAGTCATATGACTGGTGTAATTTCCATAATTACAACATATTTATCATTGTAAATTTCTTCCATTTTATATATCTGTCATTTGTCTATGTTTTTATCTGTTGTGTGTATGTCAAGTCTGTCAAAATTACTGCTTAAAGCAGCACAATATACGTTTTCTTTGTTAAGATTGAAAGAAGTAGCAGTACTGAGTCCTGAGGTGTAAAAACACCCTAAAATATGCTGTGCACATGCTGCTGCAAGTCACCCTATATATGTATGTAAAGCAGGAGTTTTTCGGACCACATCATACACTTTTTTATGTATTCACAGTAGTAGATAGTAGATAATTTACTTACACCCTACATGTAATCCATCAAGTTTTGACTGAGTTCTTTTTTAACGCTCTTTCAACACACTCGCAAACATCAGATTCATTTACCTGTGGGGGTCAGAAGCACAACTAACATTTGAAAATATTCTTCTGCATGTTGCTTGCAATTACACACTTCCACCAGAGGGGTCTCCAAATCCCCAAATCTTAGGCAGTGCAGCTTTACATAGCTTTTACAGTTTGATGAAAGTATGTCAGTCACTGTGATCATGTGATCTAGTAAAGGTATTTTGATTGACTGGTTCATGAAATTTGTTCCAAGAAGTTGAGATGCTTGCAACTGCTGTGGTTGACATGCAAATAAGTTGCAGGATGCTTTACATTATTGTAGTCTAGTTTCACATAAGGTTTCAAGCAACAAAAGTTGAATAAAAGTTTCACCATGTAGCCTCTTAGCTTGCTAACTACTTAACTTTGCTTGCTTCCTAATGATGTTACATAATGTGCTCTGCTTATAAACAGCTTACCTGACATCCTTTTGTTTGAATTTTCTGGGCGGATTCTGCTGCTGAAGTCGACACTGTAATAGTCTTTACTTGAACTAATAAAGTAGTGGAGAGGCCTTTAAGATGCCGTCATAGATTGCCCTGAAGGAAAATGGCAAGACCAAGTTGACGAGGGCATGTTAAAATAAATACTGAAATGGACGACACAATGACAACACAACTACTATTCTGTGAAACTGGGCTTTATCCTTGAGATAAATCCTAATCGTTAGCATTTAGAAAAGACAGTGTGCTTTGCAGCTTACAAAGGACAGAGGAGGCGTGGGTTTACCAAATTTCAAAAAGTACTACTTTGCAGCTCAGACAAGACCCTTAATTCTCGCCTGAAACCCTGCTTACCAAGCAAGATGGATGGATATAGAATCGTCATTGATAAAGAACCCCCCTATCCAGGCAATAATAGGAAATAGTGATTTAGTCAAAAAAGTAGACATCATAGAGAATCTTTGGATAAAAAGCCAATTAAAAATTTGGACTAAAGTAGTAAAAGAATACAATTTAAGTGAAATGTTGAAAGTAATTAGATGGTGCACCAATGATTCTGAGTTCATACAAAATAAGCTAGATAGTAGGTTCAAAATTTGGCTGACAAAGGGTATAACAGCATATTGCAATATTATGGAAAGAGGCAGATTGAGAGATTTTCAATCTCTGAAAGAAACATATAACCTTGAAAATCAGGACTTTTACTGTTATCTTCAATTACAACATTATTTTGATAAAACAATTAAAGATGATACACTCAATAGTATTAATGATGAAATACTAAATTTGTTTATCAGAGCTTATCAGTCTGAGGCTCACAAAGGAATCATATCCAAACTGTATAAAAGCTTAACAGTAAAGGAAGGAAGTTCGACAGAGTATGTAAAGCAAAAATGGGAAAAAGAGAGCAGTATTACCATTATAAGTAAAATATGGATTAAGATATGTGAACTTCACTGGAAATGTACTAATTCACATGTTTGGAGAGAATTTGGGTGGAAGTGTGTTATTTTTTATTACCCCGAAGCAAAAACCTGTGGAAAATCAGGGATGTTGGAGGAAGTGTGGCTAGCAGGAAGCCGGTTACTGGCATGTATTTTGGGAATGCTCAGTATTAAGACATTTTTGGACAGAGTTGCACAAAGTACTGAAAAATATATTTAGTTTAAAATTTCTGTGTAAATTTGATACACTTTTTCTAGGGGTACTGGGTTTTGATGTGGCAAGATCGGACAAATATTTATGGATTATTCTATTAATTGCAAGTAAAAAAGTTATAACAAGGAGGTGGCTGTCTCCTGATCCTCCTACACTGGGTGACTGGATAAACCTGGTCAATGAAATATATCTAATGGAAAAAATTACTTTTTCTTTTTTACTTTACAAACAGAGTTTGTACAGATACATTGTGAGTACTCCCTCATTTTTTTTCCTCCCCCTTCTTCTTACCTGACCCTTTTATTTTTTACCCAAGGCATCTTCTCAGGTTTTAATGTATATAGTTATTTGTTTACTTTTACAGAATGACAAAAAGAAGGGGAAAAAAAAAGATTTGTTAAAGAATAAATAAGACAGAGAGATATAGATCACAAGGTATATGAAAAGATATATAATTGGAAATTAACACGTGCATGGAATTGTATGTTGTCATTGCATGCTTTCGAATGTCTCACCTAGAAAAAAATACAATAAAACAAAAGAAAAGACAGTGTGGCACTGGGAAAGATTTGCTGTAGAAAAACAGAATAATGCTTTGCTCGTCCTGTCTGAGCTGGAATACCGGAATTTTAATGCTCTGTTCATGTGAATTCTTATTCTCAGGACCAGCCTTTGTACGATGTAATCCAGGAGGCCGTACAGCGTCACATGCAAGGAATTGAATTCAGAGAGAGGAACGCTGGACCACAGATCGACTGCAACATGAGAGATGAAGGTTATTTAGCCTGATCACACCATCATAGCCTGTGAATACCCATCGTCCCATAAACCTATACTGTGCTTAGCTGTGTACCTTCCTTCTACCTACCTATCTATCAGGATTCAGTATCAAGGCTAAAGTGAATCCAGACACAGGCTTTGTGTATGGTGGAAATCGCTTCAACTGTGGGACATGGATGGACAAAATGGGAGAGAGTGACAAAGCAGGCAATCGAGGGATACCAGCCACGCCCAGGTACTCCAGCCATAGCTGGACTTATTCTCCTTAGCTGGAATCAAGGCGAGGCTTGCCGTTTCCTGGTAATGTCAGTAAGGTCAGTGTAATGTGTTTTTCAGGGATGGCTCTGCGGTGGAGATAGTGGGTCTCTGCAAGTCCACTGTACGCTGGCTGATGCACTTGAATAAGAACGGTCACTTCCCCTATTCCTCTGTCAGTGTCCATAGAGATGGTATGTCTCAGAGTTTGGAGCACAATGAAGACTAAACTGTATTGTTGCTAAATATGGAAGTATTGTATCAGTATCATGAAAAATCATTCTTGACTCATTCTTTAGCAAAGCATGACCACTGATGTGCCAGGTGAAACCCAAACAGTGTCCTATGAGGAGTGGAATCAGAGAATCCAGGATAACTTTGAAAAGATGTTCTATGTATCACCTGATCCAGAAGACCCAAATGAGCAAAACCCAGACCTGGTTCACAAAAGAGGCATTTACAAGGACAGTTACGGGGCCTCCAGCCCCTGGTGTGACTACCAGCTCCGACCCAACTTTACCATTGCCATGGTGGTGGTAAGCTCTGCTTCACTGGTCAGAAGATGTGGCAATAGTTTAGATGAGTACATTGGAGAGGTCTTTGATGTGTATAGGTTTGAGTGCTGTTTTGAAGTATACTCTGTTTCTCAGGCTCCAGAGTTGTTTACAGTAGAAAGAGCATGGACAGCTTTACAGGTAGCTGAGAAGATGCTGCTTGGGCCTCTGGGAATGAAGACCTTAGATCCAGAGTGAGTGAAACTAGAATTTTCTATGTTCACTGTACAGTGGAAGCTTGTTTCCTATAATAGCATCTAGCTAAAATGCTAGTGGAACATTTTAATTTATCAACAGAGCAGGGACACAGCAACAACTAGTGATGCTCATACCAAATCATTTGTACTGTTTGAGCAAAATGAGTCAACTGCTCCGATCTGATGTGACCTGATGTCACATAAGGTAATGGATTCAGGAATGTTTGAGCATTAGGTGCAAACTGACAGCTTAGTCCAAAACAAAATACATCCAGTTTTGCTTTTGGAAATCACAAACTTACTTTTTCTATGCATAAAATAGAGCCCCTTCATAAGCTTGATATGTGTGGTCTATAAAGGAATAAAACTTTTAGATATTCTGCTAAGCTTAGCCCATTTATTTACATCATTCAACAGCTGTTGAGAATTGAATTAAAGATGAATCCAGAAACAAGAAAAATTATCTATTTTAAAGCACTTCTTGCAGTTAATTTCAGCGTTTCATCAGTTATGCATAAGAATACAGGGTGACTATATGTCCTCTTCTTCCAGGACATGTCCTCCTCTTTTTTGGAGCTAAAAATACATCTGGCTGGGATGCCTAAATGTCTGGGATGTTGATGTTTACTTCCTACAGTCCACCCTGAGGTGCTTTCCTGTCCCAAGTGTCCTCTTGTTTAAAAGCAAAAATATGGTCACCCTAAAAAATGAGACATATACTATCTCTTTTACTGTATCCAGATGCAGCAGAGGTTCAAATCAGTCTGACTGTACCGAGGTGAACGTGATGACGCAGGGAACATGCACTTCAAACTATTTTGAAATCTCTGCTTTGAAACACGAGTTTCAAAACAATCAAAACATTTGAAATTATCTTGCTCACTTCTACTATTATTAGCAACAACCAGAGTGTGTTTTTTATTTATGCAGTCATTTGAACAGCCCTAGTCAAATTACTTTTTTGCTGATTTTCTGCAACCCCTTTTCCAAACAAGTTGGGACCCTGCACAAAATGTAAATTAAAAAAGAATGCAATGATGTGCATATCATTTAAATCCTATATTTAATTGAAAATAGTACAAAGATAACATATCAAATGTTGAAACTAGAAATTGTATTTTTTTTTTTTACAAAAAAAAGATATAAATACATAAAATTTAAAATTTATGCCAGCAACACATTTCAAAAAAGTTGGGATGGGGCAACAGAAGACAAAAAAGTTGTGTAATCCAAATACCTAGAGGAGCATCTCACAACGAAAAACCACTGTCTGTGAATACAGTTTGTGGCTGCATCCACAAAAGTTAAAACCATGCAAAGTAAAAACCATATATAAACAGGATCCAGAAATGCAGCCACCTTCTCTGGGCCTGAGCTCATTTAAGATAGACTGAGGTGAAGTGGAAACATATCCTTTGGTCTGGTGAATCAAGAATTCTTTTTGGAAATCATGGATGCCGTGCCTCCGGGCTAAAGAGGAGAGTGTCCATCCATCTTGTTATCAGTGCACAGTTCAAAAGCCAGCATCTGTGAAGGTATAGGGATGCATTAGTGCACATGGCATGGAAGACTTGCACACCTGTGAAGGCACCATTAATGCTGAATGATATGTATAGGTTTCGGAGCATCATATGCTGCCATCCAGATGACATCTTTTTCAGCAGGGAAGGCCTTGCTTATTTCAGCACTTTCGCACAGGCCACATTTTGTGTTTTATTTTCTTTTCCAATATCTTCAGTTCACCAAATAAACTGCAATTGTGCATTAACATGTGTAGAAGTGTATCTGTAAAGGGTATATTAACTTATTTTCATTTAGAAAATCAATTAAACATGTCATTTGACAAGGGCGCCCAAACCTTTGCATACGACTGTATTTCTTTAAGGGCCAAATTTAAATTATTTTACACATGAAAGCTTTGAACAGTCTCAGCAACTCAGTGACTGCACTTGAAACGTATCTTGTGATTGGACATCACAGATACCTCAACTAATCACAAAAGCTAAACAAAGCTATACACAGTAATCCTGTATTATGCAATCTGTTCTGATATCAGCCCTTAGATTGGGGAACGGCTGAGCGTGTTTCAAATACAAGTTGTCTTCTTTAAGTAGTAACTATATATGCATTAGAAGGCATGGTTTACTGCTTTTTTCCTACAACTGTGTTGAATGCAGCCAATAACAGTGGAGTGTTGCAAATTATAGTACCGTTGTAAATGGTTTGTACTGGTTCAACATGGTCTGTACTCATGAAGACTAGGCCTATTGTGCAGACCTCTGAAATACTCAGCTTTTAATATTGTTGTTTGCTAATATTTGACAGTGACATGGTTTACTGTGGTGTCTATGACAACGCCCTAGACAATGACAACTACAACCTCGCCAAAGGCTTCAACTACCACCAAGGACCTGTATGTTCCCTTATATATGTATATATAGCTAAGATCAAGCAGCTGATGGATGTATTTATAGAGCTTCTTGAACATTTCATCCTTCCTTTTCAGGAATGGCTTTGGCCAGTCGGCTACTTCCTGAGAGCCAAACTGTACTTTGCCAAGCAGATGGGCCAAGAAGTCTATGATCATACAGTGTACCTAGTGAAGAATGTCCTCTCCAGACATCACGTCCACTTAGAAAGGTACACCAGAGAAAGAAGTCAAGCACACACTGCACAAACTCTGGGTTGGTTTCTCAGATAGGGATTAATGCTAGTCATAGACTACATTTTCCTTTCAGTAGAGAATCTCCATTAACAATGCTGTGTTGTACAAGACTAGGCTTAATTCTTGTCTGGGAAACCAACCCTCTGAGCAAGCTCCTTACCATTTCTCTTATTCTGTTGTGTGTTCTAGATCCCCTTGGAAGGGTTTGCCAGAACTGACCAATGAAAATGGACAATCCTGCCCTTTTAGTTGTGAAACTCAGGCTTGGTCAATAGCCACAATTCTGGAAGTCCTGCATGATCTATGCGATGCTGAGGACCTGTAGATCTTATGACTTGTGTGACTGCCGGTTTGTCTGAAAAGGGACTAGTGTTCTCCCCAGTGACCATGTGAAAGCCAAAAAAAGGTGCCTTAAACATGTCCTTTTGGCTGTTCCTTGTTTTTATGTCCAGTCAGACATGAAACCAATTGAGAAGCATCTATTGTTATGCAGGTTCTCCTGTCTTGTTATTTATTATAGCACCATACAGGCCTAATTTAGCCATATCAGATGATTAGAAGGATGTTTAATATTTACCCAAACGTCCTGAAGTGTATCAGGGAAGTGTTGTTTGGATATGTTGTTCCATCGATTCATAACAAGCCTGGAAAAAATGTTTCCTGCATACTCTCAATTCCTTTTAGGTACTTCAAGTACACCATTATGACAGAGTTTATACTTATATTTATATACCATTTTTAAGTTGTATTGAGAGTTGTTTTTGAATCCATTACTAAAACAAAGTTATTAGAGCTTCAGATGAAGGATTTGTATCTTTAAAACACATTGTTTCCCAGTCCCGTTTCTGGAATTCCTCTGTCGTATTTTTGCCACTCTGATACGGCAACTTCAACACATGAAGGGTTTGATGGTTAGCTAGATCTAGTGTGTGGATGCAGAAAGGACACAATATTGTGCAAGGCATTGCTACTTCTAAGGAAACACCTCATCATAAGCTATTTCATATCATCATAAGCTATACATGATATAAAAAACTGCAAGGTTCCAACCCCAGACAAAAACAAACCCCATAACTGTGATATGTATAAGGTCCTTTTGGACATGTAGCTGTTGACTTATAAAATGGTTTCATGTCTGTGGAGATGACCTTTGAGTAATTTTTAAATTTGGCCAGCTATGTTAGGACAAAAGGAATGACTGGTTAAACGGATAAAAAGATAATGTGCAAAAGTCAGTGACCACCTTTCATTTATATAATTTCCAGTGAAAACAACCATTAAGTTATTCGTTTTTTCAGCTTAAAAAGAAACATTTAAGAGCAAATTGTTTCTAAAATATTATTTATTTTTTAGTGTTTAGTGTGTCCAGTCTTTGCCTTTATTACAGCTCCTTTTGTATTCAGGAGATTTTCAAAGAAATCTGCAGGAATATTTTTCCACACTTTCAAAGTTCAGTCTTAGAAGTTGGTTGCATTTTCTACTTCTTACAATTCGAATAGTTCCAAACACGTTCAGTGACGTTGAGGCCTGGACTCTGAGGTGGTCAGTCCATTTTTCGGCGAACACCAGTAGCTTCTTTGTTTGATTTGCAAATATTTTTCTTTTTGGTTTATTTTATTTTCTTAGTAGAAGATTCTTGACAGCTACACATCCTTTCAGACTCATAATGTTGAGTTGTCTTCTCACAGAGGAAGGATGGACAGAAACACCTGTGGATTTTTCACATCTAAAGCAAGAGTTGTAGTTTTAGAAGCATTTTGCAGATGTCTGGTTCCTACCATCACCACTGTGAACAATTCTGACTTCGTAAGTTTCTTTAGAAGATAGTATTTCACATCAAAACACTCTGACTGACTTTGTTTACATCTTAACCATTAATCATACAGACATTTTGAAGAATCGGTGGGAGTTCCCCTTTAAGTAAATAAGAGGTGGTCTCTGATTTTTGCACAGCACTGTACCTAACAATAATTAGTGATTTTCCTTCAATGTTAAGTTTATATTGTAATTAATATGAAACGTGCATGGAATTGTTTTTTGTTTTGTTTTTTGCAAAGTCATGATCAAAACCTCACTTGACGCATTTGTCTGATTTATTGTGTGATAAAGGACTATTAAAAACAACTGATAATAGAACAATAGAGCCCTTGCGTGCTTCAGTTTTGAATGACTCAGATGACTCCGGATCTGCAAATGCTGAACACTTGTCAGTTCAACTGTTCACAAGGTGTTAGAATTTGAAGGCATTTAAGGATTTATAAAATTGTCTGGGCTCTTAGGATTTGATTACTTTATCAAAATACACGATCTTCTGCTCTTGCAGCAGATTGCCTTCAACTGCAGACTACAGAATGCCTTCCACTATCACATAACTTAAAACTCTTCCTGCTTAAATGGGCAAATTTTGTCATTAAGTTGTTTTTCTTTTGTTTTCTGAAGCTTTCGGGACCCAATCAAACACTAGCGTGATATATTACTCTTCTGGTCATAGCTAATAAAGGTAACCCAACACTGTTCCTTTTCTCTGTTTGCTAAGCAAGACCACTGAAATTAATGTTTAAACGTGGGCAGTCTATTGCAGCAACCTAGAAGCTACTCGTTCCGCCCCCTCAACGCCATCAGCCTTTATGGGGGGAGCCATATAGTGTCTGAAAGCAGTTTCAGAAGTTTACTTAGTGGTGCGCTATTACTGCCATAGACATACAACACACTGTTCATCCCTATTCTGATTCACTGGTGAGTAAACAAGCAAGTTGTTTCACATTTGTGGATAGTGTTGAGTTGCAGAGTCAATGTCAAACATTGTAATATATTTTTTTTAGTTTTTCATGACAAAGTTGTTACTATTTTGATACACCTGGGTTGCGTCAGGTTCAAATGAGATCAGGCAGCTTATACACAATATTGGTATTATCATATTATTATACTATGTTGATATGCATAATGCTGATGATGCTTCAGTCAGAGTTTGCTGCATGTTAGAGATGACTGGTGAAAGTAAGATTTACCAAAATAATTATTTAATGTTACCAAAATAAGATTTCACAAATGACTGTATGCTGCAATTTTTAATTTATCCAGTTTCTCTTTATATCATGTTAAAAATTCATGATGAACACACCAATAGAAATGCTCCAAAATTGCTTGGGAAAGACTTCTGATTATGCTGACTACCACTACGAGTTAAGAACTTTTTCCATTTCTTGTGCAGTTGCCATTTTGGAGATACTTTTTTATGGTTCAAAAGTGTGAAAAAACTTGTCATATTAGTAATGTGGGTTATTTTATATACAATCATAATTTATGTAATGCAGATAATATGATAAACTGGACACCAAAAGAAAAAAACAGATGATGTATTTAATCTATGTTTTGAGTATTTTGGGGTGTAGAAGAATTATTATATGAAAAATCATATACTGTAATTATCTGTTTACAGTCATTTGTCAAGTTTTCTGCCTCAGAATTTGGTCATACATTTTTTAAAATCAGGTATTTTGGAAACGTATTTTATCATAAATTTACTCCAGATGTGTCTTTCTCAGTCATTTTAGAATCATATACAGCTCCATTCATCATTCTGGATACATGGAACATTTCTTTATGTTTTATTTACAGCTTTCTACTAGCTGTGAAGTTGCACAATATGAGCATATTATAATAACTATATACAGTTTTCTGCAGTCAAATTGGTTTTACCTTACTAAAAAAACACTGATTACAATTTTTTTATGCTAGTATACACCGACTGGCCACTGCTGACGTGAAGGTCGGTTAGTGTGTATGTCATATAAATTGCAAAAAATGAAACCACCTCAAATACATCTAATATTTCTCTTTATGAGATGGTAAGACTAATATGATTATTCAAACAGTTTGTAGACATTTTCCTGATTTTCTGTCATTTCAGTAAAAATGTTCAGAAAGGGGTAGTCTTGCCATTTCTGACACCAATGTAGTGTGGGGGGTTCTCAGAAGAAGCATAGACAACTTGAAGTTTATCCTCATTACGCAGTGTTATTTAGAACTGATTGAGCAAACAGAGTACCAGAGGGGACAGTGGCTCCCTAACTCGGCTTGTGTCTCTTCTTCTCCCACTCTATCTCAGCTCACCCTCCACAATAAGAGTTACCTACATTTAAGATGTTCTTATTTCTTTGCAGTGTATGGAATTATATTTATTACATATTTTTTATCATAACTTTCGTAGATGCAACCGCTGTTTCTTCTCCTCATCTGTGTCTGGGTGGTGAGAGGCTCCACTGCAGTGAGTATCTAGGGTGGTTAAACAAACACCCACTTTCTAAAGTACAGTCGTATCCAAATTTTAACCTAATTCTAACACTGGAAGCTGTATTAGTATGTAGTGTTAATCCTGAATGATGTTACAGATGTCCATATCGAGTGCTGGATGTGGGATTGAGAAAGTCTGCTTCAACCAACCTGCCGACTGCGACCCTGCTGCTGACCCGACCTGCTACTTTATGTCGGTCATGTCATCGCCCAACACTTCAGCAATCACTATTGAGCTCCAGGGTCAGGCAAACGGCTACATCTCGTTTGGGTTTTCAGATGACCAGCTGATGGTATGGTCACATTTCTCTCACAGGCCGTGCTTGTGATTATTTTAAAGGCCTGTCCTTTCATTCCAGATCAGGATTAAGTGTTATATGGAGTTAAAACCTAAGTACCTAATTTCCAAAATGGTGTAAATGTCATTTCAAGCCACACTTTGTGTATTTGCTATATATTAGTAGTGCTACATATTACACATCCTACAAATTAATGTTGGCTATATACTAGTAGTCAGAGGTGGGTAGTTACTAGTTCCATTTACTCAGTCCTATGGATTTAAGTACCTGTTTAAGTTCTACTGCATTTCCTCAATACTTTAGTAATTTTTAACTAATATTTTTGTACTCCTACTCAAGTACTTTTTTTTTCTTGAAAGGTATTTTTTCTTCTATTTTAATCATTATTTTACAGATGTAACAACACTTTTACTTGAGTATGGTTAAGGCTACTCTATTTTACAGTTGTATACAAAAGTCTGAACTTTTCATTAGAAAATCAACATAACACACAAAAAATTAAATGTAGGATTTGGTTACACATGTTATGTCAAGTGGTTCCACACTAGACTGCCAAGTAGCTTTTAAGATGCTAAAATGAATAATATGTACTCCGTGAATTCAAGGAGATCAAGTTTTCATTAACTGGACTGATTATTTTAAGTACTATTCCAACATTCAACTTAATGTGTTTGTACGGTTGTTGGTGTGTTTCACTAATAAAAGTAGAAAAAGAGCATAAAGTTAATGTGCTTAGGTCTACATCATTTCCTTAAGTTACTGCCGTGCTACTGAGCTGTATTAGAATTACGCTCAGCAGTAGGTTACACCATAACTTACCGCCAACAACAATGTGGCTAGGTGGTTAACCGAAGAGTATAAGAAAGATGCACATACAATGGGGGGAAAGACATGGGAAAGAGTTTTACTCAACAAGATTACACTGACCAAACAAACACTTCCGAAGTAAATCTGACAATTTACATAATTCTAACAAAACAGCACAGCTGACTCAGCATCACTGACTTGAAATATCATGTAATATCAGTGAGAGAAAACTGATTTAAACCAACAACAGAGTGATTTCATTTTTTGTGTGCATGCAATTTGAACAGGGGTGCAAAAACGTTTTTACACAACTGTAGAAATGGTGCTACATATTGCTATACTCTAATAGCAATATCCAAGCAATGTCTGAGCATACTGTCGCTGTCAAGTCTAAAATTGTTTTCTTTATTTTTGACAAAGTTAGAATATGCCAGCTAACTTTTACATTTCATGATCAAGAGATGAATACAAATGGTCCAAAATTACTTGGAAATTTCTTGACATTAACTTGCATTGAAAGTTAATAATGTATTCTTCATCTTGTTATCATTGATTATATAATGACTAAATGACATTTAATTACAATTTTTCTTTGTCCTTTGATTACTTATCTACTTATCTGTTTGTGCACTTACGCAACTGTTTGATTGATTATTTATTGTTTTGAAGGGGAACGATGACATCTACATTTGCGGCACTGACGGCAATGGTACTGTCCAAGTTCAACGCGCCTTCTCCACTGGGAGAGGTAGACCAACAATCCTCTCACTGGTACAGAACCCTTTTACTTATTCTATCCACAGAACCACAAAATTGTTCTATTAGCCTGAGCAGGCCTGGCTTCCCATGACTAACAATGCTTCTCCTGCCTTACAGGGTAATGTTTCAGATATTACAGCATCAATGATGGATGGAGTGATCAGCTGTTCTTTCATTTCACAAAACCCCATCAGCACTGTGAGGGCCTCTGAACAGAACAGCACTTACTTCCTCTTGTTTGCCTACGGCTCCAGTAGTGATGGTGGGTGAGAAAGTCTTGAAATAAGCAGAGAAGGTCCAAAACACTGTTATGCAATGGCCAGAATGAAAGAACAACAACAAACTCTTTTTTCATATTTGCTTTGCACGTCAACAATGGAGTAATGTCTTCTGAGTTGGCTGGCAAAGTCAAAGAACAGCTGTATTTGCAAACTATAGTATAGTACTGTGCAGAAGTGAGAGAACACCCTTCATATCTTAGTTTCCAGTTAAAATGGCCATTAAGTTATTCATTTTTCAGGAGATAATTCTGAGGAGATTGGATATAATCCACTTGCATGAGGAGAAAGTCAAAGGAAAATAAGTGAAAGCAACACTGGAGTTCAAAACATGATTAAAAGATTTAGAGAACTTCCTAACAATCATTGTATTTGTTTGTCTGTGAGTGTGTGGTCAGGCACATCATGTCTGACACCTTCTGCCACAAAAGTGTAGGTGGGTGCATGAATGCCATGTTCTCACACAGTGAAACTGTTGACGGAAACAGTGGGTACACCTTTTAGTAATCAGTGGTTCAAAGCTCAGAAATAAAGATGATAATCAGCAGTGTCTGACCTTGTAAAACAGTGTAGTCAGTGATTGTGTAGTATTAAGAAAACATCTCCGGCTCAGTAAACTGTTTTTCTTATTGCAGTCCTCAGACCTACGCCTGCATGATTATGCAAACATCTGCCGCACACTGCAGAAACCAAATGAAACTTAACTTTGTAATTCAATTCAGTATATAAGGAAGATGACATAGAGCTTTTCCCTTAGCCGTAATTCAACAGAAACAGACTTTACATATATGCAAAATGCAGATAGAACATGAATGCGCACAACAGAGAAAACAGGTAACACATAACAAACAGTTATTTTTATACCTAGAATGTATGAAGAGAGTAAGACGGACCTTTTGGATGGTGCTAGCAGAGCAGCTAATGCTGTGCAGTGAGCACATGTGCTGTTTGCCCCTGATCCAGCAAAAAATTTAATTTATACAGTTTCTCCCTTACCTCAAATGTAGTGTGTCGTCCAAGACTTGTTTGGCATCCAAAGTTTACTTCATTACTTTTGCAGTGGACCTGTGGGGCTAGTGTACCTAACAAGCAAATAAAGCTTATAACCATCAGCTACCATCAGACCTGGTAGACCACAAACACTGTCATCATCAGATAAACAGCGCTTAAAGCTGTCATCTTTGAGGGTAGAGAAATCAATAGAGAGCGCCACTCTTGATTCAGGTCTGAAAAAAATCAGGTGTTTCTGTTCATCCCTCCACTGTGGGATAACTCAGCACTACGAGTCTGAAAGGATGTGTAGCTGATAAGAAGCTCTTATTGAGAAAAGAAAATAGACAAATACCGAAGGAACATTTGCACCAGAACACTGAAAATCAATTACTTGGATTGTGAGAGGTAGAAAATGCAACCAACTTCTAGGACTGAACTTTGGAGGTGTGAAAAAGAGTGAAAGCAAGTCTCCTACACTCTTAGCACTCTTTGGGTTTTATATAATACCAAAAAAGCGTTCTTTGGCTTTTAACAATAGTGGAACCCTTTTTGGTGCTATATAGAACCCTTTTCAAAGAAGTTCTACATAGAACCATCTACAGCACATTCTCCATCAATCTGAAGAACACTTTCACGATGCAAAGGGTTCTTTGAATGTTCATGGTTCTATCTAGAAGATACTATCTAGAAGATACTAGAGAACCCTTGAAGAACCATCTTTTTTAAGAGTGTAAAAAAGGGGTAACAGCACCTTTCCTGTTAGAGGATGATAGGGACCAATGAATTACCAAGAATTTAAGACCAATGTGTGCCTTTTTTATTCTGGCAGGTTTAATCCAGTATCATGGTAGTAATACATTTGTCAGCAGTTCCAGAGTGGATATATTCAACCCACAGATCCTGGCAAGTGCTCCACGGCATCAGATCATTAAAGCCCATGGTTTGTGCCACTGGTTTGTTCCTTGTTTGGAATCCTGTATATACAGTGTTCTATTACTCTTCTAATTACCACATTCTGGTCCAGGCTCACTTATGCTGATTGCATGGATGACCACTGCTAGCTTAGGCATGATCTCTGCACGTTATTTGAAAGCAGTCACCAAGGGAAGAGGCTGCTGTGGCAAAGACTTCTGGTTCTTGGTAAACTTTTTTCTTTTTCAGTTACACTGATAAAACGGGAAGAAAAAGAAAAGAATGAGATTATTTAAAAGTCTTATCCTTCCATGCTGGATATTTGACACTGGCTAACTCTCCTCTGTCCTCAGGCACACGTGTCTTTAATGTCCTTATCTGTTGTTATGACCGCTGCTTCATTCATCCTGGTGTTTGTGCACAAGAGAAGTTGGAGTGGGGTAAGTATTCACTTTAAAAGTATCACATTTCCCTCTACACTGTGTGTAGTTGATCAGCTGAGACACGTTTTTTCAGGCTTTACAAGGTGACTCCCGACATATAGGATTTTTTTTTCTCATGACTCTAATGCTGCTACGTTCAATTTTAACAAAAATCTAAAAACCATGGCGCAGATTTAAAGAACACTGATTGACCCATGGCCTGTTTCATTACAAAGAGAGCATAATTAGTCCTTTTTAATTGGATTTAGCATCATGCAGTATGTGCTGTAAGCAAAGTCATTCAGAGTAGTTTGATGTAAGATGCTCTATTCTAGAGAAACCTACTCTTTACAATGGTGGCAAAGGGAACCAGTGGTCACCCAGGGGTCACGATGTTTACAACGCAAATATAGCTTTTTTATATTTGATTAACTGTCTAAAACAAATACTCAACTTACACATGTCTATTATCTGCATTGTTGATAATGGTAAAATTGTGGTAAGTATGGAAAAAAAAAAGGGGGGGGTATTTTTCCTTGCAATGCCCTGCATGTGTCTTTTTACCATGAAATGATTTAAACACCTTATATTAACTATTATAAAACATTGTCTCAAAAATTGATGTTGCTTTTAGAGCGTTCAGAAGTCTGTTTCCTATCATCACCACTGTGAACAAGTTAGACCCGAGATTGCTCTGAAACAAAGCATTTCACTTCAAACTACTCTATATGACTCTGTTTACCTTTTAATTTTTTAATTATGTAGAAATTTGAAAATTGGTGGAATTCCCCTTAGATAGCATAGTCATAGACTGTAATGCTGTTAAAATATAATACTCAGTCTAGTCCTCTGCATACTTTTAGGGGGCTCACCCAGTATTAGGATGCATAGTCATGATCCTCAGCCTGATCCAGCCAATCGTAGCTGCATTCCGCTGTGCACCTCAACACGAAAGGTGAGAGTTTGTCTGTACCTTACATGCTCCATTACAGTAGAGTTCCAGCCCAGATCATCTTCCTTTACCGTCTGTACCTTCTGCAATGACACAAAAGGCTATTTTGATCTTCTACAGTGTACACCTGCCTCCTTACCTCTACATGCTAACAGGTCCTCTCAGCAATCATGGATTTAATTAGTGATTGCATTTTGCAAAGCATCTCCTTCTTCTTCTTCTTCTTCTTCTTCTTCTTCTTTTTCTTTTTCTTTTTTTTCTTCCAGATTTTTGTCTGCTAACTTGCCCCCTTGAGATATCAAATTTTCAGTCTGATTGGGAATGGTGTGGGAATCATATGGCTTTTTAATCGGACATATGGTTTTGCAATGATTGTTAAATGACTTTTTTTCCATAGGATTGAATAGTGGTCAAAGGCTTGCGCACCCCACTTGCATACTATAGCAACACCCTAGCAACCATTTGGAATATCATAGTAACTTCCTAGTAACCTAGTAAATCCTAGCAACCACCCAGGGTACCATACCAACCACACAGCCACACCTTGCCAACCACCTGGAATACCTTTGCAACCATCTAGCAATACCCTACCAACCACCATGAATGCCATAGCAACCACTTAGCAACACTCTAGCAATCAACTAGCAACACCCAAGCAACCATCTGGCAAAACCCTAGTAAACACCTGGAAAAACATAAAAAAAAACCTAGCAACACCCTGGCAACAGCATGGAACACACAGCAACACTCTAGCAATGGCCATGGATAACATAGCAACCGTCTAGCAACACCATAGCAAATACCTTGGTTATCAAAGAAACCCTCTAGCAATATGCTGGCAACCACCTGGGTACCATAGCAACCACTTAACAATACTCTAGGAACCACCTGGCGTACCACTGCAACACCCTATCAACCACATGGAACACCGTAGCAACCACCTGGAACACCATAGCAACCACCTAAAATACCATAGTAACCTTTTGCCAACAACTTAGCAACCGGAGAATCACTCTGCATCTTCTTCAGGCAATACATTCTAATAATTCTTTTTCTCATTCCTTTTAGATAAAGGACAGGCTTCTACCATCAGCCATTGTTTTCCTTGGTTAAATTCAAAGAGGGGTCCAGCCATGTAACTGGCATATGTCCCACCTTGGCCTGTCCACCAAAGAAAATCTTAATTTGTATCGTGACTTCACACTATTTCAACAAAACACAAAACAGTTAAATCCAAGATAAATTTGTCCTCAGCTTAACAGACGTTCGTCTTCACAGCTTCACGTTTCTCATTAAACACAAACAAGGCATCATGATAAAGACACTACATGGTCAGGAAACAGTGCAGCTCTGTTCCTAAACCACTTCCACACGCAGGAAACATGATATCTGAACATTTGCATAGTGAAAGGCTCTCAAAAACATCAACTATTGCACCTCTCAGAATTACAAAAAAGAAACAATCAGCCCAGTCGGCCACAAGGGGGCGCTATAGCGCAGGTCAACGCGTTTGGGTCTATAACTCCTAAACCAGATTTTTGCCAGACAAGCCATATTTTTTTCCTAGTTCCTTGGGTCCAACCAAACAACTTTGCCATTTGGACCATTTAGCTCCGCCCACTTAGATTTTGAGCTAATTTGCATAATATGTCAAACATACTTTTGCGAACTAGTCCTACAATTCTTGCCCGATCCTCATGTTTTTGGTGTCAAAAAATTCAGAAGAGCCTGAACCTCAATAATTATCAAAAATATTTTGACTTTTTTAAACAACATGGCTGCCATATACAAATGAACCCTTCTGGATAAATTCAAAATAATTCAGAATTAATTTAAAATTCTGTAACTCGACAACCCTTCAGCCAAAAATTTTCAAACTTGACAGACACATTTGTGAGAAGATTCTGAGGTAGCCATTCGATTTTTGTGCACATATGTCATTAGGGGGCGGAGTTAATGCTACATAGCTGTTTCTCAGCATCCGTACATCTGATCAGACTGAAACTTTGCAGATACCATCTGTTGGCCAGATTATAAGTGAGTCCTTTAGGACAATTTGATTAATTGAAGTACATGGTCGCCATCGGCCAATCAGCATTTAGCAGGCTTTTGACAGGCTTAACATTGACCAATCATCATGAAACTTGAATGATCTCTACCTATAGCCACTTTCTAACAACCAATCAAGTTTGAAAAAATTTGACTACTGGGGGGCGCTATTCATAAAAATTAACATATTATTACATATTATTACTATTTTATTACAAGTTTGCTTGAACATCCTTTGTATCATATGTAGTACGTTATTCCAAACAATTTTACAAATGCATATTTATTACAAAACTGCATAGTTTTTTGTAATCGATAACTGTTTGAAAACCCTCCTTTTCGAACTTGTCCCTGGATTTCGATCCAATCTTTTCGAATTTTTTAAAAACATATTGACTTTTCTACTCAGGGTCGTGTGGATCAATCAATTAATTACTGCGACCATGACATTGTTAGCTTGATTAGCTATAACTCAACAGTCATTGGTCAGATCATGTCCAAACTTTAAGGACTTTTACATATTTGGACTCTAATGGTGTTTGCCAATTTTGGTCCAGATTGGCCTTTAGGGGGCGCTTTAGCACTCAAAAACACTTACAAAATCAATTAAAATGCTATTACAATGTTATTACAAGGTTGACAGATAAACAAATGGTGCTATATGACTCAGGTCACTCACATGAAAAACTTTCTAAGTACATGTTCTGTCACAAATTGTACTGTTTGTCTGGTATTTTGGCTTATTCATTCGAAGACTGCATTATACGAAGGCTTATTATACAAAGGTCAAAAGGTCAATCTGACCAAAACTAGGTAAACATCTTTGGATATGGTCCCTGATCAAGAAGAACACCATATTGTGGCCTTTTCACTAATTCTGACCCACTTTCACTGAGCTTTTACTTTACTTTAGTCCTATGTTTCAACTTTTCATCTTTTTCAACTTTACTCATATTTTTGCCTGTAACTTTTGATCAGAGTGAGATAGAGACAAAACTCTTTTTTCTGCTGATTCCCTGGGACTTGCTGAATAAGTGCATTCCAGTCACTTTTAGCCCCACCTGCTTAGTTTTTGAGCTAATTTGCATAATGTGAAAAACCTATTCTTGCGAATTAGTCTCTGTATTTTTTGCCAATTATCATCAAATTAGTATCTTAAGATTCAGAAGACACTGATCCTCAATAATTATTAAAAACATTTTGACTGTTCAACTGAGTGTATTGAGAATCAATCAATTAATTACTTTAAGGACTTTTACATATTTAGACTCTAATGGTGTTTGCCAAATTTGGTCCAGATTGGCCTTTAGGGGGTGCTTTAGCACTCAAAAACACTTAAAATCAATAAAAATGCTATTACAATGTTATTACAAGGTCAACATATAAACAATTGGTGCCATGTGACTCAGTTTACTCACATGAACAACTTTCTAATTACATGTTAAGTCAAAAATTGCACTGCTTGTCTTTTATTTTGGCTTATTCATTCAAAGATTTCACTATACAAAGACTTATTATACAAAGGTCAAAAGGTCATTCTGACCAAAACTTGGTGAACCTCTTTGGATATGGTCCCTGATCAAGAATGAAACCATATTGTGGCCTTTTTACTCATTATGACCCACTTTCACTGAGCTCCTCTACACCAATAGGACCTCTCATGAGTGCATTTGGCCTCATTATGGCCTACATCAAATCAATGGCTTAAATATAGAACCAATCCACTGTGCAAGTGCTACTATGTGAGAAATGCTGCCATTAGTCATGTAGTTTTGACATCTATGTTGACAACCTCTTGGATGTTCTACAAACCAGTGTAGATCAGTACATATGAATATAAACCTATAATGTGTTTAAAGACCTCTGCTCATTGTTTATGGCCTTTGATGAACTGACTTCCGTTTCAGTTCTATTCACTCTGCCTATAAATAAGACCCATAGCTTGAGGCCTTTCTAGGCCTAATGGGCTAAACGAAAAGCTTGAGGCCTTTTTAGGCCTAATGGGCTAAACCTGCAGAAGGGCCCATACTGCTGTTGCATGCTTGAACCCTGCTCATTGCCGCTTGCGGTTATATTTCTCATTGCTTTTGTTGTTACTGTTTGATATTTGTCTTGACCAAAATGGTCTCAGTGTTTCTTCCTCTTTCTAATTTTCCTTGTTATTGGCTTCCTCATGTAGGACTTGGACTCAGGTTTCTGTAAAGCTTCTTTGTGACAGTGCCCATTGTAAAAAGCACTGTACAAATAAATGAGAATTAAAAGGAATCAAATTGAATTTCCAAGACAATGTCTGCTTCCTGATATTGAAGCAGCAGCCGGTTTCTGATTTCAGATCAGCTAAATACAGGTTGTGTCATCAGGCTGCTGTTCAAAACTAGGACAGGAAACTTGAGGATAATAAAAAAAAATGATTTTAAATGTGGAGCACTGGACGTTCACTTTAATATGCACAAAATCATCACCCAGAAACTCACACTTGTCTTGCCTTGTTGTTATGCCTTGCAGGAGATTCATTTTCAATTGGCTACATGCTCTCAATGCTGTGGTCATTAAGGTTCTTGCAGGTAGGAGAAAGCACTGTTTACAGTAGGGCTCACCGTCTTATCCACAAAGGGCCGCTGTGGCTGCAGGTTTCCATTCCAATCAAGCAGAAGCACACCTGGTTCCACTTGAGGCAACTGATGAGTTATGTGAGATGTGCTCCTGCTTGGCTGGAATGAAAACCTGCAGGGTAAGATTGGAGACCCCCAGTTTACACTGATAACTAATATTAAGCATCCCTCAGACGCTGAATGCAACTGCTTCATAAAGTACATGCTCTTCCTTTTTACTGCCTGACACAGTGGCAGCCATATTCACCGGATTGTTGCTATTTGATGACTCTCGGATCCAGTGGCTTGTCAAGGTGATGGGAGCATTTGTCGGCTGGGAGGTGCTCTTTTACATCATTCAAGATGCTTACAAGTGGTTGAGGAGAAAAGGTAAAATCAGATAAATCTATTTGCAACTCTATGTTGGTTATCGACCAGTGTTTATTTCTAAACTGGATACATGTTTGTAGGTTATTAAAAGCTCAGATTTTATAGTATATGTTGGAAAAGTGTTGCCTCCTCTACTTGCTTCCAAACTCACTATACTGATAAAATATCTGTTTTTGTTTCCTAGGTGAAGACGAACCCGCTGTTGAACTGGTAAGTGCACCCACTGTCCACTTTATTAGAAACACCTAACTTGTACTTCCACACACTGACCAGTTTATGAGCTCTGTCTATCCTATAGTTCCACTACATGGGGGTGCAGACTGTAGCAGCCACCTTCTACTTAATTCATCACTGGTCAGTGTCTGACCACAAGACCACTGCTGACCAGAGATTATTTTGGTGGTGGATCATTCTCAACATGGCACTGACACTGACGTGGTAGTGGTATGGGAGTGTATGTCATGCAGGAGTTTTACAGAGCATGGACCACCACAAAAATATCCACCCAAGAGCAGCTCTGTGTTGAAACTGACCACTGATGAAGGACTACAGAATTGCTATGGGCTAAAGTGGAGCTACAAGACTGGTTTCTGATAAAGTGGCCAGTAATTGTATGTATGCTTGATTAAATATTTCTTTTGAAATATAATGTCCCACCACATCCTGTGTAACACAGTACATGCTGAAGATCATTTCCTTTCGTTTGTTTCTAACAGGTTGGTACAGAAATTATTCTTGTGGTTCTGTTCTTCCTTGGGAACTTGGCATTCTTGCTGGCACTCCTGATTGGAATTGGCACGGCATAGAGTTTAGAGTTTCTACATATGTACATACATTTAGTTTTATCAGATATTTAATTAGTAGAGTTCACTGTAAAATAAAATATGCTAAACACTCTACACTCGCCATGCTGGTGTATGATACAGTAACCTAGTGCCTCCACTGGCTGGCGTGATATAAGCTGATAGCTGTGCTGCTTTCTGATGAAATACTATAAGTATTAAACTAAATATGAATACTAAATAATAATTAATAGTTTTTAGTAGGCTAATTTAGTCAATGAGCGAGAATGTCTGAATGTTTGCTAAAAACATCTAGTACTGAACGTCATTGTACCATCATATTAATTTCATACTTTTGTAAAATCGTACTGTATATTTCCATGTTATTAAAGGGATTCTCTGTCCAAAATAAAAAAAAAATAATCACAACTAAATCTGTCATGAACAAGCTTATTTGCATCATACAGCTGTGCCATAGTAGTCTCTAGAGTGATATTTTCTGGTTAAAAGATCAGGAAAACAGTCTTCTGATGATGTGTCTGGAAGGAGGGAGGGACCTTTGAAAACTACAGCTGCTTTGGGGTGGGTTTTTGGGGGAAGGCCTTTTGAAATGGTTTTGCTTGTTAGCTTTTTTGTTAGCTGATGAATGCAAAAAGAAATTTACTGCTGAAATGTTAATGTCTTATATCTTATTGCAGCCATTTAACTGTGATAACTGTCTTCAAATCATCATGACTGCAGAGAGTATGAATCACTCCAAAGGTAGAATTTATGACTTATCAGATGAGGAAGACGACAAGCTAGAAGTGGCTAAAAGTTGGTGTCTATTTTGTGCTGAATAAATATTGAATCACTGTTTTCTTTACAAATTTGTTTGACGACAAAGACAAGTGTTACACTAAAGCTAGCTTGATTGTACTTATTAGCCATCAGTGGCTGTAGGATAGCAGTCCCACAGCAATTCCCAGTGACTGTATTTTCTCATATTGAGAATCGGCTCTCAATAATGTCAACCAAAATTATTGGGTCCAAAATCATAATTAAATACCTAATCATTTTTATACAATGCAATCATTTCTCAACACAGAATAGCATTAAATATTTCAATACTGTTGTCATATTTTTGACTGCTGTTGAACGCCAAGCACAGCACTTTCTATCAGCGCTTTTTTACAGGTTAATGAGAGAAACCGCTTTACTCAGGCAGTGTGGTGAACAGCTCATCAGTCAATCAAAATTTAGCAGCAGTAAGTCAGCAATCAACAATAAGTAGCGGTGATGCTAGCTAGTGCTCTACTGCCCAAAACTTTTTTGCTGCAGAAAAACAGAAAGATACTGGGAAGTGTTTTAAAGCAGAATAAATCTTTCTACTTTCCAAAATTAAAGGTCGTTTCTGTACGAAATGGCTAAAACATGTATTTATTTCTTGATTTATAGCTGTTTAGACCTAATCACACCCCTTATATTGAAGACTCAATCTCTCAGGGCGCCCTCTAGTGAATTTTTTGTGCAATAGGAGAAATAAGAAGTGGCTCCCTAAAACTGGATCTGGTTGCATGCTGTACTTTGCATAATGCATACTGTGTATTGTAGTGAAAAACAAAACATTTTTTCCCTTGACATACGTGCACTTTTTTTTTTACTTGAATTAGATCAAACCAAGGTGGTCTGTCCTCTGGGATCATAAACACTAAGAAAAACAGCACATGCTGCAGAGGAATGCTTACTTGTTACTCTTTTAAGGGTACACGGGTATAAATTTTGCCAAAAAATCTCCTGCAAATCTTTGCCAAAATGCTTCAGCTTCTTTCTGAAAACTTACATCTTAGCTTCTCATTGCAGAAACCAGGGTTGCCAAATTGCATTAAGGGTACAAGTGTTATCAAAACCCAGAGGTGCACGAAAACAGACTCCTAAATTATATATATGAAAATAGTCGAAAGTCGTCATTTCAATATACTAGAACTATAAAAGAGCATCATGACTGTTTATTTTTTAATTTTTGAAAATGCAGATCATTTTTATCAGAGAAAATCCTACGAAGACCATGAAAGGACATGGGTAAAAAAAGGATGAGTTTTCTGTAATGAGTAAGAACAACTCCTGTCTGTGAAATGACTTGACATTTGTCTTTTTAAATTACTTGTCTCGAGATAATGTTCTCCAGTTAATTATCTCAAGATAATTTTCTCAAGACAAATTCCTCTGGAATTTTTGAAGATGTTTTTCTTGAGAAAATGTAAGGGTGTTACGTCCACTCTGAGCTCTAGATGGCAGCAGTATGCCATTTGGGGAGCGTTGTTCACTTCAGCCCGGCCTCCAGTGTTTGGAGTGCGCTCTGCTTCTACGACAATTTTAGGATCATTATTATTCGTGTCTGTATTCAATCAAATTACTTTTCTTGAGTGTGTATGCCAATGGCAAAGAATTTTAACTTCATATGAATGAAAATGTAAGATGTAGATGGGTCCTTTCACAAAATATTTGTGTGAATGAAGACGCCTTGCTGTTCCGTATGCTTCTCTATGCCTGGTGCCTTCAGAATAATCTGGACTTTACTGCGGTGGATAAATCTGTGCAACGCTTCCTCCGAAACAGCTGTGTTTTAAAACATGATATAATACAGTCATGTCTGTTGTTGAGCACTGAAACAATGTCTTTGATATGTAGCGATCCATTTCCAATAGAATAGCTCTTTTCATGGACTCACAACTTCCAGCACCCCCGAAAAATGGACAGCAGGCTTAGGGAGATAACAGCAGAGAACTTGTAGAGAGGAGAATTACCACTCTGTAATGTCTTTCGGGTTTCTCAAACGCTAGAGGGCGCTCCCGAGTTAGTCCAAAATGAATGGGTTATGAAGGGTTATTTTTGCGCAAAATCATAGTTTATAAATGCTTAAACATTTTTAAAATAAAAGAATACATTCATTACCTGAACACAGAACAGCATAAAACATTTTAACACTGCTATTATATTTTTATATGAACTTGAGTTATTGGAGTTTAAAACAGCGCCTTGTACCTTCATGACGTCAAAAAGCTGCTCTGCTCGACAACCAATCAGAACTCAGTAACAGTAATGCTAACCAATCAGAACTCAGTAACAGTAATACTTCCCCAAACCTGTTTGCTGTAGAAAAAAGAACACATACATGTTAGCTAGCTTTTTTTAGTGAAATACATTCTTCTACTTTCTAAAACTAAGGGAAAGGAGTGCAAGGAGCGCAGAGAGCGAGAGAGAAAGCTGAAAGAGGGCAGTCAGACAACTGCTGACGAGGTTCTTTCAGAGTGCCAAACTGTAAATGTGTTGCAGTAAGGTAAGCTAGCTTGCTAACTAGCGATTAGCTGGTAATCAGTCATTCACAACAAGCACAAGCTGATAAAGAAGTTGTTTGTTTGTTTGTTTGGAGTTTGTTTCAATGCAGCTAGTAAACATTTTATTAATAGTTAATGTAACAGACAGTGTTTTTGTGATCATAACTCAGAGAAGTTCAGCCTCGTCCCAGCAGCTAATCTGTAAAACTCACGCTGTTAGTTCAGAAGTCACTGAGGGAGAGAGAGCAGCACCTCTTCTCTTCTCATCTAACACTGAATTCAGTTCATAAAGGGGGGAGGTTGAAGTGTGCGGACGCACACTGCTCTGTCTGGCTGGCTGATTGTGTGCACATTTGTGACATTTTATGCACCTGGCTTAAGCATTATGGTGTTTGATTTGAATGTGCTGTAACCTTGTTTAACCAGTTTAATCAGCACAGAGCTGAAGTGCCTGGCTTCGGTGTATGATATTTCATTTTAACATTTTATCATCTACTCAGAATCGTAATGTTTGGCTTCTGCAGTTATTTCACTTTGTCACGCTTTAATTTTCAACAGAAGATGTTTCATTTTATCAGTACTAACTTAAGTAGACAGGAAAGAGCGATACCCACACTGAGAACCACTATAGCGGTTTGTTAAAGCTTGGTGACTCATGTTGGGGCTGGCAACAGAAACTTTGTGCTGTTGATCACCAGCAGCAGGATTAGGAAATTAGGAAACTTGTAGCACTGTGAACTTTTGAGGAAGATATTTGTGGAATGTGGATTTAGAGATATACCATTAGAAATATACAGTGATAATCACAACACAGTTTCATTCAGTAGTGCTGTTTTTGGATCAGAGGTTATTTTCACTATAAGTACTGTTGTGGTCTCGTCCTGGATCTGCCAGCCATGTTGTTTACTGCAGTTACTTATCCTATTGTTTTCTTTACAGTTTATTTGAAAACTAAATATATTAAAATGTTTCAAAAACAATATAGATAGACTTTATTGAAAATATGTTATATAAGGCTATATCTATAATGTTAGCTACCCACAAATTATAATGCTATTTCCGTTCTATCATGGACTGTTTACTGAATTAGTTCAAACTGCAGTTTATTTAACAAAATAGTTCATTATTCAGACCTTATACATTTTTTAAAGTTTATGTAATGATTTATTTTTTTTCTCATTTATTGAGATTAAAGCTAAAAATATACAAAATCAGTATTTATAGGGTACTTTCTGTCGGGAGGTGTCTGTCCCAAACCCTGATCCCTAAATTTCAACTTATGAAGATGATACTTAAGATTTGTATTAGATTTGTCAGTTTAATTTTGAAATAAAAAAGTGTATTAAAAAAAATACTACCCTGCAGTTTCATGTCATGACCGCATCATGACATAGTTCATAGACGGAGCCTTATTTTAGCCACACCCCTGCATTTTAGAGCAAGTAGTGAGGCTGCATCCCTGTCCCTCAAGGCCACATGGTGAGGAGTTAGATCCCATTGTTTTGAAGTAAATGTGTCCCAAAGTCTGTTAATCAGTGTGTAACTGTCACTATTGAAACAGTGTCTCTTAAAGTAAATGATGCATCTACTCAGAAAAAAGGTACAACACTGTCACTGTTGTGGTACCACAAGGGCACATCTTCAGTACTTTTAGTTAGGGACAAGCAAGTCTACCTGTCTTAACTCTTTTCAGCAAATGGTGTGTGGTGCAGCAACCAACGGCCAGTACTGGTCTTTATACAAAAATGGATTAGCATGGTTAGGGGCAGTTTCATTTAACAGTGAAACTGAAAAAAAAAAAAGTTTAAATGTGCGGAAAGTTAAGTGGCAAAAGAAAAAGAAAAAAACTTTATGGCTATAATTTTAAAATAACAAAGTAAGGATTAAAATATGTTTTTCCTCTTGTAAGTGTAATTAATTAAAGATATCCTTTACATTCATATCTTGAGCAAAGTCTAAACTTCCCTAATAATACTTAAGTACCAAGTAACAAAGTACACACTGAAGGATTTTCCACCCCTGAATGCCACACATGCTATCATGCAACTTCCACATGGCTTTATGAAAGTGCTGCAGTCTGTCTCTGTGTGGTCATCACATTTTTTTATCCTATAAATGTAAGTTGTGGACAATTTCATCACCTCAAACACAATACGCATCTAATGCTAATAGCAGGCACTTTATGCTACGAAAGTAGAAAAGGAATTCTGCTGATTTTTTTCTGTCGTATAATGAGATTTTCAAATTCATTCAGAGTGGTTTGATGTAAAATGGTGCATTGCAAAGGAACTTACCAACTAGGATTTCTTTACAGTGGTGGTGATGAGAACCAGAGTTCACACATTTTATTTGCAATCTAAAACAACCATGAACCTACATGTGTTTTCTGAGTGTTTATATGTAATGTTGATAATGGTAAAATAGTGGTAAAGCCCTAAGGCTCATCTGCACACAGTGTAAAAAAGGTTCAGAGTTTCTTCCCTCAGGAAGACATTTTTTACTTGTTAACCTCTATGTGCACCATTTTTAAGCAATTGATATTACCACTGAGGATCTAGATGAACTATTTTTTTTTACCAAAAGCCAGAGTGAAAGTACAGAGAAGACAGTAATCACAGGACAAGAACTAGTAGAACAATCAGAAGGACTTGTGTGGACAGAAGCATTACAGCATTGCAGGGGTTGAACAATGAATACTTCAGTAAATATTTCAAAATATTTCCAGCTAAAGCCTCACTTTAAACATTAGTGCAGTGTTTCTCAACCCTGCACCTGGAGGCCCACTGCCCTGCACTTTTTTAGTGTTTTCTCTGCTCCCAACACACCTGATCCAGCTAGTCAGCTCATTAATTATTGAGTCAAAGTGCATGTGTTAAAGCAGGAAAAGCTCTAAAATGTGCAGGGCAGAGGGCCTCCAGGACCAGGGCTGAGAAACACTGCATTAGTGGCCTCTTCACAGGCCTTTCTGTGAAAACTGCTTTCTTAACTGCTTGAATTCTCACCATTTCTAAATAAATCACATCACATCATCCCAAATCTTTATCAGATCACTGGCTATCTCTGTGTACAACCTGTTTAAAGGAACAGTTCAGTGAAAAATCAAATTTATACAATTTTCCCAAATGTGTTCGATCACCCAAATTCAGGTTTGCTTCTTTGGTTTTGTACTGGAGCTACAAGGCTAATGTAGCCAACAAGAAATGGAAGCTTATACCTCACTAATTAGCATCATTCTAAATCATCACACACTCACCTCAACCAGAGATTAGATAGAGATTACCACGCTTAAAAAGATGGCTCTGTAAGAGTTCTTTAGTAAAGACAGTGGTTCTATTAAGAACCATGAGTTCTTTTGTGCTTTAATGGTACTTTGCATGGTGAAATGGTTCTTCAGACTGATAGAGAATGTTTGATGTGTTGATGTGTTGTTTATGGTTCTGTATAGCACCAAAAAGGGTTCTGATACTGTTACAAGCTTGACATGGAGACAATACAAGAACTCTTGTTGATGCTATATAGAAACATTTTCAGAAACACGTATACAACACAATATACAACACATTCTCCATCAATCTGAAAAACCATTTCAACATGCATTTCTGCATGAAATGGTTCTATACAGAACTTATGGTTCTAAACAGAACCATTGCCTTTACCAAAGTATTCCTGAAAAACTTTTTAGGTGTGTACTTGCGTGGGTTCTAACACTGTATGACATGCTGTTATCTATAAACATGAAAATAACACTTTATAAATGAATTATTTTTAGCATTTTAAATCACGTTTGCCCAACATTAGAACCTTTCCAAAGAGTTACTTAATCACAGCTACTGACAGTCACTTGTTGATCCATCAAGTGTTTATTTCAAACATCTGAGCATTTTTATTAATACAATGGTATCCAATGGCCTGGAATAGACACTTTGGTAGTGCAAGCATGGGAGTAAGATGACTTTGTATGAAGATTACAAACGCAGTAGATATGAATTCGCAGTTATTTCATACATTATTTATTACAGCTCTTTATTTGTAGTTGTAAATGTTTTGGTCCGTCCACTAACAGTATATATGGTGGAACTTAAATGTCAGCCGTACTGCCCTCCAGGTGTGTTTTAACTGAATACAGCACAAATGAGCGCAGCACTAGGAGGTTACCAAGGAGACAAGAAGCAGACTGGTAGTGCAGCGCTGCTGCAGGCCCTGCGGGCTGAAATGTTACAGCTGTCTGTTCTCATCAGGACCTTCATTCCAAATGGGAGCAGACAGGGTCTCCAGCTACAGCACAATCTGTTTAGTACATTCAAACCTGGAGCCCGTTAGGGAGTACACAAGAAACATATAACGCTGCACTTTAACATACTGCAACAACAGCACAGCACACATATTATACTAAAATACTTTTTGGTGACTGAGTTGTGCTGCTTAACGAGGAATTCATTACTGAATCATTCTGCAGTTGAGATGTAAACAAAGTCATTCAGAGTGGTTTGATATGCCTCAATGAGAAACGATGATTTCACAGATGATTTCACAGATGATTTCTTTACAGTGGTGGTGATAGGAACCAGGGCTCACAATGTCTACAACATAAAGAAAGCCATTTTATTTACTATACAAAAGACCAGTAAACCTACATGTGTCTCCTGAATTTTTATATGTTACATTGCTAATTTCTGCCCAGTGACCACTGGGATAGGCTCCAGCACCCCTTGTGACCCAGAAGGATAAGCAGTGTGGATAATGTGTGTAATGGCATTGATGATAGTAAAATAATGGTTAAACAAAACGCTGTAGCCTGTTCAAGAAATGTTTTTGACATGTTAGTTTATGTTATCAGGTCTTCAGCATTTATTCACAGGGTTATTTTGGTAAAGACTCTTATTGTGAAGGCAGGGCTAATATATGTATAGGAGCAGGAAGGACTGAGAGTCACTCAACAGCTGATGTAAGACACGAGCAGAGTAGCAAACGAGCTGTTAGTAAAGAGAAAACTCTGCTTATGTATGGCATAGTATTGGCCAACAACAGCTGGTTAACAAAGCATGAATTGTGCAAGAGCTGTGTCTCTTTTACAATACATTTTCTTTGGGGACTATTTACCTTACAATGCTCTCTCACCCATAATAGGATTTTAAAAATAAGTTTAAGGCCAGGGGAGCCAATCCTCATCCTGGAAATCGACCACCCTGCAGAGTTCAGATCCAACACACCTGACTCCTGAAGGCCTTTGTTACCTGGATCAGGTGTGTTAGATTAGGATTGAAGCTAAACTCAGCAGGGTGGTAGATCTCCAGGACCAAAGTTAAGCACGTCCGTTTTAGGCCAAAAGCCATTTCATGTAATAGGTTTCTTTAGTAGCTTATAGAGGTACTAAATGTTTTGGACGTTCCTGGATCCTGTCACCACCGTGGGGAATTCTGGTAAATTTCTCTAGAAAGGGTCATTCCACTCTGAATGACCGTTTACCTTTTAACCATTTAATTATGCATGGATTTTGGAATCCCCCTTTCACTCATATGCTATGAATAAAATAAAAACTAGTATGCCAGTGAATACTACTGAGTTACTATTGGATAAAATAACAAAACTGATATTCACATTCTGTTCTGTGCCCTCTACCACTATGTAGATTAAAGCATCGCTGTTGAAACTGACCATCGATGAAAGGCTAGAGGATGGCTAACACAAACTAACAGGTGAGCTACAATCTCTAATTGTACACCAGGCAGGTAGGGCTTACAAATAAAGTGGTTAAAGAGTGTACATTTGTTTTCATATGTACTCCTAAGAGCCTGCTATTGTCTATACAAATCAGAACTGAAATGCACTATAGCAGGGGTTCTTAACCTGGGGGTTGGGACCCCATTGTGGGTCACAGTGTGGTCCAAGGGGGGTCATGAGCGACATATGCCTAATCAAATACAGAACAAATTATTTTGATGAGTGAATAGCCTCACCTACAGGCCATGGACAACAGGCTGATAGCAATTATGAATTGGGTGACCTTGTTACTGGGGAGTATCTTGATTGACCCTCACATTTTTTCACCATTAGGCCAGAGATTTGTGGTATGAGGTGATGTTCTAGCTAAGGAATGTAGGCCCAATATGTGGGCAGACGTACTATTTGATTATTCATCTGTAATTTCAGGTTGCAGGTTGACAAACAGGTGTCACAAAATTGTGAAAAAAAGTGAAAAAACTTAAAAACCCCTACAGCCTATGTATCACTTTTGTGGAGAATGGATCTATGATAAATTGGAACGACACTTATTTGTAAAAGTTGCTACAAATGTAAGATTAAAGAAAGTGTCCGAATTGGCACGCAAAACATTTTTTAATTGAGGAAAACCAAATGCTTCATTGGTTAACCATACAGGAATGTTTTGATGTTCTCTCAGGAAACTGTAAGTCATACACAAGCATTAAAGCTCAAACTCCAGTATTTAATAATGTAGTGAGAGAATGATGTAGGCCTACATATCCAATAAACCTTCTTTTACCCCCCATAACAGTAATATATATCCTTCATATTTGTGAAATATACTTCATTGCTCAACACTGAATACAGACACACATTCAAGCACACACATTGTCATGGTAGACAATAACGCAGAAGCTTTAGAGTGGACATGCATAACAAAAAGACTGGACTGTACCTTTACAACATAAAGACACATTAGACTGAGATAAACACACACACACACACACACACACACACACACACACACAATACACAAACATAGGAGAGTACAGGGAAGAAGTGCAGCAGCAGCAGGATGGGTGTAAGTCAGTGCGGTCAGTGCGATCATTAGCCTTATTCACACAGCGGCCATTCTGCTTATGTTGTGCTCTTGGTGGGAAACCGAACGACTATGTTGAGACTGAACTTGAGCTCGAATGTTTTAAAAAGGTACAGTACTGTGTAAAAGCCACAGGCCACTCTTCATTTATTTAATATCCAGTCAAAATGGCCACTGAGTAAAACTTAGCGCTAAGGGTCTTAAAGGATGTGTAGCTGTTAAGAAGCTGTTACTGAGAAAAGGAAATAGACAAAAAAGAACTTTTGTAAATCATTGTCAAGTTTTGCTTAGGGGCATGGAAGGCCAGGACTGGCACTGGACTGGCCACTCCAGAGTCCAGCCCTCAACGTCACTGAACGTGTCAGAGGTGTGGAAAAATATCCCTGCAGATTTCTTTGAAAAACTGAAAGTAAGTCTCCTGAAAAGAATAGAAGCTGTAATAAAGGTGAAGTGTGGACACAACTAAAGACTGAAAAAAATATGTATGTAGTTGTTGATGTTTCTATTGTGATGTTCTGTTATACATATGATATAACAGATACATGTTTGCTGCTTTTTTCCCTGACAATGAAAAATGAATGTGCTCAAAGGCCATTTAGAATGGAAATTAAATACATCAAGGGTGGTCTCTGACTCTAGAGGGTGGTCAAGCATAGTCCAGTACTCTAGATGGTGCACATACATGCTGACTGACTAATTTCTCTTCAATGGGCAAACACAATAAGGAAAATGGCCATGTGTGAATGTGCTGGATGGTGGTCATCGTGAGGGTCATTGCGGGAACTGGCGGAGCAGTTCAGTGGCCAGCTGGGCAATGTGTGCCCAGGCCTCTTGCACGTGACGTGACTCGGTGGTTCGAGCACACACTGCGAAGCGCAGCACAAATCTGCCTGAAAGCTGACACGGAACCAGGTGAATCCTACGAGCGCTGTTAATCCTCTTCAGCAGAGCTTCATTCAGGTCATTAGAACCCTGAGAGGACAAGAGAACAACTCCATTATGATGCAAGATGGTACGTAGTACCAATTAAAGAATGAAATACATTTGTGCACCACTTTATTGTAAATCACTGCCTTGTATCTCCTTGCTGGTGTACAGTTAGAGACTGTAGCCCATAGCAATTCTGTAGTCCAGGTACTGACCACAGAACTGATCTTAGCTGTTGCGACAATGATGAGTGCAACACTCACACAACTACACCACTACCATGTGAAGTATCTCTGACATGTAGAAAATGACCCACCACCCAAAATATTATCTGTTCACCAGCCCTGGGTCAGAAACTGACCAGTGATGAATGGAGTAGACGATGGCTGACAAACAGGGCATGACAACAGATAGTGTGAATCTAGTAGATCTGTAAGGTGGAGCTAATAAAGTAGCTATTAGCCACTTTAGATGAGATGAGGGATGCTGGAAGAGGGGGTGTTGAGGGGGCTGTAGCAACCCCAGATTTCAGGATTGTTTAACTGCAACTGCTAAAAACAATAACAGCAAAATAACAAAAAACAGAAAAATATTTTAAGCATAGCAAAGGCTCATATGAGCATTTGTTAGGGTGGAGTTTGTATTTTTATTTTGCTTTATTTACATGTTAAAAAACTCCAGTAGTCATGCACTGTAAAAGTTAACGCTGTATTTTAGAGTGAAGTGAAAAAACACAAGCCGGAGCTGCAGGCTAGTTCTGAGCCCCGACTTTTAAAAATATTTGTTTTCTGCCAATATAATTATCTCCCACTCCATCCATTTTCTTCCAACCATTGCAATAATCTTCTAGTAGAAGTGTGCCTGTAGCTTTTTCCTGTCTCATATCCACAATCTGATTGGTCAAGGCTCAGCTCATTTGCATAAAGAGGCAGCACGCTGTGCATCAGCTGTGTCAGTTAGAGGTATACAGTTGTATCTTGTCATTACTCCCCAACAATCAGCTTGTGCATACAGAACAGTAAATAAAGACAGCCAAATGTTCAGTCACGTGGAGATGCATCTGAGTCAGTCACTAATTTCAGTCAAAAATAGCAGCTAATTCATTTCCACGTAATTTCCCTTTGCATTCAGCTTGAAATGATTGCTCAGCTATTTTACACAGAGACTCATTTTAACATTTGGGTGTCTTCTGTCCTTTTGTAACTCACCTTCAGTCTGAAACAGACCAAGCCCAGCACCACATCCGCGGAGATCTGAAAGCGTTCATCCGCTCGGACCAAAGCCTCAAACTCCTTAGCCAATGCAACGTGCTGAAACAGACATCATCAGCATCAGCGTCAGCATTATTATCATCACAACAATGAAAAACAATGTAACATATAAAAACTGCTGTATTGCACAACAAAATATATTGAGTATATTGACAATAATAATAATGATAATAATAATAACAATAACAATAAAAAGAAGAATAATTTGTTTTTGTTGTATGCAAGTATTTAAGTACAAGCCTAAAATGGCCAGATTGGCTGATTATCTGTCTTGGCCCCCAGTTGTTGATACTTAGAAGCTCCGGAGAATTTCAAAAGAGGAGAACTGTCACTCAAAAATGTCTGCTAAGTTGGTCAGACACTAGAGAGTGCTCCCGAGTGAATCCAGAATGAATGGGCTCCTGTGGAACATTTTTTTGCTCAACACGGAACAGCATCAGATATTTCAATTCTGCTGTTATATTTTTAGCGTTTCTGGACTTCCTAACAGTGTCTCATGTACGTTCATGACATCAGCAAGCGTGAACCTTCATTCAGCCCAGGTATGTCCAATCTTATCTGCAAAGGGCCAGCCCTTTGTGGATAAGACTGGACACACTTGACTTAGCCAACGAACTGAACAGCTCGCCAACCAATCTGATCAACACTAAGCAGCAGTAATGCTAGTGTCCTTCAGGCCCAAACCTGTTGGCTGTGGAAAAATGGAATCATTCTGGTAGTGTTCTTTAATTTTTGCATGTAATACATATTTTCCAAACTTAATGGAAGTTAATGTGTGAATGGCTGGAAAACTCTTTCGTGTTTAATTTTTAGCCATTTAGTTCCATTCACTCCCATTCACTGAGGACTCACTGTGTGTTGCAGTCATATAATGGGAGAAACATAATTATATAATGGGAGAAATAGGAAGTAGACAGGCTCCACTTAAATCGGCTCTGGCAGCAGACTCAGCTCGAGCTCAGCTAAACCAACATCATCACTGCTGCCTTCTAAACGTGTTATAGCACATGGGACCAACACTGTGAGGCTGTAGCCTACGTACAGCAATTCAAACTACTAACTAGGTGAACAAAGTACACCTACGATAAGAGTTATTATATTGATATCTAATGTGTTATGTGTAATTATTAAGCTCTTTTGCAACTCAGTTACAAACAAAAGTACTTTTTTCAATAACCATCCCATGACTCCCAAAGTGCATCTTGCATCCCCCCATTACGCACCCCATGAATTTGCACTAGTGAATAAAGTGGATGGTGAGTTTGACCTTGTTTGAAAAATATAATTTGGGAAAGAAATTGTACTTGGTACTCTGGGTACTGAGTTGTTACTACTGCCTTGTTTTTTGCGTCCAGGCCTGTAAGCGGTGTAATCACCACTTCTCCAGCAGGGAGCAGCCTTGTAGTCCTATTCTTTTTCCTCAGACACCGCAACCAGATCACACAGCCGTTAAATATGAGTGACTCAGGTCTTCATAACCAGTACATTGGTTTTAAAAGGTTTTTCCACAAAGCTTTAACTCGGCAGTGGCAGCGATATCAGGTAAATATGATTAAGAAGAGAAGTGACTGAATCATATCCTCATTCTCAGCCAATAGCTCATTATGAATTCAGTACAGCAGCTCAGGCCTGACCGCTAACGATTATGTGACTCATTCAAACTGGACACTGAATGGCCAATGCTGGCCAATACAGACGTGAATAATACCAGTCTTTCGTAATTCAGCGTTTTGAAACTTTAAAGCAGGGGTGCCTTAATTTTTTTCTTGGCGGGCCAAGGTGCAATGTTTGTGGTGGGCCTAAAACAGATGAACCAAATGAAGTGATGAAGGGTGGGTTTCGAATCAAATATATAGTATAAGTGTAGTATACTATATATATACATATACTGGGTCAAGGGGTGGGGTTTAGCATAGCTTTCTGGTGGGCCAAATGATGACGTCCTCACGGGCCACACTTTGGGAAGCCCTGTATTGCATGGGCACATGTTTGTAAATAATTAAAATACAATTCAATTTGTATGGAATGTGTTTTTTAGAAACATATAGGTTTTTAAAATTTGTTTATTCTTAGCTTTTGAGGTTACTGCAAACTGAAGCTTAAAGAAGCTTGTCTATTAAAACCATCTGTTTAAAAAGCTTTGCTGTGCAAGTGGAATAAAACACATTTGTGTCATTTCAGATACAGGATGTGGATGCATCATTTACGCTAGACGCAAGTTTACTAAATGCAATACAATTATCGTTTACAGTCTCTGAGGAAATGGGCATAGAGATGGCCTACGAGGGTCTACGTTATGCTCTGTGAAAATGGGCTTGGCTGATTTGACTGACGGGGGGGTTGGAGGGGGTTGATTGACAGCAGTGGAGCGGCCGTTACCTTGCGGATGTAGTCCTGCAGGCCTCTGAGGCCGTACATGCGGAACACAAACCACATCTTCAGTGAGCGGAACCTCCGACCCAGTGGGATCTGCCAGTGCTGAAGAGAGACACAAAATTAGAGATGACACATGAACACACACACACACACACATATTGTGCAAAAATACCATTTATCGGTGCAGAAGAGGCTTTCTACCATAAAGCATCAGAATAAAAATACAAATAAACATAAATATACTATAAGTTACAAGTATTCTTTGTTAAAAAAAAAAGTAGGTGGTGTTAGTGGGTGGTAAGAAGAACATAGGTTTGCCTCCACGGATGCCCCCATCCACCTCATAGATTTTGATCAATTTAACAACAACACCCTTGATTCAATTTTGCAAATATATAATGCAAAATGAGAGAATTTTGATGGTTTCTGTTCTTTGTATACATTCTAAGCAAATACAGTATTGAAACCAAACACACAGTTCCAGGCACATTTGTTTTCCTGTCTTCCTAAGATGTTTTCATGTATGACGGTAGGTTTACTAACCCAACCTGACCCAACTCTAACCTTAACGTCAGCAGCCAGACGTTTAGATTTATCATCTTTTATTAATGCTAATAAAAGATGCAGTTTTTGGTTTAAAAAAAGGGCATTTGGAATCATCATTAAAATGTTCATGTTTTCAGCATCCTGGGAAATGTAGTCTTCACAAAAAGCTAAATACACAAACACACAAAAAAAACAGCTGCAGAGCTGCAGAAACACACCAATCACATTAAACACACTGCACTTACTCTGTAATCTGTCACGAGCCCTGCAAACAGAAAAAATACAATAATAGTCATTTCAAATCAAATTGTGTGTACTGAACTGTATGTATTGTACATGTATTTTACTTTGCTCTCAACCATAGTAAGTGTCTGTGGGTTATGGAAAGCATTACTATTATTATTATGATTGTTATTATTATAGTCAAAAATATCAAATCAAGAGCCAACCTCTAGGGCTAGAGCAGAGGTTCTAATCTCAGTCCTGGAGATCCCACACTATACACATTTTGGTGTTTTGTCTTATCTAGCACACCTGATTGAACTCAATTAACAAAGCTCCTCTGTGCGGGTCTGGTGTGTAGATAAGGGGAAACACAACCGTGTGCAGAGCACAGGATCACCAGCACTAAGACTGGGAATCCCTGGGCTAGAGGATGGCTAACATGGTCTGTGCATCAACAAGCTAACTGTACACCAGCTATGTGGAGTTACAAGATGGTTTGTAATAAGGTGGACGGTGAGTATTTTCTCCATCAACATACTATACAGTACTGTACAAAAGTCAAAGACCACCCTTTCATTAATTTGATTTCCAGTCAAAGCATCCATTAAGTACAACATACTTATTTTTCAGAGTCAGGAAAAAAGAGAAAACATATATTTAATAGAAAAGGCCTTAACAACTAAATATAATATCAACATATCCAGTATTTAGTGTGTGTTTAGTTCTTTTCTGGTGACTTGCTTTCAGTTTTTCAAAGAAATCAGAAGAGATATTTTTTCACACCTCCAAACATCCCAACACATTCAGTGATGTTGAGGTCAATTTGCAAATTTTCTTCTCCTTTTTTCGTCTGTTTCCTTTTCTCAGTAGCAGCTTCTTGACAGCTACACATCCTTTCAGACTCAAAGTGCTGAGTTGTCTTCTGGAAGGATGGACAGAAACACCTGTGGGTTTTGTCAGATAAGGATTTTCTCCTCTCTCTCAAAGATGAAAGTTTTAAGTGCTTTTTATCTGATGGAGACAGTATTATTACTGTATTTAATGGCCATTTTGATTGGAAATTAAATAAATAAATGGTCTTTGAATTTTGCACAGTACTGTAGTTGTTCTTATTGTTTTATGATACTCATGTAGAGAGCAACAAAAGGAGGCTTTATATCTTGTATCCAATAACAAATAATGACAAACATGACTGCCGCTCTCTGTGTAAAGCTGCTGTTGTATCTCTCTCTCTCTCTCTCTCCCTCCCTCCCTCTCTCTCTCTCTCTCTCTCTCTCTCTCTCTCTCTCTCTCTCTCTCTTTCTGTCTGACAGAGAAAAGCCTCAGGTGGTGTAGTGGTAACCTGTAATTTCATTGGGCTTCTGTTGTTTGAGGTGGGAAATGGGAGCGACTGGCCATTGTGAGCAGGCTGTGGATCGGGCAGTGAATTGTTTGTACACGTGTGTGTGTGTGTGTGTGGGGGGTGGGGGGGGGGTGTCTGAGAGACAGATCCACTCTTTTGTTTTGCTGTCAGCACAATTAGCGGCCGGCTGCAGCTGCACAGCTGCATGGACCGTGGCTCCAGCCGGACGAGCTGCTATTGTCTCCTCCCCCTGAGTTGGAAATGGCAGATGAGCAACAGGCAGCAGAGAGCATTATGGTAATTAGAGTCTGCGGCTCTGCAGAGGAGGAGTGTGAATGATGGAAGAAGAGAGATGAGCGCAGGCAGGTGGATGAATATTTGTTGCTGACAGTGGTGTGCTTTTACTGTCACATAAAAAACACCTGCCGTCTTAAAATGACACTCTGTTCACAGTGAAACCTTTACCCATCGCTGCATCTGTGGTAAACATGCCTCCTAAAGTGGTCTAAAAGTCGTCCCTAGAGTGAAATTCTCTGGTTTAAAAACTAGAAAAATCCCTTTCTGGTGATGTATTTTGAAGGTGGGAACTTTTGAAAAACTGTTTTGCGGTGGCTTTTTGAGGGCGGACTGTTTGTATTTTTTTTTTAACTAGCATGTATTTTTTAATTAACATGTATTTTAATTTTTAATGGGAAGTCAGCTAGCTAATGCCGAATATCTCACCACAGCAGAATTACTGTAGCCTTCAAATCATCATTATATCAGATGAAATGGATGCCTGGCTATCTAGATAAATTACCTTAGTCCAGCTGCTTTTTATGACTGTAAGGCTACATAAAAACGTGCCTTTGGTGTCCATGTTGTACTGACTAAAGATAAAGTAGCTAGAGATCTTTACAACTTTGTTCAATGACCCAGGTAAGGTTAGAGCTAATACAAATGTGATTGTATTTTTCTGCCTATAGATCAGTGGCAGTCAGGATTGGTTGACACCACAGGGATTTTCCAGTAGTTGTTTGGTGAATTCATGTATGGAATGCTGGGTATTGTAGTGAGAAAACATGAATGGAATCGATGAAAAAAATCATGAATTCTGTCAAAGCAGTGAGGCTCGGGGATATAATGCTGTGCTACAGAATACTACTACATATCACAAACAGCACAAAAAGTTGTTTAGTGTTTTAGAACGTAAGTCTGAGAAATGCATGCTACCAAACTTACAGCAGCACAAATGCTGTGTATGTGTGTGAGTGTGTAAGGTATGAGTACCTGATTCTTGGTGGTCGTGCTTCAGGTAAAGTGGGTCCATCTTAAACGCTGCAATGATGTCAGTTCTGTTCTTCACCCTATAAAAAATCAATTTTCATCAGAAACGTGTCTGTTTTAGAAGTGGATTTACTGAAAAAAAAGTCCAGTAAAACAGTGAAGAACATGTGTTGGGACAGCACAGCACAGAAAAAGAGTATGGCATCTTAAATTAGTTTACATTGACGCTGTCCACCAATCTGCCCCACACTGTAAACACTGACTAAAGAACTTTCCAGTGATGTTTCATTGAGCATGAAATGAGGAAGTGAGCCAATATACTTTTTTCTCAAGTGTGCGTCTGTGTGCGGCCATGAAATTTCAGATTAGTTCAGTTTTATTCCTCTGCCCTTTCTGCATCAGATATTGTCCTAAGGGAACTTGAGATATGTCCAAACCCTAGATATACATAGATATAGATGTTGCTTTGGTTCCAGCCAGACATGTCAACGGTGCCACCATCTTGGGGCAGTCAATACTGCTGCATTCATTACAATTACAGAGCGCTACTCTGTAAGAAATAAGAGAATGTAGTGTTTGTGTTTAGACATGGTGGTTGGTGAAGCGCAGCGCCCACTACTTTTCCTCTTTCTTTAAGGTAAACTTATTTTGTTTTGTAACCCATACAAGGAATCTTTACTTAATGATAAATTTAACTATAGTGATTCTTTTGTTCACACTGATTGTTAGTGCTGAGTAAATGAGCATTGTAAGTCAAGCCAGCCATACCTTAATCCATCCATGGAATATTCACATTAGATTAGTGCCTTTTGTACATTAGTGTTTTGGGGGTTTTATTGAATTTTTATGTGTAATGAAGCTTAAAAGTGATTCACACATTGATGGGTTTGCTGATGTGTGTTAGACTATTAGCTTGAGCTAAACTCAGTGGTGTCGGTCTTTAAAGCCAGGAACAGATAGGTTTCCTGCAACTGTGCAACTGATTTATGTATTAATTTATTTTTAATGTATGTACCTGTATGTAAATCTTCTCAGCACTTTTGTGATCTGATCTGATCATTTTCTATAGCACACTCAGATTGAGATCTACCATTGGCCTCAGTCCTTAAACTTGTTTTTTTTTTTTCTTGACATTTATTCTTATTGATGTTTATGAATATGTTCAGATTTTTTTAAAAATTCAGTCTTTTTTGATTGTAAACATATTGATCGTGATCTGTCTCTTTGCACGAGGGGAAGCCCTTCACTGCCTGTAAGCTGCAGATAAATGAAAAATATTAATATCATTACTTAACTTGGACACTTGTTACAGCTGTTATCAGCTTCTTTATTTCAATTTTGACAGGTCATGTATAGCCAGCTGCTAGTAAACGATGCATTTTACAAATGTAGAGCTATGTAAATTGGACAGAGTCAGCGATATGCAGAAATGTGCATTATAACAAAACAAATCTCATGTTTGAGTAGTAAGAAAGTTACAGCTGATTTCACATGAGAACTCATCCTATCGCAATACACTTGTGCTTGTTTACAAGTGGATCTTGACCACTCCAACATGCCAGACGCGCTGACATATCGCTGCCGCTCAGGAATGACAGATGGCAAGATGGCGGCGGCTCTATACCAGGCCTCTTTACTGAAAGAGTCACTGTAGACCTGCTACAAGGTAAAATATATGCTAATATGTCTGTCACACGCAAAGCATTACAGTCAGTTGTTACTGAATGCAAAAGGACATCATCCCTATTTACTCCGTCCCTGTGTGTGTTTGATTAGTGGTGACGGAGATGGCAGCTGGATGCTTCTCCTTGCTCTATCTATATCCATGCTGACAGGAGGGACTAATAAGGACCTGCTGAATACAGCTGGTGAAAGGGGTCTAAGTACAAACACATTTAATCTTAAAGGAGACAGTAAACTTACCACATTGTGGAGCAGTCAAAGTTCACTAACAGCCATTTATGTGGGTTAAAGTTGAAGGAGTCTGCAAACTAAAAAAATAAACATTTCAATAAATGACTTAAATCAGCTGCTTATGTTAGTTATATGTTTCATTGTCATATTGTCCAAACACCATGCACTTTATTAGAAATCCATACTTTGTACCTCCACTATAAGGAAGGTTCCTTATGAGCTGCACCTTACTTATAGTTCCACTATACAGTGATGTTAAAAGGTCTGTGAACCCTTTAGCATTTTATGAATTTCTGCAGAGGTTTAAGTGAAATATGATCATAAAAATTAAACCGAATACACAAATCCAGTATTAAAAGGCTTTGCTGGACAGAGTATGTGAACCTCTAGAAGTATCAGTTTGGTTTCGTGGATATCAAGAGTCAAGAGGTTCATTCAGTTGGATACAAAACCAGCCCTACCTTTAAAACATCAACCTGAGTATTCATTATCAAAGTCTGGTCTTCACCGTATATGTTTGTGAGAGCACGTCATGGCTTGGTGAAAAGACATTTCTGAGTATCTCAGAAAAACAGTTGTTAATGCTCAACAGACTAAAAGAGGCTACAAAACAAGTTCTGAATAGTTTAGATTTCTCCAGTCCACAGGCAGATAAATGGAGAAAATTCTACACCTCTGCTACCCTCCCCAGAATTAGTCATTCAACAAAAATCACTCCAAGACCAATGCATATAATACTCTGGGAGATCACAAAGAACCATAGGGATCTGCAGACCTCTCTTACATTGTCAGTCAGTGTTTATGAGTCCACCAACAGTGAACAAGAACATTGTGTATGGAATTGTAACAGGAGGAGGGCATTACTCTCCAAAAACATTTCTGTGAGTTGAAAGTTTCCTAAATATCACCCATGTGAGCCAGAAGACTACTGAAATAAAGTTATGCAGACTGATGAAAAATAGAACTTCATGGCATAAATTAGAAACCTTCTGTTTGGCAAAAACTAAAAACATCGTTCCAGCATCAGAACCTCATCCCTTCATACCAGGCATGAAGTATGGTGGTGGTAGTACCATAGTTTGAGTGTGTTTTGCTGCCATTGGACCAGGCAAACTTTTGTACTATGAATTCTGGATTGTATCAGCAAGTTGTACAAGAGACCGTCTGCGAGCAGCAGCGCAACAGGAGGGAGGTCTTGCAGCAAGACAATGACCCTTCAAATGACACACATTTAAGGCTACAAAAGAATGGTTAAAGCAGAAGTTTCACGTTCTAGAATGTCCAGATCTTAAGCATGAAGTTTTTGCAAGCAAGCCTGCAAACATCACTGAGTTAAATCATTCTGTAAGAAGGAATGGGACAAAATTCCTCCAAGTCAATATGTGGGACTGCTCAAGAGTCATTGCTGCTCAGAGAGGTTATACTAGTTACTGAAAGCAGAGGTTCACACAATTGTCCAGTGGTGACATTTAGTATTGGATCACTTTGTTAAATAAACAAATGAACAAGTATATTCTTTATGTTGTTTGTTTTATTGGGTGCTTTATGAATTTGGTAAAGACCTGATTACATTTTAGGTCAGATTTATACAAAAATTGTTTCTAGCACCACTCTACAGGTGTGCAGTTACAGACTGTAGCCCATCTGTTGATGTACAACTTGTCAGCTCACCTCTATCCCATTTATTTCTGGTCAGTTTTAGACCACAGGACTGCTGGTGACCAGATATTATTTAGGTAGCGGATTATTCTCAACACAGCAGTGGTATGGTGCTGTTGCTAGGTTCAGAATGGTCCATCACTCAAAGATTTTCCCTCAAGAGTGGCACTGTGGTCAGAAACTGTGATGATGGCCTAGAGGATGGTTAACACAAATTGTGCATCAACAGATGGGTTATGTAGACCTACAAGCAAGTTTTTTTTTAAATAAAGAATGTACATACACTTACGTGCAATTCAAGTTTAACCGAACATTTTTTTACAGTCTACTCTAATTAGAGCAACGTTACCGTAGAGTACAGTAATGATAATGTATGATTCTAAATGTGCAACGTGCACACAGTGATACTCTTTCTTCTGGCTATAATACCAGTTGTGCTTCACATAAGACACAATGTTGTTTCAAAAACCCAGTCAGCAGTCACATCTGTCACCTAACAGTCTCTCTATCTGTGTTCTCATCTGTTTGCACACCATTCCCTTCCCCAATATCCTCTCCATCTGCTGCAATAACTCCAGCGAGGGTTCCAGAATAAACCATGGCCACTGTAACACCTGATTGTTGCCATTGCCTGGCATTCACTTCCTGGCAACCAATGCCAACACAGGAAACGGCGTCCGACTGTCATTCAGGCCCATGATAAAGAACAGAGCAGTTTCAGCCGAGCGCAGCCTCCAGCATTATTTGAACTGGTGCTAATAAACACTGAGATTTGGTTACAGAGAGGAGGGAGGAGGGGCTTATCTAAAGGTCTGCGTACGCCTCAGGAAATTACTTTACCCTTATCTCTGAGACACTCAGTTGGGTGCCACGGCAACTCAAAGGCTCTCCAATTTCCCGCCAATTTCTCCACACATAGCTCACTCGAGCTTGCGTCGTTTTTGACATTTGAATAATTTTGTGGGCGCATTTGAACCAAACACCTGCTGGCCTTTGACTGACGGCCTGCATCATCAGCTTAGCTCTGATCAGCCTCCTGTTGGCATTTCGGGCTTTCTGAGAGGAACCTCATGCTTAACACTCAAAGCGGAACATGGTTATCTCACCTCTACACCATCCAGAAGAGGTCGGAACTCGGGGCAGATGAACGCACTTCCGGCATAGGCCGCGTCAATATGCATCCATATTCCTTCTGTGTTACCTGCAACAGAAAAGCAACAAAATGAGGAACCCAACAGCAAAATTTCTGGTAGGAAAAATGCATCAAGAGTCTTACTCACATATAGGCCCAATCTCAGTGATGCAGTCAAATGCACACGATGGAGTCGTTCCCAATGTGGCACAAAACTGAGGAATAAAATGAGGAATCCTTAAATTTCATTCTCTGTCTCAGTAGGCTACAGGATAGATGTGTATCAGCTTTGCTGTATTTGTGAAGATAAAGCAGGTATGCAGTAATCATAAACAATAAACAAATAATGAATAAATCTGTTTATGTAGCAAATTTCATTTTAAAATCTCAAAGCTTTACACAGGAATTTAAATAAAACATTGGAAAGATACAAACACTACACTCTAAATGAACATAACAGTGCAATTACAAAATGAGATAATCTGGATTTAAAAACTCCTATTAAGCTTGCTTTCCTAATATTCTCTGGAATGCTATTCCAGTGTTTAGGAACTACATATGAAAGTGATCTTTCACCAACAGAGCTGTAAATGATCCTAGGAGTTTGCAGTAAGCCTGCCTCAGCTGAGTGGAGTGGAGTGGTCTGGACAGCTATAACACTCAACAGTAAGATGTGCTGCAGCTTGGCCATTAAGTGTTATAAGCAAGACTCGCAGGCAGGGTGGAACTTATCAGTAAGCCAGCGTAAACTGAATAAGACCAGAGTAACATGCTCAATCGTTCTTTTCCTGGTAGGCGCACAGGCTGCTGCATTCTGAACTGGTTGGAGCTGATTTAGAGAGACAGCAGGACAACCAGCCAGTAACACATCACAGTTGTCTAATCTAGTTGTTATAAAAAATAAACTAATTTCTTAGCATCTTGTATGTATAGAATGCATCATATTTTGGATAAAATGTTTAGATGTTTAGACATGTTTCTTGACACTGGAAATTGCTCAGTTTCAAGAATATCCTGAAATACAGTTGTATGCAAAAGTTTAAAAAACACTCTAAAGCAAATTCCATGTTTTGTTGATTTTCTACAGGGAAATAAGCGAACACATCCTCTGAATTCAGTTCATGAAGGCCTTGCCAATTAGCTGATGTGAATTAGGTGTGTTTAATGAGGCAGTGTGCTGAAGACTGCAGTGTTTTGGCCACCACAAAGACTGGAACCTGATGCATGTGGTTTAAAATATGACATTTCCCAGCAAACTTTAGTACACAATTTCTGTTTATTTATTTGAGTCTAACATATTGGGAAAAAACATACAATATAAAACATGCCATAACTTTTGCTCAGGCCTCATTTTACATTTTATTTCCCAGTATGTAAAATTAAGCAAGTAAATAGTAATTGTATATGAAAATCTGCAGAAGTGTATTTACTGTAGAGAATGTGTTCACTTATTCTCACTCAGAAAATCAACATGTGGAATTTGACCAGGGGCTCCCCAACGTTTTCATACAACTGTATGTCTTAGTTAGTTCTGACAATCTGTAATATGCTTGATTGTATACTTGGGTTGAATTTTATTTTCTGAACTTTGTTCTGACAGGCCTCTATAGTATTTTTAAGCCTGTGATGTATTGAATTAAAGCCTAGATCATTTTTTAATTTTCTTTTATTTTTCCCTTTGGGAAGCTGCAGTTTTCCTGGATATTTATCCTTGTCCCCTCTGGGTAGAGCCTACCATGAGCAATGATTCATTTAAATCAGATTCATTTACGCCTCTCCAAATGGCATTAGCACTCAAACGGACCTCCGAGGCTCTGAAAATAAAAGTAGATGTTATCTAAACTACTGAATCTCACTGCTGTCCTCCTAGCAGTCTTCACTCATTCCCTGTAGGACTGCAGGGTGACCTGATGAAACCTTTTCAAAGATTTTGATGCTTATTGGCCTTCACTTGGTTCATGTTATCAGAAACACCTAATTTCAAATTCAACCAAATTCAAATTGACATTTGTGAAATTGAGCATGTTAAAGCCTTTGGGAAAAAAGAGATTTTTTTGTCTTATTTCTTCCTTTAAAACGACTCCTTGATCTATTGATCAGAGGCTTTTGCACAAACTTATGGAGTTCATGCCAGCTTGAGTGCACACTGTCATTAAAACAAAAGGGGGAAATACCAAATACTAAGAAATACTAAATGGTGTAAACATTCAAATATTCTACTTTTCACTCAAATTGTTATGCTGATAATATCATTTATAATGAAAAACTTTGTTAAATTAGAAAGTAATGCAGAATAGAAGCATTTCACCAGTGGTCTCAGACTTTTGGACCCCACTGTTTATTGTGAAAAGTGCTACAGCAATGAAATTCACAATGTCCTCCGGAGCAACTGCTAGTTGTCATCCATGTCGTTTTCTCTACCGTTGCTAAAAACATGCATTAAAGTTCTTTGGCTTGGCTTACGTAGAAGGGAATGAGGCCCGCTGCCTTGTCCTCTTCAAGGATTTTTCTAAAGGCCTCCCCCCGAACACAAAACTTGGAGTCAGTTGGAATTTTTTTCATCCTCACACCTCCTATTAGGCCTGCTCGCTCCACTGATGAATGAGCCTATGGGAAAAGTCAAGAAATTGCAGTCAGACCAAAAACAGTGCAACATGTTCAGGGATTTGAGTAGGAGCGTTGCAGCACAGTGGTGTGACTAGTCTGAACTAGTGCGTGTGTAGTGTGTACTGTGACTAGCTGACCTGATCTCGGTTAGCAATAAACATACGAACATACATATCTAGATGAATTCATTTCTAATAGAATCCAGAATGTTTTCTTTAATACTTACTTTTCCATTAACTTTCATGGTGCATATTTAGGTACAAGGCTAGTTTAAATTCGACATATTTGACAAGCCTTTCACGTATAGAGACACACACATGCACTATATTACTTTTATGCCTTTTCCTATCACAGTGGGGACACATGCTCACATGTGTTTGTATTTTTTGTTTTGTGGGGTATTTACATGTTTTTGAGATATCTCTGTGTAGATGCTGCTGTGCTATACTCTAATGTAATCTAGTCTTTATCTCACAAACCCAAAGATCAGCTTTATCATATTTTACTGTTTCTAATCAAAGAAGCAAATAAAAGCAGCCAACTGTCCCCACGTCAACATGTTTACATCTTCCATCATGCTGGGAACATTTGGTCTCCACAAACAGATAAATACACACACCTAATTTCAGTGTAAAGTAGGCGAATCTCTGACCACACTGGCCTTTACAGAACTCTGCCATTTCAAACTGACCACTTTTAACATTTCACATTAAAAGGGAGGGAGGGTGGTCATAATGTATTAACCTGCACAGACTTTAGCTGCCACAGCAGCCTTACATTTTCTAATGAAATTCAAACTGCTGCATTTTTTGTTAGCTGGATATAGTAATTAATCCATAGTCACATTCTTTACTGTTAGAGCATTATCCTATGAAAACATGCATTGAATACAGTAAAAAGTTTTTTTAGACCCGACTACACTGGTACATTGTTATTAGTCATCAAAATAGCCAAAAATACTTAATATGATTGATTAGCAAGGAGCAAATGAGAATAACAGGTAAGAATGCCTGCTAACTAATGTCTATTTTGCAATAAAATCCATTTATTATTATTATTACATTAGACATTATTAGTCACCAAAATAACCAAAAAGGCTTAGCATGATTGATTGTTCGCATCAAACACTCGCAGCTCAAATTTTGTGTGAATCTGCAGACTCTGACCTGGTCGGAGGAATAGGCCACTAGTTTGGATATGATGTCAGCTTCTTGTCGCTCAGGATCGTTAGCTAATTTCCGCTTCACCATTCTGGAGCGGGCGGCCAGGAGCGCCACCAGAGTCGCTTCACTAGCGGTTCCCTGAAATCAACACAACAAAAACCTGTGGTTTAACACATTTGACACCGATGGACCACAGATGGACCAGTGTGTTCATTCATGTTATCAGCTTCTCATGAAGATCAAGGAACATCCAGAAATGCTGAAGCTGTTACTGAATGATGGTATGATAACTACAAGCGCATTAAAGGATGCTGGCTAACATTGCCAATAGTGTATGAAAGTTGTCAGAGATAGTTGAGATTGCATGAATGAGATCTGGTCCATTAGTTTGCATGTATAATTGTGCATGTATACATTTTTAAGTGATAGTCATTTAAAGGGACGCTGTAGAACAGGCATGTAAAACTGGGTGCCTTCCAGGCCATGATTCTGTGGTGTGTTTTCCCACACCTCACTCTAAAGCTCTGAATTCAATCAGTTCTGTTTAATGTGACAGAACGCTGAAGTCTGCAGAGCTGTGACCCATGAGGACAGGAGTTTGACCAGAGGAGCACAACTCTGGTACTTGAGGGCCAGTTTGGAGATTTACCCACTCAAACATGCCTGATTACACTTTTCTGTCAATTGGCAAATTTAATGGGTGTATTTGAGCTGGGAAACCTTCTAATTGTGCTGGATACAGGCCAGCCCTGTCATAGAAGAACCACTTTTGGTTTCTTAAAGAACCTTCCAGTGGAATATTTTCTGTAAATGAGACATTTGAGTGAGAAAAACCTTTTTAAAGTTGAAAGAACCTCCACACAATGCAAGGGTTGTATACTAGAAGATTGGAGTTGGCAGATTTTTGCTCCAAACATGCGATCAACAGTTGTCCAATTTTTTATTTAGATGTGAAGCTGGAACCTGGCTTGTTACTAACTCAATCTCTCACTCACTCACTCATGTTTTTGAGGCTGAGGAATCTCCACAAGGGGGCACTATTAGAACTCAAATAGCTTTTAATGATCAATGACTCTGTGTACTTGTTGTTTTGATCAAACTGCTTTGCAATTGTATAATGTAAAAAGCCAGGTAAGTGCACTTGCATTGTATTTGAATGCTACTGTTGTAATTGTTGCAATTTATAGAGGCATTATTTAAATGTGTGTGATTTATAATGCCTGTTTCCTAAATAAAAGAAATAAGATTAGTTATGTTGCAACTTTGGCTAATAGACGTTGTGCTAGTGTGAGCTTTGTGTTAAAAAAAAAAAAAAACCTCCATCAGCCAAATGGGAAGAAATTGGAATTGGAATTAGAATCATCCGTAAAAATGAATGATTGGCGCAGCCTTATTTTCCTAAGAAGAATGTTCAAGCCAAGAACCATTTGCATTGTTTCAAATATGGTATGTATCTTTGTTTGAAGGACCATGAGAAAGGTAGACCTACAAAGTAGAGTCTCTAATAAAGAGGAAATTGGAGTTGGCACATCTATCTGTGTCCATTGATCTACTCTCATAAGATGTGCACCAATAAATATTTATCATCAGAGCCTGCAGTGATGTTTCTTGCTTACTGATATTGATTTTTGTGGCTTGGTTCAGCGTGTTGAGATGCTAATCAGCACGGCCATCACGGATGCATTCGTGAATCTGACTAGCTTATGGTCTCTGTCCTTTCTCTTTCAGTAAGTGGGGAGGTGCTCCAATTCAAGCATCTTCAACGTGTATTGAATAAGCTGGCTGGGCGGTAGGCCTTTTCTTTGATCTTGCTCTTCAGGCTAAAAATGCACACCCACAGCCTCATTACCACAGCAGAAAACAAGAGGAGAGCCGCTGTGTGACGCCAGTAAACAATTACACAGACATTACTGAGAAAACCGGAGGGTATCTATGAGCTTTTATCAATTTGAAATGCCAAATGAAAACACCCTACACATGATTGTGAATGTAATCTGCAGTCTGAGTGATCTTTGAAAATATTTTTGTGACATGACATGACAAAGCAATGGTTAAACAACTAAATGATCCATCAACGTAACAAGAAAAAATCTGTCAGTGTAACAAGCATTATGAACTAAACTTGTACAAGGTAGTGGTTCCACCATTCATAGATATTCATAGATATTACGAAAACCAAGATCTTTTGTCTCCATCAGTTATTAAAAGTTAGTTATTACGCTAGAAGAGCACAACATACCCTTCACCAGTGGTCACCAACCCTACCTTCCTGTGAAGTTTATGTCTAACCACGATCTGGCACACCTGCTCCAGCTAATTACCTTCTTCAGAAGTCCTTGATTGGCTGGATCAGATGCTTTAGTGTTAGGTAAGAGGGGGAGCACCACGTTAGACGCATGATGGAACTAAACTCTGTCGGACAGTAGATCTCCAAGAGGAGGGGTGGTGACTGACCACTGTCCTAAAAAATCACTTCCAAACTACAGCTGTACTCTTTTGAAGCAGCTAATGTTGGCTTTTGGAATTATGTCATTTTATCCTTATTTTTGCAATGAGTCCAGATAACTATGCACATACAAGCCTGAAGCACCACTGCGCTACTACAATATCTCAAACATTTGAGTTCTTGCAAACCAATCTGAATCTCTACAACTCTAGTGAATTTAGCATAAGCCTGAGTTGTTTTCAGATATCAGTCCTGAATTTAGCATAACTGCAGCTCAGGCTTTCATCAGTGTTCAGCTTCTGACAACATAGCTGCTCCTGGCTGGATCTTTTTGGGTGCTGGGATCCTCAGCCACAACAGTGAATCTAAAACCCCCTGTGTCTGAAACACTCATACCAACGCCAGTGATCCGCCACCCAAATAATATCTGGACAACAGCAAAAGCTGACCACTGATGAATATTGCAAAGGATGACTGGCAGATCGTCAGCGTCAAGGTACAAAGTAAGAATTTACTAGGGCTGCCCAAACAGCATTTTACAGGCTCTGAATACTCTGGAGTCCTCGAATACTATTAATAATAGTCAAAAATCACAGTTAAAAACAGTAATACTTCAGGTGTTTTTAGTCTAATGGAACAGATACACTTCGATTTTCATTCCAAACTGGCTGTGCTGCATGTGTCTTCCATCAAAATGCACAATTTTTAAACTTTCTCATGAGTGAAATTCAAACCCCATAAAGATTCAGTCATAAAACCAAACTTCCACTTTCCATACTGTTCTAAATGTTAAAGCAGCACATGAGCTGCTCTGTATTTTAAATAATAGTTTACTAATGTGATGATCATGTTGGTGTGGTAGCTGCAGAGCAGCTCCTGCAATGTACCAACAGTATGTGGAGGAGACTGTTCTCTGAAACAGCAGTAAAACTGTCTAATAAACAGATCTGCTGTTTCTGTGATCAAGTTTTAAACTTGCTGTAAATCACTTTAATTAGGAAAAGAGAAAAAGAGCTGATATTCCTGTCTGAAGCAGTTACAGTGTGGACAGGACACGTCAGTACACGGTTGACTGTTCTTAAATATTCTTACATATCACTGTTGTCACAACAAAACCTTGTATCTCCAAAATGATACCTAACTTTGCAGGAGAAGGAAAAAACCTACTTTAAATAATATGTCAATGGTACCAGACTTTTTTCCCAGGTCATTTCAGGCCGTTTCTCTTGGTCCATTCATCATGAAATTCACACACAATGCCAACAGGCATTTTCAATGTCAAAAACTAAAAAACGATAACATGGAGATAGGAGGTCCCGACAGCAGCAATATTTAAGATGATTCATCAAACTTGTTGTGCCTCCATGATGACGTGGATGCCTGGCATGAATTTATGATTCATTCAGCTAAAACAGCAATTATTTTTATTTATTTTTATCTAAAGGTCTTCACTTTCTTTTAGGCTGCATTTGCTGGGGTTAATAAAGGACGAAGCTACTAAATACTAAACAGACAAAATGAATATCAACATGACAAACAAATAATCGAGCACTCAAACTATTTTGGCCAGCCCTGGATGTTCCAGTGATGTAATTACAAAGTAATGAGTTACAGTTTAAATTAACTGTTAAATTTACTGTTAAACTGTAAACATTAAAGTTATTGACTTAATATGAATTACATTTCTTGCATTACTCATTTATCCTTTAGAAAACAATATGAATAACACATGATGCATTTAAAACATATATTTCATCTGTATTATATAATATACTATGATAATATGATAATCTGTATGTAATATGAGTGCATGTGTTTGACAAGCTTAATGCGTAGCTTCGATTGTGAATATGACTGACAGGAAAGAAAGATGGGAAACAACTTTTTACCAGCATAAACTTGATGTGTGACCTGTCGAAGCATCTAATCATGCTAAAATGAAAGATATGAATAAAAAATTCCATGCTGAAGAAGAGAGAGACCCAACCTCACCTCCCGAGGCTAGATTTTCATTCAAGAACAAGATTTCATTTAGAGGCAGATGTTTTTGGATCAGCATCAGTGATTCATAATTTTAATCAGCATAACTGGCTATATGTTGTTCAAAGCAAGAGCAGAGACATGTTTTTACTTAGTGGTACTGTGAGTGGCCAGTCAGGCGAGAAAATTATTGCCAGTTCAAAGCAAAAAAAATAAAAATCTGAGTATAATAAAATAATATGTTACTAAACACATGCAAGGACAAAAGAAAGAAGAAGCTGAAGGAGACCAGCAGAGAAGCAGGTCTGATAAAGGTTAATGATCTTGTGAGTGCTGTTCAAGCTTTTCAGCTGAAATACTGATTTTGTAGGAATAATACTGAATTTGTAGAAATGTTATTCCCTTAATATATTTCCATTTGTCGGACTAAAAACATTGAGAAAATATCATTTTTGATATTGTCAAAGGTCACTATGATCATGTCATCTAGACTACTGAACATGGATGTGCAACTACAGAACAAAATTACTTTTACGACTGTACCAATCTATAATCTGCATATTTAGGACCTGCATCTTATCTAAGAGAGAGGAGATAGCACTGCTTGATTTTAATACCTTTGCTTGATCTGTGAAAATGGACAGATAGATAGAGTATTAAGTTATACTAGAAGAAGCTTTGAAGGAACATTTCTTTTGTGTGCCAACTTGACCAAACAGCCATTTTTTGATCAGTGTCCACCCACTGGTACTCTTAATGTTCATGATGAACAGACAATCTGGGGCCATAACACAAACATGCTACAGGGGGGAGCATGCCAACAGACCCCCTTAGAAAAGGCTTAGTCCCCATCCATAAATCTTTAGTGATGCCTCTGCTGTTTACTAGCATGTTGATGGCGTAGCACTATGTAATGTAATTAAGAAACCAACATCATGTTTGTTTATGAGTAACTTACTATCCTTCCAGTTAACTACAATTTGCCAACCAGTTTATAGAAAAATAAACAAATGAAAAGGTTAAAAGGAGCAATGAATTGCCAGATTAGAAACCAGCGACTGATGCATAACTTAGATTCGGCAGTTAGTTTAGTCACTGTGTGTTGTAGTTGATTTCTCTGTAAAATGGACCTCACTATACGTTTGATCCTAGTTACGGCCCTGGTGGAGGGTTCTAAAGGTTCTAACCTTTGTTGTAAATCAGATATGTGAACTTTTTAACCCTTAAAGGAAACTCCGTTTAATAGGCCTGCCACAATCGTGACATTTTACTGACTATTAATTGCCATATTAAAACGTGTCTTTTTTCTGAAAGACAATTACAATGTCTTAAAGTACAAACCTAAAGTGGAGAAGTTGCAGTTAGCAATCTTAGCAATCAATGTCGAAACTCAGCAGCTTCTAACTGACACCAGGCGCAACTCAAGCTCAAATAAACAAACATCACTCAGTGCTGCCCTGTGTCACAGTACCAATCAGAAGATAGAACCTCTGTTAGAAATTTGTTTTTTACTTTTCTTTATTTACATGCATTTGTCTAAAACCAACTGATGAAAATGCAGAGTTCACCTTCTGTTTGTTGTGATGTAACCATATAATTATAAAAGCTGACAGGTGTGGAAAATAATTGCAATCAGCTTAAATAATTGCAATCAGGCATTTATTTAATAATTGTGACAGACCTACTACATAATATGAAGGTTCAATACTAATTAAAAGCCAAGAACCCTTTTTTCTATGAATGCCACAGTTATCTGAGATACATCCGTTTAAAAGTGAGAGACTGTGTGCTTTAATCATTATTCCTGCCCTTCTCTGTCCATCTCTGCTTTGAGGCATCGTTTTCAGTCAACCCCTCATCAGGCACACAGGAAGTGAGTACCGTTTGTTGCCATAGTGAGCTTCACTGAAAGGCTCAGAGACAAAACAGATGTTGGAGGAGGACACACTCATGTGGGCATACACGCACACACGCACACACACACACACACACGCACACACACACACACACACACTTAAAAAGGCAACAATGCTAAAGCAATGAAATGATCCGTCATCATTGACCTGCATCACATGCTACGACTCCTGCACTCAAAACGGTTATAGCTGCTACACGCTGGATGCTGATCGGATAAATGAAGGTAAATTGGCCTCATCTCATGCCGCCATGACAACTTGTCTTGTCTTCAGCTGACAGGGTAAAAGCCAATTTTCAGGAGACAGGCCATCTTAGTGAAGCTCCAAAGAAATCAATGATTGACAAATTTGTTGTTTGCGAGAGCAGAACACCTTTTGCCAGCTCAGTACTTAAAATCAAATTGTCTGGAACCTTTCCAGTGTTAGAATCGAATAAGACAGCAAGATGAAAGCAACTTGAATTGAGTTTCAAGTGTATTTTTGTGTTGTAGTGAAAGCATCAGGTCAACACATATTGACAATATATATATATATATATATATATATATATAAACAAAAATATTAACTAATTTTAATGCAATACAAAATCATCAGTGCTCACAGCAATGTACTGTCATAACCCACAGAACTGACTTTCTAGACTATAACATCATTGCACATTACAGTCACATCCTGATCCATTAATCTGTTGTATTTGAACCCCTCAGACCTTTGAAACGTTCATATATATATATATATATATATATGCTACATATATACACTTCAATGGACACAGAACTCTCACCTGTATGACACCTCCTCCTTTTCCCTTTGTGCCAGCTAGAAACTCCTCAGGCAGGTTCAGCATCTTCCCCAACCAGTCCAGCATTACCGTCTCCAGCTCCGTACAGGCCGGACTCGCAGCCTTAACAACATCACACAGAAGAGTTCCAGAGATAACTTCAGTTTATGCGTGTGAAAGGAAGAAGGAACAAAAGAAAGAAAGTATACGAGGGAGGAGATGATTGATGGATAAATGTGTGGATGGATAAACTGATAATGGACAATGGATGAACGAAGGAGAGATAAACTGTAGATGAATGCTCAGGACAAAAAATATAAAGTAAAAAAGTTAGTATACAAAGGATACGGATGTTTGGGTATATGCTGGATAGATGAATGGATTAAGTATGGATGGATGAATAATGGATGAACACTTGGAAAGAGAAAGAAAGAAAGAAAGAAAGAAAGAAAGAAAGAAAGAAAGAAAAAGAAAGAAAGAAAGAACTAGGGGAGAGATGGGCAAATGGGTAGAGGAATAGATGGGGATGTGGATGCATGATGCATGTATGGATGAGTATGAAAAGTATGGATGGATACTTTTAGAAAACTTACCCACTAAATAAAAAAAATGTTCAAAAGAAACACCATCAGTGCTTGTTTATGAACTATTTTAGAATCAAACCACATGTAGCAAACATGCTTGTTTGACAAACCCTAAAGAGGACCTCAAATAAAGCCTGAGTAGACTGATAAATCAATGTGATGATCAGTTATTAATCTCAGTGTTACTGAGCTCTGCTAAAGCCTGAGTAGACTGATAATTCAATGTGATGATCAGTTATTAATCTCAGTGTTACTGAGCTCTGCTAAAGCCTGAGTAGACTGATTATTCAATGTGATGATCAGTTATTAATCTCAGTGTTACTGAGCTCTGCTAAAGCCTGAGTAGACTGATAAATCACCGTGATGATCAGTTATTAATCTCAGTGTTACTGAGCTCTGCTAAAGCCTGAGTAGACTGATAAATCACCGTGATGATCAGTTATTAATCTCAGTGTTACTGAGCTCTGCTAAAGCCTGAGTAGACTGATAAATCAGTGTGATGATCAGTTATTAATCTCAGTATTACTGAGCTCTGCTAAAGCCTGAGTAGACTGATAAATCAGTGTAATGATCAGTTATTAATCTCAGTGTTACTGAGCTCTGCTAAAGCCTGAGTAGACTGATAAATCAGTGTAATGATCAGCCATTAACCTCATTGTTACTGAGCTCTGTTAAAAGAATGATCAAACTAGTAGTCTTCTCAGTAGTGGACCCGGTTTGTAAGTTTAGCATTAGTGTTGTACTGGACTTCTGCTCAGGGGATTGAGGAAATGTTTATGAAATGTATTAATGGAATAATTACATGAAGAAAACTGGCAACCAATCACAGCGAGGAATACCATAAATTAAGTTAAAGGTTTTCCTATCTGCCTTACCAAGATGTGCCATAAATGTATTCTAAATGTATTTTGAATATGTTACTTTTTACGCATTGTACAGAATACCATACTTATGCTGGATGTATGTATGGATGGAGAATTAAACATACCCAGGAGAAGCCAATACAGCCAATAGCTCCAGACAGCATGTCTGCCAGCATGGCAGGAAAGGAGTTGGCAGTGGGGAAGTAAGCGAAGAAGTACGGACTGTGCCAGTGAGTGATCTACACAAAGAAAAAAAAATAAATAAACTCACAAAAACATAATGGGGGTTACTAAGACACAAAATCAGTTCATTTCATCTAACAGCTTAGAGTTACACCATTAGATGTAACATCCTGATCATTCATTACTTCTTTCTTTTAGTACTGATCAGAACGGCTGATCCCAAGAACTGTAAACCTACAAAGAAATCATACTGTTTTTCCCCTTAAGGATAAAAGAAATTCCAGCAGGCACTGTGGGTCTGTCTCCTTTTTCCAAATTTCCTGTAATGAGTCATTCATAAACTCTAATATATCCTAATAAGCATCTGTTCCAAGGGAAACACTGAATGACCTAATTAGGACAAAAGGATAAAAGTGTTTATTGTCAGGCACAAGTAAAGTATAGCGTTTATTTTTTCTGACCTGACTGTAAGGCCTAATGTTTCCAGACTGGCTAATCACGCTACAAGAACATGAGCATGTCCTACACAGTTAGTACATTTATTTATTTGTTATTTCTAACATTATAGTACATTTAGTACATGTAGTACATTTTTTCGTTTCAATAAAAAGGGAGGTTACCAATTAAAGGTAAATAAATAATGAACAAGTTTGTGTGTAAAAAGAATGGAAACATTTTGGTGTTATTTGTGAAAAATGCACACATATATAAAAATGCAAAAGTACAAAACATACAAGTGTATACACCTCTATTTTGTACGATATAAAAAATTAACTGTTTTGCATATTTCACAAAATAAAAGCATTAGGTGTTTAGTTTGTAAAAAAATATGCAAATATACAAAAATATATAAATATACGCATGTATGTATTTTGTAAAATATAAAAAATTAATTGTATATTTCACCAAATATATGCATGACTTTTAGCAGTTGTCTCACTGTTTTTTCTTTTTTTTTTTGCTTTGTGAAATGAACAAAATAATTAATTATTGTGTATATTGCATAAGTAAAAAGTGTGTGAATATTTGATAAATTAATCTAAAATAATTGAATAGGTTGCTTATAGACTGCCAGTAACATGATGAATCACCTTGTTCACCAAGATTTTCCTACTAGTGGTTAGTGCATTCATGTCTATATAAATATATAAAATTACAAAAGCTGTTATAAATGGATTACTTAGTAACACTAATCCTTATAACATTCAGTGCAATTTAATGGGGACCAGTTAGCATGATTCATCGGCATAACGTCACAAGGCTGAAAGTTGGCGAGTGCTGACTCACCCCTGGCATGATGACCCTTTCGATGTCCTTGACCACATCCTCGTAGGTCTCTGGCTGCTCAGGAGCCTCCTCTGGGATAAGGGCTCTCAAGTAGCCCGGCTCCACATCAGGATAGACCTGCCTCTTCTCAATGTTCTCCAAGTAATCAGCTACGTAGTCCACCATCTCCTTCCCTCTCCTGCGAAACTCTGCAGCGTCCATTCTAAAAACTGCAGACAGGATTGTGTGAAGTTTAACTTCACTGCTCCAAAAGCGGCAACACAGACATCAAATGACACCAAATAGGTCTGAAACCTGCATATCACCTATGGCTATTACCATACTGACTAGCACTTATCTACATTCCAATGTGACAGTCTACTGCTTTGTTAAAGGAACAAATGTTGTAACAATTCTTGTTCAAAGTACAAAGTACAATTACAAAGGTGAAAGGTGAGTTACAATGGGTTGAGTGATGCCACAGAAGACCCACCTTTGGTTCCTTAAAGCAGTGGTTCTTAAGCCAATCCTCAGGGACCCCTGACGGTCTAGATTTTTGCTCCAACCTAACTTGCAACACAAAAAGAGAGAGAAAATGTGGACTGCCTGGGGGTCCCTGAGGACTGGTTTGAGAACCACTGCTTCAGGTTCTTCTACACTGCAAGAAATCGTTTGTCAGTTCAATTGAAAAGAATCACTTCATGTGTTAACAAGCAATTTAACCTGTTTTACTCAATTGAAAATACTTTGAATAAAAAAACATAAAGCAAAATAAACAGGTTAGATGAACAAAAGCAATACTGGGTATCACTTTACTGTAGGGTACTCTTCATAAGGCTACATGATATCTACATAATGACAGCTGACGTAACTTTACATAGCGAATGACGCCTGTTAGAATAAGCATTTATAAAAATGTATGTAGGGTTATGTCAGTTGTCATGACAAGCTTATGTGGGTGTCATGTAGCCTTATGAACAGTACCCTACAGTAAAGTGTTACTGCAATATTTTCCATCTTTTCACACCTCATACACACTTCAAATCAATGTCCCTGTTTTTTTTTTTGAAGAGTGTAAATATTTTGTGACAAATTTTATGTATCAGCTGAAAGTCTGACAGAGAACTATCAAAACTCATTTGCAAAAGGAAGTGTGAAGTTATCTGGCAATGTTCAGTAAGACATGATGTGATCTCTCAAAACTCCTTTACAACCTGCCAAAAAAAACCTGCCTCAAAACTCAGTTGCAAACATGTCACTCTCATAACTCGTTCACAATGAAGTGACCTATTATATTGTTTGTACTTTCATATTGACTATGACTTAACAGTTACCTACAAGCCAGATGTGACCGTCTACTGTGCTGTAGAGGAAAGGTGCGACAATTCTTGTTTAAAATACAATTACAGACTTAAAAATTAATATACTAAAAATTGTAGAAGACACACAAAGAAGTGGTGCTCAGCTCTAGGGGAGCTCAAAGGACCAGGATTGAGAACCACTGCTCTAAAGAACCCTTCGGTGGAGGGCTCTTTTGTATGAAATAACCTTATTTTTTTAAATAGAGATGTGTGAGTGTGAAGAACCTTCATGACCTGCCAAAAAAGTCTGAAGGTGAATTCTCAAAACTCTGTCACAAACCTGCCTAAAACATCTCTTAAAACTCATTTACAAAGAGGTGATGTGTCAGAAATGACTCACAATCTACAAAAAAGTTAAGACGCAAACACCCCAGTGCTAGCTAGACATTGCAATGAATGGGTAATACTTGTCTGGAAGACCAAGAAAAATGTCCCACAAGATGTCCCACAAATCAGTGAACTTCACATTTTAAATAACATCAGTATAAAAAATAATTGAAATAACTGACGGAGAGAGATGCGTGGAACATTCCTAAGAAGAATTCTTGTAAGATGGAGGAAAAACAGGAGATCTTGATTTGTGTACATAGGAGGTAAAAAAGTGGACATGTTAGTGGAACATGTCCCCTCGTTTCTGCACTGTTGTCTCCTGCATGAGATAAAAATATCAAGAAGAACACCAAGTCCAAAGTGCAAGAAACCTGAACTCTGTGGTCCTGAGTAGCACTTCTTTAGTTACTAACCAAAAGATTTAAAGTCAGGGGAATGTTTTATACCTTAACCAACATAGACATTTTAAATTGTATTATTATTTGGTTTTTCCATGTAATCTATTGCATGTTTCATTATTATTCAACGTTCAAACTGAATTTGAGAGTGAAAGTGAAATCTTTAACCCCTTAAAATCTCAGGCTTATTACACACTAAGGCTTATTTTTCAGTAACTACAGAAACCTCAGTGCAAACTGGCTGAGCTATTATTAGGTCATATAAATTTTCAATAAAACTTTGGGCCTGCCTGTGGGTCCTGGCCATTTAAGGGGTTAACATGCAGATTCAGTTCTACATGCACTACTTTATTAGAAACTGTACCCTGTACTTCGTTCAGTGACCACTTTATGAGCTCCACCTACCTTTTATGTCCACTGTATGGGAGTACAGACTCTAGCCTACCTGTTGATGCACAATTTATCAGCCTCTATCAAACTCTACTCCATTCATTATTATTCAGTTTCTGATTCAGGACTGTGGTAATGTGGTGGCCCACTCTCAAAACAGCACTTGTACTATGTATGTATGTATGTATGTTATGTAGGTATGTGTTTATGTATGTGTGTATGTATAAATGTGTGTGTACACATATATACACAGACAGGTGACCGATTAAGGGAAAAACTAACATAAATTGTCTTAGTAAGGTGTTAGGCTACCAGAACAGCTTCACTGCACTTTGGCAGATTCTACAAGCCTCTGCAACTGTACTGGAGGGATGAAACTCCATACTTTCAAAGATATTCTCTCATTTGGTGTTTTGATGAAGGTGCTGGAGAGGTGGTGGTCTTGCTCAAATCTTTCATAGGTGTTCAGCTGGGCTAGATCTGGTGAGTGAAGGCCATAGCACAGCACTGTCCAAACTTTTTTAAAAGGTGTCCCGATTGGACCACGTCAAAATAACTCGCCCGTCATGCTTTTCCAAAATATTATTCATAAATAACTCAAAATGTAATCCAAAACACCCTGAACAATCAATATTTATTTAACTATTGAATTTGCTGTGATAAATAGTTGCTGCTGTAGCGTCCAGCTGCTTTAGCTTCTCTGCTCTCTAGTCTGCTGAATATTTACTGTAATGTCTGTGCTTTTGTTTCATAATGTCTTTTGGTATTAAACTCTTTCCAGTCTTTTGAAATATGGAGCACATGCATTTGCTATGGCTGTAGATGAAGAAGTATCCTGATTTTCATCTCTCTTGAAATTGCTGGCACTCACTGCCAACTTTGTGCTTTTTGGCTGTAGTCTGACTGTGGTCATGAGTAAATAATGAATTTGCAGGTCTAGTCAGGAAAAAAGCCTCTTAGTCTTTAGCTTACTTCCTTAATAACAGGGGTGGCGCACCAGGGGAACACTGATATTTCACAATTTCTGCATAGTCCAGTCATTGAGATGTTCATAAAGTCATTCAGAGTGGTTTGATGCAAGATGGTTCATTGTAGAGAAACAGCATTTACAGTGGTAGTGATAGAAAACAGGGATCACAAGGTCTACAACACAAATACAGCCATTTACTGTCCAAAACCATCAGTGAATACACAGTTATTGTAGTTATTATATGTATGCAAAGTAGTGGCTTTCTTTGGGGACTATTTTGCCTCACAACGCCCTGCATGTATCTCTCCATCCTGAACGGATTCTAACAATTACATTTTTTGGCCAAAAAAGTATCACAAAAGTATCATAAAACAGGAATCAGGCAGCTCATTTATAATCATTTTGTGTAATAATGTTCTGTGAGGGAGCTTTAAGCGGAATTCATCATGACGTTTGGTTCCTAACATGACCACTGGAAATAATTCTGGCTCGGTAGGTTTCTCTAAACCATGTATTTTTACATCAAACAACTGCACCATTCAGTGACCTCTTGTGCCCTGTGGATGGGGGTGTTGTTATCCCGGAAGAGACCACTCATATCAGAAATGTTTCGTCATAAGGTAAAGGTGATTGGTCAGATCCCTGTAAGGGGACATGATTGCCAAACACTGCATCAGCTTACATTCTTCAATAGAAACCTCTCCACCTTTCTGGTGTTGATGCACAGTTTGTCTTAGTCTGCCTCTAGCCATTCATCACTGGTCAGTTTCTGACCACAGAGCTGCTCCTGGCTGGATCATTTTTGGGTGGTGGTCCATTCTCAACCCAGCAGTGACACTGACGTGTGTAAAAACTCCAGTTAACACTGCTGTGTCTGATCCAGCACCTCACACACTACCACACTACCCTGTCAGCGTCACTGCTGTGCTGACAGTGATCCACCACACAAATAATACCCAACTAACAGTGGTCCTGTGTCGGTCCCTGTCCACTGAAGGATGAGGTAGTAGGGGGCTGAAAATGTGTGCAGCACAGGTGGGCTATAGTGTTATTGTGGTACATGTACCTGACAAAAAGACCAATGAGTGTAGGTAAAAGGTACCTACATCGCATGTACTGCACAAATTAGCGTCTGAGCTAAAGAAGTATATAGTGCTACATTTTCTGTCAAAACGACAATTCAGTTATTCATTTTTCAGGAGCTGTTTCAGATGAGATTAGATAAAATTAGAGACAGAAGGATTAATCGGTATCGGCCGATTTTCATCCCGATTGGGCTATGTATCTCTATTTTTTTTATTTCTCTAACTTCCTCAGAGCTGATCAGTGACATAAAACAAGCGGCGTCAGAATGTAACGGCTGCACCATTTAAGGTGGAACGGGAAAAAGCGTACAAACAGCAGTCGAATCAGACGTCATCTCCGCCTCGTCATATCTGTTTCACTAATGAAAAAACACTTTTCCTGAAGTATCTAAAATATTTGGCTCCTATTTCGCTGTAAACCCGTTGTGTGAATGTAACGTTAATGAACGCGGTTTGTTGTCAAAGCCTTGAGGATTCGTTTCTGTTAGCATGTTAGCATCCGAACGCTAATCGTAGCTTAGCTTACACTGCACTAGCTTCATGACGTACAGCTTTGGCATGGGCTGAAAATAGAAATAAGATGCAAAACTACAAAAGTGAGCGTATGTCAGCCCTCTTAGCTCTTTCAGTACATTTAAAAACCCATCCGTGAAGCAGGAGGACTGTTTTGACCTGTTAGCTGGTTATTTCAATGGCTATGCTAGCGTGAGGCACCAGAATGTGACTGCTGCACCCTTTACGGAGGAACGGGAAAGTTCAAACAAGAAGCTGGCGACAGAGGAGCTGAAAGCGACGAGGATATCGCTGTTTGACAGGTGCGTAACATAAACGTACTTTGCTGTTTCACAGAACAGTAGGTCAATATTGTTTTGTCCCTGTTGCTAATGCTTGTGGTTGGCGCCACAGTAGCAACTGTAGGTTAGTGAGTTTGCTAGCTAACACACAACCTAGCTAACGTTAGTTAGCTACAGTACTTGCTGTGTTGTTGTACGCTCTAACATCGTATCATGGCATTTCCCCATACAATGTTTGCGAAGGGTTTTATGGCCACAAAGATCTACAAAAGTGTCGTGTGCCTTGGCAGTGAATTTGGGGTGCAGAGTGTCTTAAAGAGCACTGGGTGTATTTATTTTGCTGTTGAGAATCAGCTGTATCGGCTGTCGGCCGATTGTGCTGAAAGGTGATCGGCGATCAGTGATCGGTATCGGCCCCAAAACACTCATCAGTCTGTCTCTAGGTAAGGTAAGTAGCAGGGGGACATAGTGATTCTGGGGCTCCAGGCCAAAGACAGGAATGACCCTCTGGATGCATCTTTTTAAATGAGTCAATTAATCGAGGCTCTGGGCTATTGAGTGGCTCAACACTGCACTGTGAAATAGTTATATATTGGCAGGTGAGATCATCTTAAGTCTAGTCCATTCATGTAATATTTCTCATTTTGAGATTGGTGTAAGAATATTAGAAGGTTATTTGACTTATTTCTAAGTAATTTTGTGAATTTGTCTCACTATACTGGTAGCTAATTTAGTTGTTTTAAAAATATAACGCTTGAAACACGCAAAATTATCTGCCAATATAGAGAGGTAATCTGGTACAGAATAACATTGAGTAATGAGTAATGAGATTCCTTTTCCAGCAGGTGATCCAGTAATGTGATGATTGCATTTTTAGAAATGTAATTAGTAACTTGTAATGGATTATTTTAAGAGTAACAACATGGAGTAGTTAGTTATAACCGTGCATTGAAATTACAAAAAAGAATAGCTACGGTCACAACTAACAGTTATTTTAAAAATGTATAAATATCCCTGAATGTAGATTATATGCATATATACATATACATATGTGTATATATATATATATATATATATATATATATATATATAAATATAAAAAAATATATATATATATATATATATATATATATATATATATATATATGTGTATGTGTATATATATATATGTGTATATATATATATATATGTGTGTATATATATATATATATATATGTATATATATATTATTTAGAATCAACACATACAGTATTTTTTACTTTGTGTTTTCATGTGCCTACTTTTTAGACCACGCCAACCTTGTAGACCACCAAAACTGTCTCCATCAGATAAACAGCACCTAACGTTTTCATCTTTGAGAGAGAGGAGACAATCAAGGTCTAATCCACAGGTGTTTCTGTTGATCCTTCCACTGTGAGAAGACAACTCAACACTATGGGCAGGGCTGGATAGTAACGGAATACATGCAATGGCGTTACATAATCAGGATACAAAAAAGCTAACTGTGTTCTGTTACAGAGTTGTGGTACGTTATAAAAACAGGCCTGGTTACAATCAAACCACATATGCACACATTTTCGCTGAAATTCGCTGTTTGTTTAATATATATGTCACAAGTAGATTTGAAGAGTTTTTCATTTTTTAAAGAAGCGGGTAGGGGGTCTTACTGCCAGGGGAAAATGCCCCCACCCAGCAGCAGTCTACAGTCTTTTATACAGCCAATCTGCAGAAAGTGTTTTATTTTTGTCAGTAGAACTTAGGTCTGCGGCATTTTCTCGAAGATATCCCTGCAAGGTTGGTCACTAGCAAAGCCAGCATATGTGTTTTGGATACTGACCAACAGCAATTGAAGTTAATATGACGTTGACCACCAAAATCAGCATATGTTGTGTTTCAGATACTGGTATGCTGGTTCACTCAGAATGACCATGCTGGGTGACCAGCTAAACCAGCACCAGACCAGCACAAAACCAGCATAAACCAGCTTAGACCAGCATGGAATTCCTGCTTTTTTTGGCTGGGATTTTAATTTTTAATACATGGTTTTATGTGACAGATTTTGCAGCAAACTGACGTAAAATTTTTAATTCTCGTTTGTTGCTACATTAAATTCTACAGTTTCACAACTTTTACATAAAATTCTATAGCCTTTGCTAACATAAGCCTGCCAGAACGTTAATGTGAGCTAACGAATGTGAACTGACGTTAACTAACGGTCCTGAAACGTGAAAAGAGAGCAAAGACTTGTGAGCAGTAAAGTCATTTTTGCATGAAAAGATGTATAGCTGTCAAGATGTTCCTGACTGCACAAACTAGCGTACGAGCGAGTTTCCTGAAACGAGCGTGTAGTTTCCTGAAACGAGAAGGGTCACACCAGGTGAAGAGAATTCCTCTTGCATGATCTGAGGGAGAGAGAGCACACAGGCTAATAATCTCCCAAGACCTGCTCCTCATTCCCTCGAGTAAACACTTTCTTCCCTCTAATCCACATTAATACACCCTAATGCAGGAGAGGTGGGTGTGCGAGCGTGTAGGTCATCAGCTCACCCGCAGGGCTGCAGGTCTATTTGATTACATGATTGCAAATACCATTAAAGCTCTTAAGCCCCACCATTCAGAAGGAGCCATGCACACATATGTACGAACTCACCTACATGACATTCATGCTGAATGGTAACATATCTGCCAAAACTAAAGGAGCATTCTGAATGGACACTAATCCTGCAGTGACCATCCACTGTTCGTTCATGTGACGTCTCTGCATGATGTCAGTTTATGATTGACCGTCATACTGAATGGGCAGGTGTGCAATAAGTAACAAAACCACACAGGCATGGTCTCCCCATCGTTATCACAGCCACAGACGAAAGCAATATATTTTAGTTTGTTGTAAATACAGTGGCCATCTGCTTTATAAGAAACATTAATCATTAATATGGGTGGTAGAATTTTTATTGTTACTGGACACCCACCTCTCCTACACTCGTCAGTGTCAGCGTTAGGTTGAGAGTGGACTGCCATCAAAAATATCCAGCAAAGGGCAGCTCTGTGGTCAGAAACTGACCATTGATGAAGATGACTAAGACATATTGTGCATTAACAGCCCACCCTTCGTTTATTTAAATTACAGTTAAAACAGCCACTAGGTACTAGTTAATAGTTTTTCAGGAGATATTCCTGAGGAAATTAAATATGAGACATTGATTGATTAAATGATTAAAACATACAGAGACTCCAAACAACCATGAAAGACGTGGTAGATCACCAAAATGGTCATGAACAGTATTTAAAGCTGTGAAGTTGTGTAGCTGTCAAGAAGCCGTTACCAAGAAAAGGAAATAGACAATGAAGAAGAAAATCTGCAAATTAAACAAAGAAGCTGCTGGTCGAACAACAGACTGACCACCCCAGAGTCCAGACCTCAACATCACTTAATATGTTTGGGATTACTTGGATCGTGAGAAGCAGAAAATACAACCAACTTCTAAGACTGAACTTTAGGGGTGTGGAAAAATATCCCTGCAGATTTCTTTGAAAAAAATGGAGGCTGTAATGAAGACATTCTGAGGGATGTATTCTATTCTATTCTATTCTATTCTATTCTAGGTATTCTATTTTTTTTTTTGTTGAGGCTTTAATGTAATTTTCTGTAAAAATATGTTTCTAGCATTTTAGCCTTTTTCCTGATGCTGAAAAGTTGTACTTATTTGCTGTTTTAATTGAAAATGAAATAAATTAAGGATGTAGTCACTGACGTTTGCACAGTCAAAATATATATACAGAAAAGGGGTAAAAATATAAAAGATACAAAACTAGGAATGAAAAAGAAAACCTTATCCAGCCTTTGTCCTAAAAAGAGCCAAGCATTTATGCACTCTGTGACTGAACCTTACTCTGGTTTAATCATTCCACAAGTGTTTTCGCTCTTTTCTCTCTCTTTCTGTTTCTCTGTCTCTGTCTTGCTCTCTCTCTCTTCTCTCTCTGTTCTCTGCTTTGATTAACCGGACAACAGGAGGGGCAGTGTACTTACAGTGTCAGTCAAAAAGCGCTGTCCTCCTCCTCAACCTCCTCACTGGTCACAACACACTCTTTCTGCAGGGTCAGCCAACACGCACACGCACACACACACGTGCACTGAGCACAGTGGAGCAGTGAAGAGGAGTCTGTGGCTTTATCTGCTGAGCGCACCTTTCAGACAGCCAATCAGAGCATGGCTTTCAGCCAAAGCAGTGCACGCAGGCAAGGCAGGAAGGGCTGATTCACGAACAGTTAATGAGATCCTACTCACTTTCCCCTTACACACACACACACACACAAACACACACACACACACACACCCCTACACCCCCCAGCACACACAGACACTTGCATGCACTTTGCAGTAGAGTTTCATGTTAGTTGTGAAGATCAGCTTGAAGTTCAGTTACCTGCACCAACTTCACTTGTGGTCACTTGTCCATTCTCTGGGCGGGAGAAGACACTGAAGATAATGAAGATTTCTGCCCCTCAAAACATCCCTGCCTTACTGCATTAATGGCACTGAGCAGCATGCTGACCCCCTGTGGTCACTCAGTCTCTGAGCTGGTGTTGAATACTGGCAAAGGCAAGCACATCAACAAGATTCTGGTGGATCCTCTCTCTTAACTGAGTATTGGCAGAACTCAGATTTTATTTAGTGATGTTCTGGATCTGGATCAGCACCAGTGCTAACCTTACTAACCCCATGAAATGGACAGCACCTGCCAGTGGATCCAAACTTTTATTCCACAGTTCTATAACTTAAGAGTAACTTGTTGCATTGTAGTTCATGCAATTACTGAAAAATAAGTTTTAGGATGTAGTAAGTCTGGGACTGTAAGGGGTAAACCCTGGCCATTTAAGGGGTTAAACAGATCAGATATTGGTAAGATGTGGCCAATCCACAATCAGTACAGTATCTTAGTTAATTAGTACTCATTTCTTGTATTACTGTTAAGCTTGATCATCCATCCATCCATCATCTAAACCGCTTATCCTTCTGGGTCGCGGTGGGGTGCTGGAGCCCATCCCAGCTGTCACTGGGTGGAGCTTGATCACCTATCTGTAAAAAACTTTGAGCTTAAAATCTATCCTGAACAATACAGGTAGCCAGTGCAGTTCTTTCTAAATGGGAGTGATATGATCTCTCTTTTTTGTTTGGGTTAGGATGCTGATGCATTTTGTACGGGTTGTAGAGGCTGCATTGTTTTCTTAGGGAGCCCAGTAAGAAGAGCATTACAGTGATTAACTCTGCTAGTAACAAATGCATGACTAAGTTTCTCTGTGTCGCTCTGAGATGGAAAACGCAGAACTTTAGCAGTATTTCTCAAATGGTAAAAAGCAGCTTTAATGACTGCGGGATAAAACAGCTCAGAGCCTAAGACTACACCCAGGTTTCATACTTTAGCTTTGGTATATGAGGATAAAGAACTGAGTTTCTCATAAAGCAGCTTTCTCTGGGTTTTTGTACCAAGGATCAGTATTTGTTTTTTCGAGATTTAGTTGTAGAAAATTTAGCGACATCCACTGAGAAATATCTGATGTGGGTAAAAACTCCAGTAACAGCACCAGCACCACACTACCATATCACTAACGTGTCAGTGTCACTGCTGTGCTGAGAATGTTCAACCACCCAAATGTCTGGTCAACAGCAAACTATGCTCAGAAAATAATGATAACCTAATATACAGGGTTGGGATGTAACGGAATACAAGTGTAGGGAACACATATTCAGAATACACAAATTAAGTCTTTGTATTCAGTCCGAGTATACACTTTGTAAAGGCAGTATTCATAATACAGTTACTTTATACATTTTAGGGGACCTTTAGAATTCTTATCCACTACATAAAAAAATAAATAAACCAGCGCATGCTGTGTACCAAATATGCCTGTTAGACAAACTCTAAAAAGGACCTCAATTAACGGCTTCTTTACAAACACTGAAGTTCATGCTAAAGCCTGAGTAGACTGATGAATCAATGTGTTGAGCCACATATTAATATTAGCATTACTAAGCTCTTCTGAGGGATGCTCAAACTAATCTCATCAACACTGGTTGCGTTTCTAAGTGATAAGTTTAGCATTGGTGTTGTACTGGACTCATGGGAATTGTGGGAGCACAATTTTTCCGTGAAACGTATTAACAGAAGGCTTACATGACGAAAATTACCAAACAGTAACAGTGAGGAACATTCGCTTCCATTACTTGTTAACAGCAGTAGCATCATAGCTCCAGTGCAAAACTAAAGAAACTTTAGTCACCAAACCTGACCTTGCTGATCACCTAAATTTGGGCTAAGAGAAAAAACTGTCTGTTTTGATTTACTGGTGTATGTCAGAATTTTAGTATTTTGGACTCTTTGTAATAGAGCCGGGGCTGCTATCGGTTATGTTAGTAATCAAATAATCTACTGATTATTTTGATTGTAATCAGAACGTTTAAAAAAAAAACCAAAAATGAACTTAACTGAATCTGAGAAAGACTAGGAAGCCTTGTAATATAATCTTAAATGAACATTATATAGCGGTGTTCAATGCAGAAACCTTTGCAATATGTGATTACATGCTTGTATTTGTGAGCCCCTGCCGGTGTGGGTTTTTTCTCTTTTAATGATGAGCACAAAATTGACGAGTGGTAATAGCTCCCCTTTCTGGAGAATCATCAGCTTTCTGCAACTTCAGTAATAATGAGAAAATGCCCAGTCTGGAATGGCTCATTCCAGCTCCTACTCCTCCCAGGCTTCTCCGCTCCATCATCACGCTACCTGTAGTTCATTTTATGGACTCGTTTATGTAAACACATATACCCCTTTATTTACTTTCTTTTTTTATCAGTTTCTGTGTTTGACCTGTGTTTTGTTTTTCTGTCTTTATAATTATGGATTTGCTTCTGATGCTGCCTGCCTGTGTTTTGACCCCTGCCTCTGATGAAATCTGTGAGATTTAGATTGACCCTAATAGCACATACAGTCTGCCTAAATGCCCCATTCGTTACCGAAAATCCTGTGGCCTCGTTTATAAAATGTATGTGAATTTCATTCTAAATGGTCATATGTACAACAGTCTCTTAATTGGACAGAATTAGGATCTGCTGGAAACAATCACACTTTTCTTCTGTACTGTAATGTATTTTGAGTGAAACATGGTATCAGGCAGGGACTCTAAGATAGCCGAGTGTTTTAATACAATGATGTGTGGGAGTGGGAGGTGAAACATGTTATTGGTTAATGCTGTTTTCCCCCTGCTGGTACACGGTGATGTAATCAAATCACAGAAGAAGCTTTAGAAGCGGGCAGAAGTCGTACACTTTGAGTGACGATTATGCCAAAACAAGATTTTTGATTGATGACTTGTGCTTAATATTGTACCAGGTACATGACCTAACAAGATAATTTTTTTTGTTTTATCATGTGAAGTGAAGGGATGTAGATTATCTCCCATAATCAAATTTGGGTCTTTTTAATGTAGATTATTACAACATTGGCCTTTGTTTCTCTGTGAGGCTTGTTGCCATGTCCCATGAGGAGCACTCTGTGACATGAGATAAGGACATGTTTATGCCAATCTCCAGTCTGTCCTATCAGTTATTTCATCATCGTAAAACTGGGTGGAAAGTGACCATTCAGGACGAGCATGAGGGACAGTGTCTTTGTTGACCGAATCTCACCAACAACTCTTTTCAGCGTCTGAACAAATTGAAGTCTGTAGTTTTGGTTCGTAATGATGAATCAGCAATTGTATATGTAGATTGTCTATTTTACATGTTAATTGCATAAAGGTGTAACTGTTTTGATCAGGTTTGACATAGACTTGTAGCTTAGAGCTCACAAACCTTACTAAACATAGTGTCATTGGTGAGATTCAGTCAACAGAGATGCTGTCCATTGTGTGCATCTAATGACGTCAGCAGGAGTTGTGCTCGGTCAGGCCCAAGGCCTGTAAGGTTCCTGAATTGTCATTTTTCGCTTCTATTTTTGCTAATTTGTCACATTTAAATGTTTAAAATCATCTTCAGTGATTACTTTAATATAAGATAAAGACAATATCTACACAAAACACAAAATGTAGCTTTTAAATGATCATTCCATTTATTGAAGATAAAGATTTATTCAAAACCTGTCATCCATATGAAAAAAGTAATTGCCCCCCTAAACCTAATAACAGGTTGTGCCACCCTTGGCAGTAACAACTGCAAACATTTGCAATAACTTGCAATTATTCTCAGAGGAATTTTGGCCCACTCTTCTTTGCAGAGTTGTTTTAATTTGGCTACACATTAAAGTACACATTAAATTAATTAATTTGTGTACACATTAAAGTGTGACAAATATGCAAAAATAGAAGAAATTAGGAAGGGGGCAAAAATGTCTCATACCTATATTTAAAATATTTCTCATACATAGCTCACGTCACAGCGTCCTTCTCAAGGGACATGTCACAGGCCCCACAGAGAAACAAAGGCCAAAGAACTATTATAAGGTATAAGAAATATATAATTAAGTAAAATATTTTATTTTAAAAAGATTCAAAATTTGATTACTTAGTATTCAGGTTACTTTTTTTGTTAAAATAACAAATCTAAGATGAGTTGTTTTTCTAACAGATAATGTGTGGTGTTTCAATACTCATATAAATATCTTATTTAATACTTTGTATTAAAGCATGAGTTTACAATATACATGCAGCTTGTAAGAATATGTGTAATCCAGAAAATGCTGATAACTTTCATTGGGTTTGAATACTTTCCTAAGGCAATTTAAATGCTAGGTTAAATAATAAAAGGCCCACAATTGAGCCTTGGAGAACTCCATGTTTATGTCATGTTTAAGGTCCCAGTTCAGCATACTGGGACCACTTCAATAGGAGCAAAACCAGTTCATGGTCACCCACATCACAGGCAGCATTAAAATACTGGTTAGAGCTAGAGGCATGATTTGTGAAGTGTGATCAGAAGCAGTGCTCATCTATGCTGATACTTTTACAGAAACAAATACACTTTCATCACCAGTAGTCAAATTTTGAGCTGGCGAGAGTCTCCTCTGCAAGAGATGTTGGCTGCCATCTAGTGGCAACATGGTAGATGTGCACCAATGGCAGACAAGTGGTGATTTTGTAGCTCTACATTGC